CAACTGTACCCAGATATCCAATGAACTATAGAACCGATGGACCACACTAGAAATCTTGCATGGAACAGAATCATGGTTGTCCAGCTCATAAAACTTTTTTTGCCAGCTATTCAGGCTTCCAACCACACTGCAGTCATGCAAAGTTAGTGTTTACGATTGAACCTCATTGCATCATTAGGACTGTAAACCCTTGTTAATCTGGAACAGTTGGGGTGGTGGGGTCATCTGGATTAGTGATGCAAAAGGTAGCCCTGAAGAACAAAAAACTTAGAACACAAATAAATTGAAAATTTAATGACATTAGTAGTGCTGATGAAAAGAAATAAAAAATATCATTGTAAAACCTTTATTTAAAACTATAAAAAGACAATGCATTTATTCATCGACAGAAGACTCAGAAGTTGTACTTGTTTTTGAATGTAATAATGCAGGTTGAAGAAATTGCAAAGTTTTGTCTGAACACACAAATGACTCATCCGCCTTCCTAAATACCATGTGCCCTTTTAAAGTATGTACTTAACTGTGAAGAACATTTTCACTTTTCATATTTTGATCTGAAATAACTGTAACCGGATTAGCGAGTTTTGCTGTACCTCCATAATCATTTCTCAATCACATGTCATTGCTCAGGCGGTTAGTCGCCGGCCTTCCATCAAAATGGCGTGGGTTCGATGCCAGACCAGGTAATGTGAAATTTATGGTGGGCAATATGCTACTGGGGCTGGTTTTCTCCGAGTACTTCGGTTTTCCCTCCAGTTTTCAAAAAGTCAATCGCCCTCTGGACTATCCAGCTTTAAACATAGTGTATTATCATTTCATCACTTCGACATTATTATAAATTACTTAAACAACTACAACACCTTACCTTATTTTAAAATTCTTAATACAGTCCTTACATCGGTATACTCCAGTAACAAAATCGCTCTCTTCTTTGTAAGACATTTTGAAACGTTAAACACATAAACACAGTTCAGTCAACATGTCAACACGGAAGAAAAATCACAAACGTGAAACTAAGTCATTGACGGTCATTGACCATATATACTGCAGAAAACTAATGCACATTGAAGTAGTTGAGGTTTTCGCAGCGGTGGTTATGAAAAGCTCTTATCAACTCGGGTATGACGCCGTATAGTCTGACGAAAGTCAACCGACGTTTCGGAGATATATGTCGTCTGAATCGCCAGGGTCGAAGAGTTTGCCAAGCAAGAAACCGGCACGAAGCAGACAGCAAGTAGAGAATACTGCACGCTGCAGTTCAGTACTTTATTATTACATTGCGTTATGACTGGGCACAGATAGATAATCTGCGTCATATAGTGTCGGCCAGTTTTTCTGAGGACGATATAATCTGTCTTGGGTTTAGAGTTCCAAAGGCGGTTACTGTGAAGAGTTCTATCTTCTGGGATATAAGGCTGTGTAGGCCGATGAGAAAAGGATGGCACTGAACTGACTACACGGCGTTATATTGAGATCCATCGAGATGGAGGATGCATGTTCCTCCGAAACGTCGGTTGATTTCCACGTGGTTAAATGGCGTTAAATCATAGAAGACAGCATTTATAATCTGTGGTTTCGAGATGACAATCGACTGATGCGTGGCTAAATAGGTGGGGTTTTCCCGGAAAATGTGCGAGAACGAGAATGTGACAGTGAAGAGTATATTCGTGATTACGTAGTCAGAAGTTGAATCACCTATTGTGACTTAGAGATTTTAATCTCGTATTTAACCAGATTATGAAGGTATAATGTAGTGGTAGTCCTGTGTTTCTGATTTCATGATCGTTCATGATGGCGATGGAGTGTGACTGGTGATCTGTCAACTAGGCGAGGAATATATTTACTTGTAATGTGCCATTTATAATCATTCGCCTTTTTTTTTACTTCCAGGTGTTAAGAAATGGCACAAACACAGAGGGAACATCAACATGCTGGGCCACAAACAAGTATTGCCTTGTATCCTGTAAGTTTGTACATAGGTTGGAAGAAGTATTTGTAATTTATACAGTTATACGAAAATCATTATGCATTCATGTGTTTTTCAGCATTGGCAGTTGATTTTTGATAAGTATGATCAGGACAGTGATGGGAGAATATCATTGGCAGAGCTGAAGCACATGATTCACAGTGAATCTTTTACGAAAGATATCCCACAGCATGTAGTTCGGCAGATCCTGAAGCGAGCAGATGAAGATGAAAATGGCTATATCGAGTACCCAGAGTTTCTGAAAATGGTTTGTACTGATTTCATGGGACAGTTTCACGATACGGTCACATATTTGGCATTTTAGCAAGCACCAATATTACATTATCAGAAACCATACTTGTCATAGGATTTGTTTTCCGAATGCATACAAGAATAGGCACTCATATAACCCATAGCAATATGTATGTTTGTTGGAGTAGTGTGACAACTTACTAAGAAAATATTTCTAAAATATTATTAGTTCACCTGTTGTGAATGGTGAATTAGGATGTGAAAGGAAAGAAATATGATCACAGTATGGCAAAGATATACTGAATTGTTTTTCTTTCCACTGACAAATTTCATACAGGTTAAATCTATAAGGAGTTTGGGAATTTGTTGTATATTTCAGCTCAGCCTTTTGGATACATTATGAAGGCTGTTATTCCTCTGTAGTTTTATGATATCCAAATGATGGTTGGCCTGTTATACCAGAATTATTTACTTCATAATTTTAAGTATCATTCTGATGCACAAAGATGATGATGTTTAATTGAAATTGAGTAGAGAGAGAGCTGAAGCAGTGTAGTTTAATGGATCATAATAATATATTAATACATTTTTCAGACCAAACATAAAGAAATGCAGGGTGTTTTCGGACGTGCATTGAATCGCTATGTCAGAGCCGCTGTAGTGCAGCATACAGCGACAGCTGATGAACCAGATGAGGCTGGTGATTATGAAGGACAGTATTCTTGTTATCCACCAACTCTTTGTATGATTCTTATCAGCCTTTTAGAGGTAATATAGTTTGTTTATATTAGATATTAGTAATAAGAAATATGTAACACAGTTTAAAGGGTTCGGTGGTTTTGGTACTTCAGAACTTTATATCGAAATAAATTCTTATCATAGTCTCAGACATGGAAATGACTGAGCATGTCATTCTTTAAAGATTACATCAGAGATTACATCAGAGAGGTGAAGTAACAGGAATGGAGACAATTCCTTATTGTGTCGCTTCAGAATTTATACCCCCCCCTTTTTTTTAATTTTTTTCGCATAGTGGGGGGGGGGGAGTCCAGTTGGATCCACTCGGCATGGGAGTCACTGATTGGCCTATTGTACCTGCCCTGGGTGATTATGATGATGAATTTTTGGTGGAATGAAGATCGGCAGGGGAAACCGAAGTACTCAAAGAAAACCTACCCCGGCGCCACTTTGTCCACCACAAATCCCACCAGACATGGGTTTGAACTCGGGCTGCCACGGTGGGAAGCCAACGACTAACCGCTTGAGCTATGGTGCAGCCTTTTTTAATTTGATATTATTAGTGTGATTGAATCAAGAAGCATGAAATGCCACTCATGGGGGAGAGGAAAGATGCATGCAGAATTCTGGTTTAAAAACCCCAATGGAAACTGTGAAGATCTGGGAATAGATGGAAGGTCAGTGTTAAATTAGATTTCAGAATAATGGGTTGTGAGGATGTGAACTAGATTGAAGTGGCATTGGATAGATTCCAGTGGTGGTGGTAAATCTTCAGGTTCCAGAACACGCAATCCTTCGCCTTGAGGTAGACCTTGTACAAGGACGCTAATGTAACGAGACATTTTAGTGTTGAAATGAATTTCAAATAAATTGGTATCATTGATGCCTTCCAACTATTCATATTGTCATGTGTATCAGTGACTAGAGGTGGGGTTTGGATTGGTAATTGGATTTATCAAACTCTTACAGATTGTAACTACAAGTAACTGTAGTGCTATCGCTAATTCACACACACAGCACTTCACTACAGCACATGCTAAGTCTTTTCAGTTTGCTGTGTCTTCACCCGTTGTCTGGTAATATCTTACAATGCCATAGATCCTGCATCATCCATGTTTACATCCTTACTTTCTAGCAACTGTCTCACAACTAACCTGTCCTGTTTATAACAGCTTGGCACAGACCGCACAGAAAACAACTCTCCCAACAGTTCTTCTGTTGTTGCATCACGCAACTGTTGCAAGACCGAACAGAGAAAACCCCTTCCCAGTTAGGCCATTGGTGTGTTAGGGGTCTGCTGCTTAGCAATGGGCGTTGTTTACAGAGTTATTACACTTGGTTGTTGACTTACGACCTATGCGGCTTATGACCAGCTGCACTTACGATGACAAAAAAGTGAAAAATAAAAGATGAGTAAAATGTAAAAGTTTTTAAAAATAAATTATAAAGATGATAAAAAGATTAGAAAGGTTAAAAAATACTGTTAATAAATATATGGCCAACATACGACCTGTCAGTCAGAACGGAAGTCGGTCGTAAGTCGACGACCAAGTGTACTTGGGAATGGGTCTACAAGATGCAACAGTATTCATGGCTAATGCCCTTTTTTATGAAATGTAGTTAATGTTACTAAATAATAATTCAATTTGTTAATGGTGACATTTTTATACATGAACTTTTTATCTTGTTTTATTTTGATTGCTAGACAGCTTTTATTGTTAAAATTCCTCCTGTTGACTTTGTTGGTCACATATATAATGTGAATTTTAGGTTATTGCATTCCTCTGGGATATAATAGAAGAAGGAACATCATCTGTCCATAGTCCTGCCACAACACTGTTTATATACAACCCTTTCAAGAGATACGAGGCATGGAGATACCTGACATACATGTTTGTTCATGTTGGGTGAGTTACAAAGGTCTAAAGAAAGTACTGCTATCATTGCTAACGGGTTCTGACATGGTGTATTGTTAGTGTTATTGGGTTTCTGTACTTCATACTCTAATATTCCAAACAAAACACAGTGTTTAGAAACAGCTGTTTCCATCTTCAGAAGAAAAGGAGGGGAGGCATGTACTGAGTTGGGTCTGTTCATTTGATGCAAAATATTTACTGGAACATCTGTAGTTGAGTTATGAGGGCATTTCAGAAGTTTCTTGTATGCATAGAGTGAACTATAGTTGGATGTGTTATTAATGTCCAATATATGCAGTACATAGACAGGGTGGTGGTTGTGGTTATCACACTGCTAAGCCGTGAACTGAGAAAGGGTGGAAATGAGTTTCAAATATATGGATTTTGGATTTTGTGATTATGTTTAAGTTCTGTATGTTAGGAAAATGCCATATGGGCGTTATAACTTGTTGAAAGAAGGGTGAGGGATCCACACCTCATTGTGTGAAACTGTTTTCTGCTGACATGAATATATGGGTCAGATGCCCCCAGTGCTACTAACACAGAATATGGAGTGTGTTCATGCAGTGTTTGGTGGAGGGGGAGAACGCACCTACATGCTTGCACATGCATGCCAACACGCACACCTCCTTGATAACATTTTGATGAGTTCTGGATGCATTTGTATGACCTGTAATTGAAGCATCAAGTTGCTGAGTGACGGTAGCTCACTGTCCACGGAAAAAGACTGCCTCATGCTGTCAGGGCTCTGAAAGTGTTTCTCACATATCTGAAGCTTACAGTTGAATGCCCCATGTTAACGTTGCTGTTATTGTGTGAGTCTCTCACAATAAGGAGCCAATCATCTCTTGTCAGAAACAACACCAAATACTGCAACATAGCATTTTTCTTCTGGGTAATGTTGACTCTGTTTAATGTATGATATGCCATGCTTGCTGTGGGCCTAGAGCCATGGTCCCATCCTAATATGAGTGTGGCAGATGTGTTTGTTTGTATCTAGAGCACATGGGAGACTTCCAAACCAGTACACCCCTCACAGGACAGAGCATGATGTGACAGTATGATACAAGAATGAATAGTGATGAGATTGCATGCTTTACTTTGTAGCGTGTTCCATCTGGTGGTTAACCTGGTGGTGCAGATTATGTTGGGAATTCCATTGGAGATGGTACATGGGTGGTGGCGTGTACTGTTGGTGTACCTTGCTGGTGTTGTTGCTGGCTCTCTAGGCACATCAGTATCTGATCCTAGAGTGTACCTGGCTGGTGCATCAGGTGGTGTCTATGCAATTATAGCAGCTCATCTTGCAAGTATATGTTTGGTATGTACTGTATGATGATGATGTAGATTGTATTATTAACTGTTTGATTCTTGCAATCTTAATTTGATTATACTAGGCCCTTCCCTGAATAATCATTTGTAGTATAAATTAGGAAGTCTTGAAAAAGGCGAAATCAATGTAGAGTTCTATCTTCTGGGATATAACGCCATATAGCACTTTTGATTAAGTGTAGGCAGCTTAGACAGCTGTTCTGTCCAGAGGAGTGACAGTCTTTCTGCATGGAGAAAGTTACTTCTGTGAGCTAAGTGACTCCATGGTCCACAGTTTTCCTTATGCTGTTGATAGTTGTTCATCTGATCAAGATATTTATTATTTTTATGAAATCCAAAGGTTTATCAGCATTATCACAGAAATGCACCATTGGGCCTTATCCTGGGCCTTGTTTTGTCTCTCCTAAGCCCAGATATTTTCCTCAGAACATTGTTCTTAGTATCTGTTTTGTCTTATGGTGTAAATGTTTTACCCCGTCTTATATGGTACATTAATTTTACAATACCTTTTCTTCATTTTACCAACAGTACTAATGACATAAACTTCAAGACATGTTATGTTACATTAAAAGCCATTATTGTTTCTGATATGAATTAATTGGAATTTCTTATGAATATGTGTAGTAATGGATTAATTTTCTGATAATCTGGTCGGTGTTGAATGTTTAATTGGTTAAAATGTTAATTCTTTTTTTTCCATTGGCGCTACAGCCCTCATTTGGGCCTAGGCCTACCTCCATGAAATTCTCCGTTTTACTTGGGTTTACTAGATCTTACACATACAGTAGGACTCCTTGGGCGAGTGATTAGCTCGTCGCAAGGCCTCTACCTGTAGACAAACACAGAAAAACGCACACAAACATCCATGCCCTGAGTGGGATTCGAACCCACGATCCCGGCTTGCGAGTGAGCGAAGACAGTGCATGCCTTAGACCGCTTGGCTACCGTGACTGGCTAAAATGTTAATTTACTGACACATAATATGAATATACCAAATCCCATAGCATAACTTCTTTATATTACATTAGGTTTGAGGGTTGAGATTGATGGCAGTGCTTTAATACACATGAACTAGAAGCTGGTGTTGACTGGAATTTTATTTATTTGCCAGAAGGGTAAATGGAGAAAACTTGATGTTTACTATGGAAGAAGGCCAGAATGGAGCACTTTATAAGATGAGGATTCCATCGCAGTATATACGTGAAAGATAGTTTCGGTATCATAGTTTGCTTTGCAGTTTGATATTTGTGTACACTAAATAATACTGTAATGTGCATGAAGTTTTCTGTTCTCTTTATAGAACTGGGCAGAGATGCAGTTTGCAGTGTTTCACCTTTTAATCTTCTTAATTCTGACTGTGGTAGATGTTGGTACAGCAGTTTACACAAGATATGTTCTGCTTGAAGAAAACCAGGTACTATATAAAAAATAATTAAAACTTATTGGCCTATGATTCTGAAACTGAACATGAACATCATATTCATGGTAATGAGCATGACACATTTAAACATGGCTGTAAATTCATTATGCTACTGCAAGTCTTTTTTTGCAGGCACATTTTTCAACACTTCTTTAGCTGCACATGTTTCAGTGCATTCTCCTTTGTCATGTTGCTGAAGCTCCTAACTAACGATATTGTATTAAGAGAGCTACATATAAACTTTAACAAGAATTCAACAATAAGTACTAAGTTCAATCCTGCGTCAGGAATCCCTTACAATGGGCATTAGTTTCTGGAATGTGATTGAGTGTTACTGAAAAAAGATATGCTCCAGGTTGCAAGGTCACAACTGTTTTGTTCTTTGTAATAGTCTGCACATAAACAAAACTTAAAGAAGGTGTTATAAGAAACAGAGATATTGAGTAAACTGTACTTTTGGGAATTCCTCTAACTGGTTGCCAATAGAAAGCTAGCATTTTATTACTTTCAGGTTGAGCACATGTTTAAATGTATATGACTCAGACTTAAACACTAAGTACCACATTAACAAAAGAGAATTGCCAAATGTTGTATTCAGTATTACTGAACTAAAAGTAACGAGTTTTTGTTACTTGAAATTTAGACTTAACTTCCTTATCTGTGACTAGCCATGTGCTGGATTAGAGAGATGAAGCCTTCAGCTTAAAGAACAAGGATGTGATAATGTGCTGCCTGGTGAGGCTGATCACATTCTTTGTTACTTAATCCTTCATTATTTATGATATATGGCATATGTTTGGGTTTAACTCATTTTGAAGTAGTGTATGACAACAGTGTTTACAGATATTAGAAGCTGTTAGCTTTGAAATCACTGGTAGTATTATATTTTGCCAAGTTCACAGAAGCAGGATTACTGAAGCTGTGCAACAGGCAACTTAAACAGATAGACGCTTTATTCTGATTGAGTGTCTGTCCAAGATATAACGTACTATAGTCAAGGTATTCTAGTCCATTGTACATTTTTTATTCCATAACTGAACAGGGTATTGTGCTCAGTTGAATATGTGTATGTAGTACCATAAAGTTATGCTTATTGCAGATTGGTTATGCCGCTCATTTGGCCGGAGCAGTAGCTGGTCTTCTTGTTGGGATCAATGCCCTGCGGAACTTACAAGTTAAATCTTGGGAAAGAAAAGTTTGGTGGGCCAGTATTATATTGTATGTAGCTCTCATGCTTGCAGCCATCATCTGGAATGCTGCATTCCCATCATATTTCCCCCCTTCCAAATAATGCATGCATCTCAAACAGAGAGATCATTAAAACATTACAAGTTTTTTGTTTTATGCCATGTTGGACAGTTACCATTCTACTTTCACTGCTGACCTAAACGCTCTGTTACACAAGTCTCTCTCCTACTCTGTAATGATGTAACACATTGTGTGAGCAGTGAATGATTAGAATGGGCAGGTCTTGAAGGAAAGAGCAGTTACAGAGTTAAAAAGAATTATGAAATTGAAAGATTCCTCATAACTTCATGCATTTATGGCATTGTTTGTCAGGTATTTTTAGTGTGACTGAAGAAGGGCATGGAAGCTCTCTTGAATAGTCCCTGTTGATCCATCTTGTGACTTATTTTACTAGTTCTTCACAACCCTGGAATCTGAGTGTGTTTGGTATGAAGAGGTCATACTTAGCTTGTACATGTCCACAGCAAGATCAGTGTTTTTTTTGGTTCAGTGTTGCTCCATTTTATAAGTGATGAGAGTAGCCAGAGAAAGCTGCATTTGTAGAAAATCATATATTTGTCACAACAGGGTAAAATGGAAGGAAGAGGAAAGTGTGCTGTCCTTTGTTAAAAATACTACAGAAAATCATCAGCAGTTTAAAAAAATTCTGAATTTGTTTTTTGAAAATATTTTGGATTGTATGGTATTGTATGGTATGGTATGGTATGCTTAAACTGACTAAACCAACAGAGCTTTATTGAGATCTATAAAAAGATAAGAAGAATAAAATGCACAACTCTGTGGTTTTAGTCCACAAGTGAACTCAACCGACCGTTTGTCTGTTGCTTGTGTTCATAGTATCATGTGATTGAGTGACTATAGATGGGGTTTGGATTATCAGTCTGATTTATTGAACTTGTAACTACAAGTAAGGATTATGCTCTCAGTGTTCTGCACACTTTGGAGATCACTGTAGAACACTTAGGCCTTCTCACTCTGTTACAGTCATCACTAGCTGTTTGGTAGTGGCTTCCCGAACTATCCCGGCCTCAGCTACCAGATTCTCACAGTAACAGCTCACAACAACTGAACCTCAGCAGTTCTCTAGCTCACACACTGTGGTCAGTTGGTTAAATTGCTGTTGTCCTTTGCCAGCACTGTTATTCATGGCTTTAGTTTCCTCCAGATCCATAACCAAGATTTTTATTCTCTCCTATACACGTGTTTCGAAATGAGGTTTCCTGTTCAGTGAAGAAGGGGTTTATTTTTGTGTGTAGGCACTTGGTCTGTTGCACTATAGTTTCAGCACAAGTATATTCGTGCTGTCACAGCTTCCAGGTCACTATGGACTCTGTGCATCTTTTGTCAATGCACTATACTAAGTAACTTTTATACAAGGTATACAGAGGTTTCCTGTCAATGAAGACTTGTGCATCAGGTTATGCCTTAACTTATGCCTGAAACTGCTGCTAACTTGTCCAGCTCATAACATCTTAACATGGACTGTGTAGAAAACACTGTTCTTCTGTTGCATGGCAGTTGTTGCCATGGAAAAAATGCTTGTTTGCGGAACCGTTACTTAGCAACGGCTGTTGTATAGTTCCGTATTTCATGGTCATTGTCTAGTAGCAGGTCTGCTTGCCATAACATGTATATCTGAAAGCATTAGATGAGAAATCTAGCTGAGATATAAGTTTATATGGTTTGATGTGAAACTAGGTGAGAAAGTAGAGACCAGTCGCTGTCTGTAGAGATGTTCAAAGAGGTTAAATTCTTTTTCTTCAGTAAGCATGCCTGAACCTTCTTTTCACACGTCAGTATTCTTCCCGAGATAAACGTGAGATTGATCTTTGTACTGTAATGTTTAGATTCAGTTCTTTTCATTTAATTGTTCATAGGTGTCATTAAGCATGGAGAATATGCACATACCATATTTTTCACAACTTTGCTATCGGTTTATTGAAAGATATCATTGGGGATGAAACCTAACCACTATCCCCAATTAAGAATTCATATGATGCACCACAGTTCCATTGTTGTTAAAACAATGATATATTTACTGGCATAGCAAATTTTGTGGATTTAAAGTCTCAGATTATTATTATTATACATACTCCTTGCTGCTGGTGTAGAAATGCAGCACAGTAGGGACATACTGATGATGATTAAAAGTGCCTGATATTGGCTGTAATTACTCTATGTGATACGCAGATTTTTATAGATAACATATATAAAAGGACTGNCATATACACGGTGCCAAATCCCAGAAGACTGCTTTCTTCATAGTCACCGCCGTGAAAGCCTCAAATCTTACATATAATAATATGTTTGCCATCATCTATGACATATCAGCACAAATGTGGAATATAAGTTGTGTGACACATTTTGGGGTGTATGAAAACAAGAAGTATGTTTCTGATTGTAAATGGGTTTATGCAGTTTTCCTTTCTTATAATTATGATATTTTTCCTTGTTGATACGACTCTTCTTGCAGCATGGTTTCTGTTTGATATGGGTTGAAGAACCTAATGGGATTAATATGGTGTCAGCACACTACTGACTGGTATTTTGTTTATGATGCTGATGCTTGGTATTGTATGAGAACAGAGATGTTAAGAAATGTTTGTAAAATTTACTATTTTTTTTTGGCAAAGAGCAAAGTCAGATGAACCTAATGATTCAGGATCAGGAGAAGTTGAATTCTGTAACACTTGTCAGAAGCATTTCTCTGGAAATAGAAGAGCCTTGTTGCATTAGTTAAACGTTTTTCATGAAGTGTGCAACCCGTAAAGAAGTGTAAAGAGTGGACAAAGTGTAATTTTTGTCATGTGTATGTGAAGTTTTATTCCAATATCCATACATTTTTTTTTTCATACAAGTTTGCTTTCATCTGTATTTTACATTCTTCACCTGTATGGCCTATGTATTAAGTGACAGAGTCATCTCTGTTATAAAATTGGATTGGCTATTGAATATTTTTATATACAGAGGCTTAGAAAATGCTAAATTAAGATTCAGAAATTGACACTTTATTCCCTTCTTTTGCCATGTACTACTGGTTTTTATTAATGCATGATACAGGATTTTGAAAGTTGCTGGCAGATTTTAGGCATACTTGAAACAATGTGTTGATGCCTGTTAACTTCAGGACATTCATCTATGTATCTGTCTGTAATAACTTCATTGTAGATTTGTTTCATTATTTCCATGTAAAGGTACCAGTCACTGTTAATATAAACACTTTTTTTTATCTAATTCTGCCATGCTTAAATTCTTTGTCATACCTCTGCAAATTTGAGTCATGTATAGGAACAAAAGTTTAACATAGAGATTAGATGTTCTACATACGTACGTACATTGCAGTGATACAAGGTTAGTCAGAAATTACCATAAGATGTGGAATAAATCACAGAAACATAAATGTACAGTATACAGTTACACATAAGGTATGAGTATATGTATCAGTATTGTCAATGTATTCTGTTTACACAAACCTTTAAAAGGACAGTCATTTTTAGACAGTAGGAATTCATCAAGAGAATAGAATGAGTGTGTGAAGTATCATTTTAGTGATCCTTTATATTGTGCTTTTTCATTCATTATGGTGGTATTAAGATTATGGCCGTCTGCAGTTTGATTCCTTATAGTTTGGTAGATGGTAACCATTGTTTCAGGAAAACCTGCACCCTCCACTTCAGGGTGGATGGAGGCAGCAGATTCCTCTGAATCATTGGTTCATATCTACCAAACTACATGGCACCATGTCCTAGAAGACTGTAATCTAGATTATTATTATTATTATTATTGGAGGGGGTGGGTTTCCCCATGCACTTAGACCAGTTATTGGTCCATTGTGCATCCCCCTTTAATTTCTACTGTCCCCATACCCTACCGGTAGATGGTGCGTGCTGTCAGCCCTGTTGAGCCAACAAGGTCAGCCCTCGGTACCTTGATACTTCCCCCATCTACCAGAGGAAACTACTTGGGCGGGAAAGTTTTTACCTAGTAATTTTGCTCAGAGGTCTCCTAGAGACGCGAGGTTCTTTTACCTGCCGTAAATCTATGACATGGGACCCACGGCTTAAAAGTCCCTCCCGGAGGACTTGTTCCCTGAATTTTTCTGCCCTTAAAAATTCCACAACCTCTGCCGGGTGTGAACCCACGTACCTTGAGTTATGAGGTGGGAACGTTACCCCTAGACAATGGAGGCTGCTGTGATCTAGATAATTAACTGTCTTGGAATTGTGAAGTGCTTTCTAGAATATCATTAGAATGGTATGATCACACAGTTGGTGAGGGAACTGAATGTGATTTGGTCCTGTATTCTTGCATTATTTAATTTAATCTTCTGAGATGGCAGTTATCAATAAAACATATCATATTTATCTCCTAGTCAGTGGAAACGATGCATTTCTCTAATAAGAATAAATGTATATGTGCAGTACCAATATTGAACTTTTATATAATTCAAAAGATTCAGTTATTTTCTATGCAGTTTACATAATTTATACAGTATTTTCATGACATATAATGTGTGTATATGTACATATACATGATGTATATCAGTACAATGAGAACTTATTTTTATATGCATCACAAAGTTTTGTACTTTACTGATTTGTGTTTAATTTTTTATAATTTAAACATTGTAAATTAACAGAATATTCTTGGAGTATATCTTAATTAAACTGATACAAAAACATGAACAAAAGGCCATAGTATTTATTTTTATATTGTACACATATTTTCCAAGTGGTACATTATGCTGCCATTAGTATTTGTAAATTCATTACATGCTGTAAGATGTGTAATATGTGCAGCTCTGTTTGGTTCTTCCTTCAATGTTTACAGGTGTTAAGCTTCTTTCCTGTGTGCGTTTGTGGTGCATCTTAGCAAATGATTGATTTAAATGGAGCTGTTTATACAGAGCCACATGACTGGTCATTGCTTGTTAAGACACTTAATAAAAAGTGGCTCACTTTTTCACAGTGCACTGAAGTGTGTTACTAACCCGTTTTATTATCAGATCCTTTTCCAATGAAAATGTTTCGTGAATAATTGTATTTAAAGAAAATCAGTTCTGGGGCCATGTCCTTTTTCACCTTAGGCAGAAAGAGGGGGAGAGAAAAATTTTCTTCATAGGTTGATTTATGCTAGCATTGCTAGCCTTTATGATTCTTAGCAGCTCAGCTAAGAAGGGAACACACATCACAAGACACGGTTTACGCAGAATATAAGAAAAATGACCCCCATAGTGGAAGAACCGCACACAAGTTTTAATTATGACACACAAGATGAATAATCTTAACAAGTTTTAGTGTGTGTAAATTCATTATAGTTGACAAATACGCACTTTTTAAATACTTTTTAAATAATTTTATAAAGGCAAGCAGTGAAATAGATTAGCGTAATTAGGGCACCTGATGATGGCACTATGTTGCTGAAACGTGTCTTGAAGTATTAGATGAAATTGAGTGCACTACAAGACGGCAACTGTATACATATCATGGATGAACATCAGTGCAACAGGACGCTAAAATACAACATTTTGGTGTTCCTCTCATTTCTCAGAATGTTTACTTCTTATGCAGCTAACTGCCTGTAACTGCATTTGTGAGATGATGCACGTCAGTAATCATATTTTGAAAAGTATTACATCCGCAGTGCTGTTAACATATGATACTGCATTATGAATGCTGTTTTTCTTTTTGTATTTCTGCCATCCAGTGAAATCACAAGTGACTGAACACGAAGAAGCACATGTTTCTTAAAAATTAAAACATTTTTTAAAAACAAATTTTAATTTCTTTGAATAATATTGTCACGTGTATTAGTGACTACAGATGGAGTTTGGATTGGTAATTGGATATATTGACCAAATACAGGTCATAACTACAAATAAGTATAACACTCTTGCTGATTTTCACACTAATTTTTTTTTAATTTTTTAAATTCGCTTAGTGGGGGGTGGAGTCCAACTGCATCCACTCGGCATGTCGGCCACTGATTGGCCTATTGTAGCCTGCCCCAGGTGATTATGATGATGGAGTATTTGGAGGAATGAAGATTGGCAGGGGAAACCGAAGTACTCAGAGAAAACCCGCCCCAGCGCCACTTTGTCCACCACAAATCCCACTTGACCAGACCCGGGATCGAACCTGGTCTGCTGCAGTGGGAAGCCAGTGACTAACTGCTTGAGCTATGGCACGGCCGATTTTCACACTAAGACTTCTCAAAATGTTTTCACTAGTCTTCATAGCAACTCTCAACAGTGGCTATTCCTCTGCAATTTTTTCGCTATCCATTTCCTGGCAATTGATTTTAACACAAAAACTGTAACAGTGATGCCTCAGATATTACTGTACTACAGCACAGATGATGTTTTTAAATCATATGCTAAGTCTTCCCTTCACAGGCTGACTTGTTTATATGGTTCTGGTTTTTCAGGTATTTTTGTGTTACATTCGTTATTTTGCAGTATGTTTTTAATGGTGTTTATTTCTGTTTCTTTTGTTCTGTTGGTTATTGGATATGTGTTTTATCAGTTTAGTAGGTGGTTAATAACTGATAGTTTGTGTTCTTATGGATGGCAAGAGCTATAAACACCATTCCATAATCACTGCATTTGGCTGTCCCATTTTTCAAAGCCTTGGAAGGAAGAAAAGGTCATAATATTACCAGAACCCGATAAGGACAAAAGATTCCCTCAAAATTTACATCCGATTAGCCTCTTGTCCACAACAGGCAAACCATTTGAGAAAATAATTCTGAAAATAGTCTTAAGCACACTGAAGAAAGAGGCCAGCTTAATGCAAGCCATTTTATTTCCATGCATGTCACAGCATGATATTGCAATGTCTAAGGCTAATGGACCACGTGATCCTTAGTTTGAACAATAATATGTCTACAACTACGGTATTCTTGGATATCAAAAAAGTCTCTGATGCCACATGATACTCTGGCTTCTTATATAAGTTATCTAAATTGAAATTTTCGACCAGTTTGATCAAGCTTCTTTCACAGTGAAAATTCTGTTTCGGTGGAAGGCGAGATGCCTATGCCAAGGGAAATGGGAGCAGGGGTGCCTCAAGGTTCTGTCCTGTCCCTTACACTATAAAACATATATATATAAATGATGCCCCCCAAACACCTGGTGTTCATCTAGCCCTCTTTGCTGATATCTGTCTGTATGCAGCAGATTGCAAGGAGGGTTTTGTTGTCAGAAAACTCCAGTGTGGTCTCAGATCAATGGAGATGTGGTGTGAGCATTGTAACATTAAAATAAATGAGGATAAGAGGATAAGACTATCATTATTCTACACACTTTCAGTTCACCATTATGCACACACTAGGATCCTCAGTCTTTACTAGTCGTTTCCTGGCAACGGATCTCAACACAGAAACAAGCACTTCAAATCACTATGCAGTCTTCTTGCCATTTCTTGTTCAATCACCCTGGAACCTCAGAACTTAACTGAACTCCATCTATTTCTCACTCCTCCAGCTTATGATTGCTTACAAACGACCTTTATTGTCCCTATAAACCTCACTGCTATGCAAAAATGTGTTTACCAAGTCATTGCCTAGAAATGGTTTGCATAATTCTGTTTTCTATTGTTGTGAGCATGTATTACTTAGCAATGGGTGTTCCTGTGGCTCAGCAGTTCTTGCATGGAGTAAATACACCACAGTATAAAAAGAAAATAACATACAGACACATAGACATAGCAAATAACACATCATATATCTTTGAATATTGCAGATAAAAATTACAGTGATAACAAAAAAAAAAGTAATATTAAAACCTATACCAAAATTCACAATTTGTAAAATTTAACAATAAAAAAAATCACGAACATACATCTTACATTACGGAAAACATGGGAGACCATAAGAAGGTAGCGCATGAAATGATATGAGAGATGTTCTCAAGCAAACGTATTTTAATGGGCAAACAACGAAAATGGATTAACATTGGAATATTTTAGCTTAAGAACTAATGCAGTGTAGCAATTTCAGCAAAGAGAAAGTTCCCTGAGGATGGCCAAGTATGGCCAAAACATGTAGAAGTTTAATGTTAATTTCATTTTAAATTAAGGAGTAACTAAAAGAAATGTTGCATTAAAGATGGAAGTGAGTGTGCAAAGTTCTTTAGATAGAATCAGTGTTTATTATGTATATGTTACTGTTTGTCTAGTGCCTCCACATATCCCCTATGTTGATTTCTCTGATCTTAGCCCACCCAAGCAAAGATCTAGAATCCATTTATGAGGTGGTGACACTCATAGCCCAGACTCCCATAGATATGATCAGTACAGGTGACCTACAGCAGTGACTGGGAAGTTCCCAAATCTCATATTAGGAGAATTAATATTTTCTTAGATGAAAATATTAGTTAACCTTTATGAGCCGAAGGACACTGAACGGGGACCTTTAAACAGAAATCTGATCTTCAGCAAACAGAAAGCCAATAACAAAGCTGGTTTTAACATATCACAACATTTTATCCATACGTTTTCACAAAACGTAAGCCCTTTATATTTGAAAGCACTATTTCTGTCATCACCTTTTGTGGATATAAATGTATGCTCTAAATGCATCTTCTTGGGGGCATGCAGTAGCGTAGTTGGTTGAGGGGCTATGCTACAAGCCGGAAGGTCCCGGGTTCAATTCCCGATGAGGTCATTGGATTTTTTCAATTGACCTAATCCTTCCAGCTGCACTATGGCCCTGAGGTCGACTGAGCCTCTAACAGAAATGAGTACCAGGAATTAATTAAATAATTCTCCTGGTGAGTAAAGCGTGGCTGGTGTGTAAGGCTGACAAACTTACCACCATCTTTGAGCCGATTGTCTAAATCAAGGGTCTCCAAACTACGACCCGCGGGCCACGTCCAGCCCGCGAAAGAATTTTGCAGAAATGCGCCAATTGAACTAATTTTCCAGTGAGTACTGGTAAATGTGATTCCGAGCTTATTGGCCTGACATATTATACTGCAGTTCGATGGCTTAGCTGTGGAAAGGTTCTTTCGTGCTTCTTTCAGCTCAGGAATGAAACCGATATATTTCTTACCGAGAAAAACCATCACAAACCACTTTTATCAGATACCGAGTGGCTTTGGAAATTAGCATTTTTGCTGATCTCGTGAACCATATGAATTTAAAGTTGCAGGGTGAAAATAACTTAGTCTGTGATTTATTTGCACTTATCAAGGCATTCAGAGCAAAGTTGATACTTCTGGAAAGCCAAGTGAAAAACTGTAACTTTGTTCATATGCTATACTGTGCAGAGTTGCATAAAAAGGGTGAAGCAGAATTTCCTCTTTTGCAAATTTAGTCATTTCAGATTTGAAAGAACAATTTTGGAAGCGATTTGCTGATTTGGATGCCAGTGCTCAGGAAATTAGATTCTTTCAAAATCCCTTTGACTGTGATGCTGCAGATGTCCCAAGTCAAATTCAAATGGAAATTATTGAACTTCAGGAAAATTATCATATTAAAGACAAATACAAGGAAGGAAATTTGATCAAATTTTATAAATTTCTGAACTCTGAGCAATTTCCAAATTTAAAGAAATTTGCTTGTAAATTTATCTCCATTTTTGGGACGACATATCTGTGTGAACAAACTCTTTTCCAAATGAAGTACATCAAGTCGAAATACAGGGCAAATTTATCCGATGAACATTTAAAGTCATTGTGATTAGCGTTTCAAAATTTGAACCTCAATTTAATCAGATTTTAAGAATGCAAAAAGAGTTCCATCATTCACATTAATTGTTTTATTATAATTTGTGATGAAAATATGAGCATTTGCTGATACTGTCCGTTGTCATTAATATATGATAATTTATTCTCACGTACTTTGTATTTACTTTATGAAATTCTGTGCTTTCAATAAAACTCATATACCTAGAGTTATTAATTTCTCGTTTTATCCGGCCTGTTGAAAGTACTGAATTACCTAATGTGGCCCACGGTTCGAAAAGTTTGGAGACCCCTGGTCTAGATAATGTGGGACCCTCAGTGTCTCACAACCCTATGGGCCTTCACGGCCTGGTACAGGGATAGCTTACTTTTTTTTGAAATGCTTCTTACCAGACTTTGTCAGTGAGTTGTAGTAATCCCTTTTTGATGAGGGAGACTTCACAAACTGATCTTGTTACTTCCAATGTTATAACAAAGGTGCGAATGGTGGCTGGCACCTTAAACATAATTGGATGTTTCACCATGATGAGGGCATGATATTCTCCGCATTCCAAGAGTCTGTCTTTTGGCAAAGGTGAAAATTCCAGTCTGTGTTCAAAATAATTGCACCTATGTCTGGTCAGGGTTTCAATTTCAGACCACTAAGCTACTATGGTGATAAATGTAACAGCCTCATTACTGTGTCACAAATATAGTGTCTGAGTGCTTTGCATGCTTGCTTCAGTTCTTCCTCCTCGGGTATAGTTAAAAATCTATAGGTGGTTCTTTAGATATGTTACGTGGAACAGGGCTGAGTTGGTGCACTGCGTGAGACTTTGGTCAGTGGGAATCAGAGAAATAGGTGAACTGAGAAATCTGAGTGTTCTAAAAATTCCACACTTCCTGTGAACTCCATCACAGTGCCACAGAGATATTTTTAGCAGACTGAACAGCCTTGATCTCCAAGTAAATGCAGGGCATGGCAGTCTGTTTCTAGTGCTAAGGAGGATTTGGCAAGAGTGATTTCGTAAAGGATTTACCTGTTATTTAATTTTTTCCTGCTTAAATTTTGTGTAAGTGTTGAAGCTACATTTAATGCAGAATAATTAATATTGAAAGGCTGTTGAAAATTAGATTTTAGGATGAGAGGCAACATTTGAGACTAAAACAAAACATAAAAAAAGGCATAGTTGTCCCTGAGCTTAACTAATTAAGCACTAAGTCATGAAGGCATACAGGGGAGTGGATGTATAGATCCATATTTTCTTGACTTCAGCACTAGTTGGAGGTGAGTGGTCAGCTTCACATCCCAGCCACTTTACTCCCAGTGAAAGAGCCCCTGGTACATGTTGGATAGGAGGCTCGGTGAGCCCCAGAGGCGGTCTGGATGATGTGGAGAATAGAAAATTCTCGACTCTACTGGGACCTGAACTCTGACCCCTTGGTCATCCAGGCTGTAGCCAGTCACTATACCAACTGTGCTATCCTGGCTACCCTAAAACAAAACCTGGATTTATTATTAGGCTGAGAGAGTGAAAACTGTTTATCAGAGCAATGATTGATGAGACAGTGGTACAAAATCAAATTTTCCATTCACATTTTGAACTTTTTCAGTGATTGTATATGTGAAGGAACTGAGATTATGTTTGCAGGTTATATGCTGTGTTCTTGTACCAAGGTTAAGAGTACCCCTTATCATCTATCTGATGTGGATTTTTGTTACTTTTTTCACACTAATTTTATTGCTTAAATTATATAGTGAAAGAGTGTTTAGAGAATTATAAGTTGAAGGAATTTAAATTAACTTTCAGAGTATATGTATAACTTTAAACTATGTCAAAGTAATGTTAGTAATTTGTGGTTGATCAAGTGGAGGCTTATATTGATCAGGGTGTCATGAACCATCAGTTGTATTACACTGGGGTGAGGGATGGAAGTTCATTATTTTGATCATGAATCTCCAGCTAGTGTTCATGAACCACTTGGGGAGCAAAAAATGGAAAGTTGTGGTACAGTTTCTTTAACAAAATACGTTTTTCTATAATTAATTTCGAATATAATGAAAAATACAATTTCCTTAACTTAAAAGGGCACACTTATTTCTTAAAGGTATACTTTAAATTTGTTAGTGTTAGGTGAGCAGATTACTGTAATTTCACTTGCATCATTTAAATTTGCTTTTAGGAGGTACTCTAGTTGTGTCTTTTTACATGGAGAATTTGCTGATGTTTCAGATAATAGTTTGTGGCAGACATCAATTTGAAATTTAGCCAGGACATATATTTAAAATTTAATAAAATCAGATGAATGGTCCCAAATAAAGTTCTTATATTCATTTTTTGTGCGTGTGATCTTACATTTTATAAGTAAAACTGTTGTCCTAAAGATGATTTTAACTAAAGTGTTTCAAGACAGGTTATGGCAACTTCAGGCCCAAGGCATATCCTGCAAGTTGTGGTGACATCTTGTTGCCGACATGGCTCAGTAAGAATGTGTTCACATTCCAACACAAGCACTCTTTGTGCAGTCTGCAAGACAACTCCACAAGCACTTCTGTTCAGTGATCACCACAGAGCTTTTCAACATAAGAGCACATGGGAATTGCTGCGGGCTTTGCTTATTCTGAGGGCATGTGGATCTAACTTCCTGGTTGATAACAGTCTTAAGGTGAATTTAAAGACCTAACCAGTCACACAGTATTGGATGTAGTTGGCCTGTTACAGTATTACAAAACAGTATTTCCATTTTTCTTGAAGTCTTGCTAAGCATTTTCTTCCTTTGTACTGATACACAAATTAGCTTACAAGAAACATGCAGTGTCCACTTGACATGCATCTAATTTTTGAGATCTGGATGCCAGAATCTCAAGTCTGCAAATTCTTCTGAACATATTATTGAATCACAGGTATGCATTTATTTAAGCATACTACCCATTTTGTTAATGGGTTTGTTATACAGGTAATTTGGAGAACAAAATGTCTTAACAAATTGTAGGTTGACTAGACACCATTATCGTGGTAAGTGCTAGCTTGGAGTAGCACTGAATAAAAAGCATTATTTCATTCCACCTCCATTGTCATCATATTAAACGACTAGAACAGTTAAGCATATAGTTTATTACAACACATTTTCAAAATGTCCACCGTTGGACTGCATGCATGCTGCCAATTGCTGTGCTATTGAATATGGCCTTTGCATGCATCCCAGTTTGTTTTTGACACCAATGGTGGCTTCACCTATGGAGGTGCTCCACCTTGTTGCAAGAGGCATATTCTATAAATTCAGCTACAATCAAATTTTCAGAAAATTCATCTAATTCGGAGCTGTTAAACATATCTTGATAACACTTGATCCAGTGAGGTTATTACCTAATACTCCATACCACACATTAACTGGAAATTGGTGTTGACAATGACATTCTGCTATCTCATGTGGATTTTTGTCTGCTGAAGAGTGCAAATTCTTTGTGTTGGTAATACCATCTTGGATAAATTAAGTTGCATCCATGAGTAGAATGTTATGCAGAGTGTATGTATAGCCATGGTTGTAGCTATTAACAAAAGTGTATATGGTTGGCATGATTTCCCAATATTATGGCTGCACTGCAACTTACCACAGCATACAAGTGGGAACTCGGTCAAGTTACAGTGGTTCAACTTGATCTATCACCAGTTAACTTGATAAGTGTCACACTGATGTATAGTTTATTGGATTTTTTTGTGTTCTAAATGACCTGTGGAACGTTGCAGAACATTCTGTATAACATAATGCTAACTAGAACTTGTGGTCTGGCTGATATCAAGTCATCAGGCCAAAGCCAGTGGGTGAGAAACACTGCTATATCATACCATACTGTTCTGAATTCCAGTTTGGTCTCCATTCTTATGCTGATTGCTGGAGACAGCTCTGAAACAATGTTCAGCTTGAATTGGTAACATTATGGTTGCCCCATTTGCTGTATACCACATATACAAATCTGTCAGTGTCTAAGCTCTATGGCATGAAAGTATAGGCATGATTATATAGCCTCATATATCACAGGGAAATTACGCCATGTTTCATGCCCTGACTGCCTTAGTTCAAGTTAAAGAGTCCAGAGTATCTTTTGGATAGAGTTCGGGTGGGTCATAATCCATTCTGGATGTGGTGAAGAGAAGACTCAATGCCTGAGTTTGAAAACAAGCCCGTCAGGAATTAATCTTGACAATCAGGATTCCATTTGAATCCCACAGTCAGTCATTGACAGAGTTCTGTAGAAAATTAATGCAATATTAATATAATTAATACACTAAAAACTACAGGGAAAGAAGTTTGGGAACCACCCACAGTGAATCGAAAGCTAGCCAATCACAGGCTAGGAACCAGCCAATTGCTTAGTATTGGTGTAGGGGGCTCATTTCGGCAGAGAGGTGATGATATTCTCTACTTCTGAGGTGTACCGGTGGTCCAGTTGTGTGAGATCACATAGTAGAACTCGGTTTTCTTGCCGCTGATGCCGCCAAAGGTGAACTGTGCTTGGGCGAACCAGACAACTGTTCTCTCGGCCCAGAATGGAAGAAGCCGCACGGCTACTCTTCTGTAGTCTGCATTGTTCTTTGTCAGGGTTACCAGTTCCTAGTCTGTGATTAGCTAGCTCTTGATTCATGGTGGGTGGTTCACACAGAAGACTGAATTACTAAATTAGTAATTGGTTGGCACACAGATACTACGCAAAGGGCAGCAGATATTTGGAGACCAAATCCTGGGATTGTTCCTTCATCCTACAGTGTACTCCCAGTTTGTGGCAGGTGAAGAGAGTTCTGATTTGGCTGTAACGGCAAAATCACTTCAGAAGATGGAAATCAGGCTCATGGTGGCTCCCACATTGGAGGAGGATGTAGGAGAAAGCAGCTTGAGGTCTGCAATTAGTCATAATTAAGGGGTATCTGTTTGAGATATTATTATTTTCTGCAAGTGTGAGAATTAAATTCTGATCCTCTACAGCATTCCTAAGAAACACTGCTTTCTTTGGAGCATTATTTGTAAGATATGTTATCAATATTAGACAAACAGCTACCAATTTTCATGAAACTTGGCAGGAACATCATGCTACAGGATGTACAATTTATTATTAGACTGGCTTCCACAGATGCGCATCACTCTACCTGCATAAATCTGCAATGGTAGAGAATTATTCTTGTTTTATACCATTCTGGATGGGAAAATTATCAGACAAATGTACCTATATGGACTTTGCTATATCTTTTAATCAGCCTAACTAGTTTCATGGATACCCAAAACTCTATCAGAATATTGTAAAATACTTCCCTCCTAAATGAATCAGAGGCTTTCTTGAAGTCTATGAATAGCTGATATACTGTCTCATCGTACTCCCACTTTGTCCCCAGTATCTGACGAATGCAAAAGATCTAATCAATAGTTGATCTGTTATGTGAAAACCCACAATGATGATCCCCAATAATTTAATCTAAGTATGGACTTAACCTTGAGAGAAAAATATTGGATAACATTTTGTATGAAGTTGACAGCAGTGATATCCATCAATAATTACTGCAGTAGTTTTATCACCCTTCTTGTGAACTTGTATAATGCTAACTCCTTCCACTGATCAGGCAATTTTTCCTTATTCCATATCATTAATTAGCCAATGGAACTTAGAACTTAATATTTCACCTTCTGCTTGTCTCAATTCTGCTGGAGTCTGATCACTACTTGCCGATTTTTACCTTTCAACTTTGCAATAGCAATTTGAACCTCAAAAGGGCTAGGATCAGGTACTAACGGCTCAGCTGTATGTATTTCTATCTGCCTGATATCACCGACCCTATATATATTCAATAACAGAGAAATAGTTCTTCCTCCTGTTCAAAATGTTGTGAGAATGGCTCTGGCCATTTATGTGGGGGTACTGCCCTCTGACCTTGGCCTCTTAAGGGTTTCAGTAGGGGTTTCACCATGCTTGGACGCGCCTGCATTTCCTGGTTGCTGAATGCCCCCAGTTCCTGCTTCGCTTGTCCTAGCTCTTGCCTTTTTAAGTTTCCATCTAGAGCATCCAGACAGTGCCTTCTTTGCCAGATGGAGTTCACCTACTTCCAAGACTATGTGTCTCAAACGGAAAGGTAGCCTCAGGTAGCTCTCCCAAAGGTCCAGTGGGGTGTCATCCTACTTTAAACTTGGCACACGACTTGCACTGCCTCACATATGTTTCACATCCCTGTCCATATTGGGCCATAAATAATAAGTTCAATTTTCATTGCATCCATCCTATTGTGTTTATTATATCGTAACGTGTCTTGTTACTGTTTCTCTTCTCCCCCAATAATTCTTTATTGGACTCCGCTGTAACACAATAACGTAACAGTCATGGTCAACATCACCGTCGGTATTTTTATTACACGTTTCGGCTTTCAAAGCCATCATCAGGCAAAATGCATGGTTACCATACTCACACACTAATGAACTGCATTTCAGTGTGACAGTAGAGCTGGATACTTGACAACTATGTTACACAATAATAATAAAAGGTATAAAGGTCATGTATACATACTATATACTGTCATGACTCAGTCACCAGAGTAGCATTGATGACAATAAGGTGCATCCCCAGAAGTGAGCTGTGAATTAAAGTTTAAGAGGTCTTAAGACATACATCTCTGGGGGTGGAGAATACCATTGTGTGTACTTACTATAGGATTCTGACGATGGTGTACAACACACTGATATGTTGGGTTTTTGGACTTTATCCATCGTCCTGGTTTTTTTAAGATAACAAATAAAAACACAACGTTTCGGAAACTGGATCTGTTTCCGTTCTGTTGGACTTTGGATAAAGTCCAAAAACCCAACATATCAGTGGACCATTGTGTGTCCTTTAAAATTCTAACTAACTAAACTGTGCACATGTATTATCTTAGTTTCCTCAAACTGAATTAATTTCCTGTATCTGTTGTAGGCAAGACAAATATGATAAGAACTTGAATGAAATGTTCAGATTGGCAGAGATGACACATTGCCACGGTGGAGTTCATCCTTGCTTGCAGACCAAGATCACAGCTCTGGTATCTGCTGATACATTGGTACATTGATTCTGTTGCTTTATATGGGAATGCTTATCATTCTGTAACCCATCACATAAATGGATACACTCAGAAATTGTATTGCCAGAAGCAGAAAAACAAGTGCATTCCTATGCATGGGTGTTAAGAACAATAAAATATTGAAGAGTGGGAGCCGGGATAGCGTAGTCAGTATAGTGACTGGCTACAGGGTGGGCGACCAAGTGTTGGAGTTTGAGTCCTGGTAGGGTTAAGAATTTTCTCTTCCTCACATCATCCAGACCGGCTCTGGAGTCCACCAAACCTCCTATCCAATGTGTACCCTTTCCCCTGGGGGCTAAAGCAGCTGGGGCATGAAGTTGACCACTGACCTCCAGCTAATGCCAAGGTCAAGAAAATGTGGATCTATTCATTCACTCCCCATACGCTTTCTTCGCATAGTGCTTAATTAGTTAAGCACAGGGACAATTTTAAAATATTGAAGAGTTCTATTTTCTGGAATATAATGCCATGTAATTCACTGAAATTCAAGTGACATTTGGGAGGAACATGCTGCCTTCACTTCAGGATTTAAGAATAGGCCAAGCAAGAAACCAGCACGAAGCAGGCATCAAGCAAAATATTTAATCATCATTTTCACACAATTCTGAAATTTGGACACTGAAACAAAGTGATACAAGAAGGTGAAAGGCAGCAGAGATGAAATTTATGTTTATACAGTTTACAGTTTTACAGTTTATACAGTTTATTGAGTTGGACAAATGTAGCAGCCATGTTTAAAATTATATTCCTGTATTCCATATGCTATAGGAATGAAGGTCCATCATTGTCAGTTGATGTTGACAGTTATGTCATCATAAGGAAGTCATTAGATTCTGATTTGAACACACTTCCTGTATTCATGTGCTGATGGGAAATTCAAACATACTTACACAGGCCTTTTATTCCACAAGGCTGCCTACACGTGATATAACATACCCTGGTTCATACAGTAGACAGACTTTAATAACTGTAATCAAATATTCTCAACTTACTAAGTGAATTTATTAAATTGGACACATCCTGCCATTAACCTAATGAGAAGTACATAGAGATTTTTAACTCTGTTGACCGATTCACGGCTTTGCGCTTCATGGCGACTGGTGCGCTGCTTGCCACAAGGTCCACACGAATTTTGCTGCTGTATCAGTATGTCTGATGGCCAATAACATTTGGAATAAAGGGAAGTAATTAACTTTTGGACCACTTGATGGCATTATGTTTCACAGCAAACAGTGCGGTTCATGGGTGGGAGTTTGCTTGATTTGTCAGTAATCAGCAGCACCTCCATTAGCCATTTGTTCTCAGTTACAGTTAGTAAGAAGTGTGGTATGTCATGGTGCAATATACTTTAGAGCAAAGTGTATCTCTGTATGACACCTAAGTGAAATACAGGTCTGCTAGAGGGTGTTGGCAACAATTTGATGATGAAAGGAGTCCCCATCAGACAGACAATTCACAATTTGGTGAATAAACTTAGATCAACAGGACTCTTAATAGACAAGAAACAAAAACATAAGTGCCCAATGCTTACTGATGAAAAGTTAGATGACACAGGGGCTAGACTTGACCATACACCTAGAAAATCACTGACATGTCTAGCTCAAAGACTGGAGTGTCAAAGTCTAATGCAAGAATGGCAACATAATTGCTGAAGCTTAGACAATAGTAATCCATGCATGTCTTGCAGCCATGTGTTCCAGCTAGCAGGGATCATTTTTGCAGTTGGTTTCTACAGTCTGTCATCATATGTGTGATTCATCCACAATTGCCACTCTTCCTGGATGAAGTGTGGTGCAAGGATACATAAATACGCAAAATAATCGCTACGGGAGTTCACAAAATCCAAATCTAACCCACGAAGTCCTGCTTCATCCAGTGAAAGTTGGTGTCTGGTGTGCTGTAAATGCAAGGATTGTTGGACCCGTGTTTTTAACACAGCAATTAATTCTGAAAGATATCTACATGCAGAGGAACAGCATTTTCAGCACCTCCTGTGATGTGTGAATTGTAACTACTTCATTCTGACCTTTATCAGCCATGAAGCATGATGATTCACTGGCAAAACTTGTATGTGCCTCACAGTTGCTGGTGCACTGGTTTCCATGAAGGACAGAGCTGTGGAACTGATCAACAAAGTAAAAATACTCCCTGTACAATTACGTGAGCTTATAATTACTACAAATTTAAATGTCTCTCTACATATGTAAAAAAGTAATATGTCTTCTCCATGTCAGTTGCAAAATGTCTGTGGGAATGCCTATGGAGACACCATATGTTGATGTGCTAGTGGATTTACTAGTGTAATTAATATAAAATAATATAGTAAGTAGTTATGAGCATCATATTTAAAAATAATATAGAATATTTTTGTACTTTATTTTCTAAGGCAAGAGAAATATAATACTTAGAATCTACATATTTTCTTGTCATTTCTTTCAGCGCAACTTGTCCCACATTTATGTAAAAAAGAAGGCAGATTCATGGAGAGTGATGGTGCAACATATGGCTTCTGCCATGTTAAACAGAGTGCAACTACCAGACATTCCTGGCATTAATCACAGAGATATTGAGAATATGTCCATAGCCTTAGGAAGATTCAGACAACTTGGTAAAACATATAACATAATATTGTTGCTTTTATTTGGCACAAATAATTGTTACATAGTAATTAACTCCATGAGGCAAAGTTGCTTTTGAGAAGCTAACAGTCACACAGTTTGTCAATAAATTTACCATCTTTTATGAAATCCAAGCAGTCATTTCTGTATTCACAAGAATTAGTGGAGGCTGGTACATATCCTAAGCCAAATGAATCCATCCCCCACTCTACCAACCTATATTTTAAGACCCATTTTAATACTACCTTCCCATCAATGCCTCTGTCTTCCAATCTGCTCCATCTTTTCAGGTTTTCTGATCAGAACTCTGTAAGCAGTTTTGGTCTCTCCCATGCATGTTACATGCCCGGCTCATCTTGTCTTCCTTGATCTGATAATATTTGATGAGAGTACAAAGATCTTCATTATTCGTTCTCATGAACTCCGTTCTAAAACACCCCTAATCTATGTTCTTCCCTAATGTAAAAGGTCAAATTTCACACAAATACAAAACAATAGGTAAAATTACAGTTTTGTATATCTTAATTTTTAGATTTTTCAATAGGAAGTGGAATAACAAAATATTCTCAACTGAATTAATCTACTCTTACTTTCTTTGTGAATGCAGTTCTGATCTGTTACTGCTGTTCACAACATTTGAACTTTACCACATTTCTGAAGGTGTATTACTTACCTTTACATTACAATTTTTCTTGTGTAGCTGAGTGACTGGTGGCTTCTAAAGGACTCAGTTCCATGGAGTTAGTTACAATTTTATCCTGAATTCTGAATATGTCACATACATGCCTAGATATTAGTTGCTTAGGGACATGAAGTGATTAGAATGTGATGTGACACTTTGGTTCTTGAAGGTGAGGTTGCTGCAACAAAGAACCTATGTCTGTTGGTAGATGCAGAGTACAGCTATGTAAACCCAGGCTGCAGCCTTGTTGCTCTAGCAATGATGGCAGTATTCAACCAGAACAGACCTGTTGTAGCTAACACATACCAGTGTTATTTCAAGGTATTGACCCTTTTTTCTATGACTGAATTTATTTATATTGTTCTGAAGATGGTACTCACACAACCAATAAAGAATATAGCGTATAAAACTGAAGTATGCAAGGGATGTCAGATATTACCATTATTATCTTGGACTGGTTGAAGAGTTAGAGACGCAGGTAAGGAAAGAAGTGTGTATCTATGTGAAGCAGGTTTATGTATCTATGTGTGTGTGTATATACAGGGCTAAAAAATATGGCTAATCCTACTTGCCAAACTAAAAATTCATTCACCAGCTTAATGACTTTGGATAAAAGAATTTATTTTTCACAGTAGGTCTATATGAGTTTAAATAATTTTAACCCATTAACTGTCAGATTTTTTGAAACCAGTTTTTCCAACTGATGATAGTGATTTCTAGCAATATAAGTAGGAAGGATTTAAAAAATCGGTATTTTGAAAGATTTTGGAACAGCAAATTAAGAATGGGAATAGAGAATATTCTTATCAATTAATTTTAATGAAATAAACAGAACTGATGACCTGGAAAGACATTTATTTTTTATCGAACTGTAAAAAATGATGTATTTTTTCAAGAATTCTGTGGATTAACGTCTAACAAAGTATACATTTCTAGTTTTCTTTATGAGATGTATTTTATGTCTTGCAGACTTTCACATCCTATAGTGAAATGGGGCTTATGAGTCATTAGAAAAAATGACTACACTATATTTCTGCTCAGCAGCTCACAAAAATCAGCTTTCTCTAATGGGCATTATATTCTGTGTGTGTGTGTGTGTCACTTCAGGTTTTCTATAGTGAGATTTAAAAAGGTATTTATAGTGGAAAGACAATTCTTGTGAGTAACTTTTCCAAATTTAGGGCTGATTGGACGGTTCTGATGTATTTTTCTTAAACGTTCAAGCCAAGGACTTTCCAAAGATAGATTTTCTTGGCAATAATGGAATGCAGATCTTAGTGAAATGGCTTTCTCTTTTACGTTTCTATATGCTTGTACTTCAGATCTCACAACACAATAAAGTTTATTTCTGGTGAAAGTTGCAAAAATTCTCTTATTATCTTTGCCATGTCTGTCTACCTGTTGACATGTAACAATTTCAGAACTGCTGAATGAATTTTTATGAAATTTGATGTTAGTTATACATCTTGTAACTCAAGAAGCGCTGTATTTTTTTGATCAAATTTTATATTGGAGGTCAATCCTTGTCCTCCATGTTCAGAAGAGTGACCACGTGGGGAAAAAAAAGTGAGTGAAATACAGACAGGAGGCCAAGGAGTGGGGTAAGAGCAGGTGGAGTAAAGTCAATGGAATCCATGGGTTTGAAAAGTACTGCATTTGCAGATAGAAATCAGCTAAAAGCAAGTCAACTGAAGCAGTGTAAGCCAAATGGGAACCTCTGGCACTGAAAAAGGCTAAATTTTCAGAGAGGAAGAGAGCTAAAATGTAAAGAAAGTGAAAAAAATAGCAATGAAATAAAATAAAGAGTGCCTCTCTTATACTCCCTGAAGAAATAAAGAGTGACTCAGTCCACTTCTAAACATGCCCTTACTAGGGCCTTCTGGAAACTCTCCTTTTCACAGTCTTAGGCAATGATCCTTTTCAGGATTTCATTCTTCTTCCTTCCCTTCCACATAGTCTGTTTATCTTCACTTCCTTCCATTGACCTTTTCCTTCAACAAGATTTCTGTATTATTTTACCTGTTTCATTTTCATCCTTGTTTTTATCATATTATTTTATTTGTATTCTTATCTCATTTAATTTTATTTTGTCTTCTCACTTCTTTCCACTCCCTTCTCTTTCACTATTTTTATTAGATTATTTTAGATATTCTCTGCACCTTTATTTCTCTTCCTCTCTACAAATCCAGCCATTTCTATTGTCATAGGTTCCAATTTGGTTTACAGTGCTCCCACTGGTCCGCTCTTAGCCTGTTCCTATCTACAAGTGTAAATCCTTTCAGGGTCATGGGCTCCTACTTCTCTGTATCACTGATCACTTCTCCCCGTAAGGATTACTCTTCTACGCTGAAGGGAAGCAGCATGTTGCTCCAAAATATTGGTAAATATCTACCAGACTACATGGCATCACATTTAAAAGACAGGTTATCTTCAGCCAGCTGATTGATTGATTGATTGCTCGATCGATCGATCGATCAATCAATCAATCAATCAATAAGAAGGTAATTTGATTAGACTTTTTGGACATTATCCACAGTCACATTTTAAAATAAAAAACTTTTCAATTTTATCTACAATTAATTACGTATTCTTAAGTTTTCATACAGAGGAAAATGATTCTGGACACAAAGTTCTGGTTTTTAAGTGAAATTATGTTTGTTCACAAGGGGGCTTTGGAGACACTTACACTCGAACTAGATGTCATTGAAAGCCTGGGGGCATGTTTTGCTGCAAAACTGGTGAGAGGAGCATACCTCGAGAGGGAGAGGGAACTGGATACTACTAATATTTGTGCATCCTATGCTGAGACTGGAGATAACTATCACAGGTGAACTATCATTTGCCAGAGTTTAATTCACGAATATTATTATCCCACACATATTCTTAATGTTTAACATTTGAAGACTAGTGATATCACATTTTGTTTCCTTCTGGGACTTAATAACTAAATAGCTGCAATTTAAAGGTATATATCCAAGAACCAGCATAATGTATTTTTAGCACACTAACATTTAACAAAACTAAAACAGCTGTTTAATTACTTTCATGTAGTGGCTGTGGATTTACTTGTTGATGCTGTCAGTATCTCAGATTGTGCAGCATTAAATGATAGGATTAATGGTGAATAATGAAATGAAAAGGATTTGGAAGGAAGTGGTCATGTCCTAACTGAAGCACTATCCAGACATTTTCTTGGAGGAACCGAGGAAAACCACAGAAAAACCTCAGTCAGGATGGCCAGTGTTCTGGCCAAGCTTTGAAATGGGTAACCCCCCTTCACCCAAATACAAGCCTACAGGACTGCCACTACATCAGTGTGTTCATTCTTTTCATGTAATTAATTACATATTACTGGTACACACATTTTTGTCAATTTGTGCTGCTTCAAATGATTATGAGAAAATAAAGCAACTATATGGTTCAAAACTGAAAAAATTCTACAACATCCTTAATTAAGATATATCCATTACATTTATTATTAAACATGCATTTCAACACATGCATGTTTTATTCAGATTTGGTTTTAAATAGATTAAATATTCTTAAAAATTAACTCTTTGAAATATGGCATATTTTGACTCATATGTCTAAAATGCAACTAAAATTAACTTGAAGAGTCTTCATATGTATATAATAATGGCAGATTTCTCCAATAAATTCTGACCTAATCTTGAGATACTCATTGGGTTTCTAGGGTCCTCGAACATGCTTTGATGCATGCAAAGAAGGCTGGATCAGATCGATGTCTAGTCATTATTGCAACCCACAATGAGGAAACTGTTCGTCATTCTGCTTCACGCCTACTTGAACTTGGACTTGACCCTAAGGCTGGACATGTGGTGTTTGCACAGATCTATGGCATGGCTGAACAAATCACTATGCCATTAGGTGAGATGAGATAAAAATGAAATGCACAGTTATTAAAGTTACATAATACCTTAGTTACTATAGGATTCTGATGATGGTGTATAACACACTGATATATTGGGTTTTTGGACTTTATCCATCATCCTGGTTTTTAAGATAACAAATAAAAACTAGTGGGGTCCAGTGATTGAGGCTAGCTCTTTCTAACGGACCCAACAGAATAGGTGTTTTCCTTCACCTGAGGACGGAAACAGATCCAGTTTCCGAAACGTCGGGTTTTTATTTGTTATCTTAAAAACCAGGACGATGGATAAAGTCCAAAAACCCAATATATCAGTACATAATACCTTGTATTCACAACAGCACATGGTGCCTCCATAATTTATTTATCGTATGAACACTTTGTCACTGAATTCCATTATGTAAAATACATTTCAACCTTTTCACTGCTGATAATTCAAACAAATGTATGCCACTTCCCTGACAACCAATTTGATGTTTAATGCAATTAAAATCCAATTCACAGAAAACTTCATCTGTAACTTATGGTAAGCTATAAGATCACAGTGCAATAATAAATACTGTTAGGGCATCTTTAGTTTTAGATGTATATCTTATTAACATAAGGGGATCTGTTACAGTGCATGCAGGCTACCTGGTTTACAAATCAGTGCCAATGGGCACACTGAGTCAAGTGCTTCCATATCTAGCTCGGAGAGCTGCTGAAAACAGATCAGTGTTGCACGGAGCCCGGAAAGAGAGGGAACTGCTACAGCAGGAGCTCAGTCGGAGACTCAGGTCCATGTTTCAGAGATGAGCTGTGCTTGAGAGGAAACAAAAGCCTATGTATGGCTCTTGATTCAGTCTTCTACTCTTCTAAGCTTTGCTTCTCATTACACTACATTACATTCATTACATATACAGATTATAGATTCATCACTCATCGTTTTATTCATCATGTGTTATGTTTGTTTCCATATGCCTGTATTCTTACACGCCAAGAATTTATACCTATAAACTTATTTATGGTCATGTATAATTTTGTACCCCTTTCTTGTGAGGAAAAATTTTGTGGTGTACCATCAACGTGCCAATGAAACATTAGGGTGTGCCATGAACCAAAAAAGGTTTCAGAAAACTGTGCTAGGTTGTGCTAGAGTACATGTGATGGTTCTAGAACAGTGACTTTGCAATGACTTCCCCATGGAGAACTAGACAGTAAGGGAGCATATGTATGCTGTAAAGGTTTTCATTCAACAGGGTCCATTACAGAATTCTGTTGAAGACTTCAAGAGAATTTATCACTGGGGAAAGCCCCTTTCCAAATGCAATTCACCAATACATCACACAATGGCTTGAAGAAGGTTCCTGTCAATAAGATCTAAAAGTTTGTGATGATGGTAAATTGTTACAATTAATATGTTGCTGGACATGATTTCATTCTAGATACTTCTCTGGTATTAAGCCTCAAATATGATAGCTTCAATATTTCTTAACTCTCACAGATGGATTATGTTGTCCTTGTTTTATGAACCCCTTCTGAAACTGGCATAGTTGTCCGGAGATAGGGGGCTAGCTCTGTCTATTGGACCCAACTGAGTAGGTTTTACCTGAAGACGGGGACACATTCCAGTTCCTGAAACGCTGTGTTTTTAATAGAAACTATATGGTTTTTAAGAACAGACAAGATGATGGATAATGTCCAGCAATATATTAATTGTAAGGTTCCTGTCATTTGTAAAAAGCCACCTGGTTGACCTTGTTCACTATACATGCCTGAGAATATTGCACAAATTCTGCCATCTGTTGACCACAGTCCCAGGTGGTCAGCATATAAGCATGCTAAAGGTTCACACACCTGACAGGAGTGTAAGGCAGATCTTGCACAGTGGCCTGAACTTTCACCCCTACAAATTCCACTTACACAACAGCTCAGGGACTGTTACAAGGTGTGCTTGCAATTTTATCATCAGCTGCTGGAAATAATGACTGCTGGGAATCCAGACATGCCAGACAACATTCTAATGAACAATGATGCACATTATAAAGCAGAACATCTGATATTGGGCAGCTGAAAATCTGTATCAACATCACGAACATCCCCTGTACAACCATAAAGTTACTCTTCGTTGTGCAGTATTGTCTACTGCAGTCAATGCACTCCGTTTCTTCAAAGTTGAAGATGGGCAAGCCATCACAGTTACAACGCATCGTTACATTCATATGACTGAAACATTTCACATACCAAGAGTACAGAATCTCCCAAGGCATGAAAATCTATTGGTTCAGCAAGATGGTGCTACAGCCCATATGGAAAAAATTAATATGACTGTGATTTACAGTTTGTTTCTGAAGCAGGCGATTCCCATTCCATTGATGGTCCTGGCCTCCTTGTTGACCATACCTAACTGCTCCCACTTACATTTCTGGGGATACCTAGAAGGTAAAGTGTATGGTTGCTGGCCAGCAGATATAGATGAGTTGAAAGCAGGAATTCAAGAAGAAATCATGAACATTTCAGAAGAAGCACTATGGGAAGTAAGTCAGAACTTCCAAACTCATGCGCACCAAAGTATTAAAAAAAATTGCTGTCATCTAAAGGATGTTCTTTACAGAAATTAAATTTTGTAAAAGATGAGAGAACCACAGAAACAGAATAAGTGTTCATAATAAAATAATCTGATTTTATTAAAATGTACTCCACTTTAGAAATGCTTAATTATTTTTGCTACACCCTGGGGGGGTTTCTTGTCTTTATTGTCCAGAGAAAGCTACACATAGATTTGAACCATGGCTGGGTCACTGACGGTCCTGACCATGGTTCTTCATGGTTTTCCTCACAGCCTCAAAGCAAATGCTGGGACAGCACCTTGTTCAGGCAACAACCACATCCAACTCCTGTCCAATTCATCAGTCATCTGATGCTACAATCTCAACTGACATTCAAAGTGCTTCAATAAAAAAGCCCCTATATTATTACTGATTTTATATTTTGACCCCTTTTCGTGTCATTTTCATACATTTTCTGTCTACTGTGCTCTGCTGTTGGCCACTGTTTCTTTCTGAGTTTGCAATTTTATATCATTCTTGGTTGTACCTGTGCTTCTTGATTATCTCAACAGATTCAGTCCTCTTTTATGCATGCCAAATTGCCATTTTCACGCTTTGCTATGGGGAAATTTATTGACACAAGCTTCTCCTAGATTAAAACCAGACAAGAACCGAAGCCGTTATATTACCTGATACAGCAGAACTAACTGTGTAGGGCAGTTATACTGCAGTTACACTTTACATTGAATTATCCTGGGTTATAATATCATATACTCCCACAGGTGGTTACTTGCAATTCTTAAACAATGCTTTCATTCTGCTTTCAGTACAAACTATACATATGCAAATAAGCAACATATGAGATTCAAGTTCCCTCTGAAGTAGAGCAGAGTCCCTCTTCAAGGAAGACAATAAGACTGCAGCTTCGTATCTTCCTTTACCCTGAGAAGGAATTAAAGTTTAGGAAGAGAGACTAAAGTGATCTGACATTTACACATTTACATATGACAAGGAAGATAGAAAAAGGAAGAAATATATAACTGCAGAGAGGGTGGGTGAAAGGGATATTACAATAGAGCTAGTCCAAAACAAACACATGCTAAAATAGGTTTCATTTCCTACATACACATTTCTCTTCATGGAACTTCTTCTAACAGCATGTCCCTCTGACACACCAGTAACCACCTGTGAGACTACATGGTGTTATAATCCAGAAGATCACAATCTATGGGATCTAATTTGTTTCTGTTTAAGCTTTTAGTAATCATTAAATGGACTTTGTCACTGCAGGACCTGATAAGAGCATTGAGGCATACAGGTATGAGACATTTTCTTGTAACGGGAGTAGAAAGTCTGAGAATGAGAACGGTGTATGCAAGATGAGGGAAATACTTTGAAGAGGCAAGAATTAATTTGAAAGCAGCATAAAATTGTATACATAAAAAATAATACCAAACAATACAGCAAAGTAGGATGTAAAAGTAAAAAGAGGTCAGGAAGAAAAGAGTATCATAATTTAGAAACAGAATATCAATACATGGAATATTTTAGTATGACTGAGGTTATGTAACAGTATTTTAAACAAGACCACTTCAGCATATGAAATAATCAATGAATATATTTTCAGTTACAAACTGTTTTAATGTAAACCCCTGAAGATGTCTCACAAAGAGATCACAAAAAGTCAGTAAAAATTAGATGTCAGAATATCACATATCCAGGTTAGCCTGGTCTGTACAGCTGGACAACCAGTGTTTGATTCTCAGCAGTCAGATTTTTGTCTTTGCCACCAAGTCCAGATTGGTTTTGGAGTCTGTTTAACCTTCTATACAATGCATACAAGAGGCTTTTTCTCTGAAGGTAAAGTGACAAGTGAAACTGATCACTCACATTACTTTAGTGCTGAGGTTAAGACTGTGTGGAACTGTAACTTCCACTCCACTACATGTTTTCATGATGTGATGCTTAATGAAACACAGGGACACTTTACCTTTACCATACATAGCTGTACATGAGAGTAAATATAGATCTCACTTGTTGACAAAACAACAGCATGGAAAATGTAAAGTTCACTGCAATATCTGTCAAAACAGATTCACTGTCTATGAGTTGAAGCAACAGAATATCAACAGCCACTTTAGCTGCAATTTAATTCACTCATTTGACCAGAGGCTCCATTTCTCATTTGTGTTCTACATTCACTTCACATGAAAATCACAGAGGAAGGTATTACAAAATATTTTGCTGTTCAATAAAAACAATGTCCCCAACATTTTAAACACTTTTAGTGTAAAGTTAAAATTGTACAAATAAACTAGTCATTATGTGTACTTCTCATAAAAGGCAATTAGAACAGCACCAATTCGCAAGCACTTTTCATTTTTTGATATATCCATTCTGCGTACTTCATTTAACCAAATGTATACACAGTAATATTAAATGACAATATGAAAATTTATTACAACACAGTGTATAAAATGTTTAACCTTTTGGTGAGTCTCTAAAGACCCTGTAAAACTTATGCAAAGAAAACTCGCACAGTATTTTTATCTAAGATAAAATGATTATCCTCCTTGATATGAAAGCTGCAGGTATGAAACACTTATCTTTCCGGCTCTCTGGCATAAATTTTTACCTTTACCACCACAGAGCAGTTTCAAGCATGAATCCAGAAGCGCACATCATATACAAGGGGAACTATGTAACTGGTGCTGTGAATTTAAGTGATGTTTTACTGCTGCTTTAATTGGGTTTAATACTATAAGCGTGAAAACACTTCTATTTACTACGTGATATCAAGTAAAGCTTATAAAAGTAATCACAGTTTCTAGTACTCAAATGCAATGTTGATACCTGAAAGTCTTGAGTATCTTCATTGGAAGACTATCATGAGACATCCATTAGGGGCTAAACCACAGGAATTTAGTTGTCTTGTCTTTAAAAATTGACACTGAGTCCTATGTTGAAGCAGGCTCCCGTACTTGGTGACTCGGATGAATTAGGATTATATCTTCCTCTGAGCCTGAGTCTTCATCATCATAGTATGGTCGTGTAAGTGTGCTAGAACCTACCATGATTAGCAAGTATTAATTACACGTAAAACTATATGGTCACTTATTATTTTTTGATCGATCTCACCAAAATACTTACATGCTCACTACAGAACTCATTTTATATTTCCATAATATCATACTGCGCATAAGAGAGTTCAGAATAGCCATAAACATTCAAATAAAGAAAGGTTAGCCATTACAACAGCACACTACAGAATAATACTGGTTTTCAACTAAGATCATTTTGTAAATCCAACTTATGGCACAAAAGGATGCTATATAAGGTAACATTCTCACACTATTTCTTTTCATCAGAGCAGTTCCTTCACAATTTCCATCTACTGAAACCTGGTATTTCTGAGGGTTGCATCATCTACCTACAGGACTGGACCATAGCAGAACACTCTAATCAGGGGGATTATTGCAACAAGTGGTATCAAAGGTTGGGGGTGGGTGAGAGGGGCCAGGCTTCTCTCACCCCTCCAGAATTTTAGATGAAAATCAAGATTGAAAAGTGAAGGAAATATGCCAAATATTAATACCACAATTAAATGATTAAGAATTTCTTATTCTAACCTGTATATAAAGAGTGATCCATAAAAATATTTTTAAACAGCTTCAATATAAGTTTGTAAGCAAGTTTTATTGCCTGTCACCATTAGAAAAAATCCTGACAGTGCCCATGATCACAATGAACCTGTGTGTTCTATTTTCAAGAGAGTCAGTCAGTTTCACTACTTCCCTAGAATGATGTGTCCTATATTCTGAAATAGAAAATCTGTCCACCTTAGATTCTACCTAATTAAAAAAAAATTAAACTGTTACTTGAAACAGCAAAATTTTACAATAAGGACATTACAAACATATTTACCTGTAAGTGATGTTTGGAAAGGGTCTACATCTTTGTAGTCACCTTCAAACAGTAATTTTTGTGGGAGTGGGGAGAAGTAATAATCTCTCCTGTCCCTATTTGCTCTCTTTTGACATGTTGTGTAGCAGCAGATCCCTAATACAAGTAATGCCATGCACACACAACCTGCAGAAAAGAAACATGCCTATACTGAAAAGTCTTAACACAAGAATTGTACACATTGGCATAAAGACAAGATCAAAGATTTAATCAGATATTCCAGTATGATAATATACGCTGCATACGCGAACTATTGTAAGCAGTAATGCAGCATACAGCAAATCAAGGTTAATCTGTTCTTCTTGTGTTTCAGAGTTGAAGTACTGTCAACATGACAGTTTTCTTAATTATGCTGCCCTGTCAGTGTAAATCTGAATTCACTGCATTAAAATCCTTTTGTATGGAAACAATTCTTCTCTTATACTAGATGATGTCCACTTTCAACTGAATACTATTGACAGCCGATTTTCTGATTTTTGTGATTCCTAGAAACAATTCACAACAATGCTTCTGCTGTATAATACACATCTAGTGCCCATACTACTCAGTTACCTTGAACAACCTGTTGATCGCAGTAAGCACAACTAGAGAGCTGTTTAGATCTGAACAAACACTCACCAGCCAGCATAATGAAGACCATCCTTGGCAAACCCATGACGGTCTCATCTCTAGTAAGCCTGAACATGATGGGAGCTGAATGCTTGTCTGTAACATGCACAAGCTTTGTGGCTGGAAGGTAACCAGAGGCAGACACTGTTACAGTATGATCGCCTAGAGGAAGAAGCCTCCAGTATGCTCCAGTTGGTGATCCCTTTGCTACATGGGTACTGCCCTCCACACTCACATCTGCTTTTGGTATTGGCTGGTTCTTATCATCAATCACATAACCTGTACATGAAGATCAATAATTTACTTACAATTTCAATTCAATGCATGAATAAAACAATAAGCAAAGTTCTAATACACACAGAGAACAGAAAGTGCAACAGAACAGCCAGTTCTATGGCACCTCACAGTATAGCAGATTATAGATTTTTCTTTGTGGATTCTCAATGTGAAGACAACATCACTGGACACTATTTAACCTAACATAATTTACATAGTTGATTCAGCACTGTAACCAATCAAACAAATATACAGATTGCCAATGCATAACTAGTTCAGGTACTCATTAAATACTAATATCGCCATGAATTCCATCCCCCTACTAACTCCACAGAATACAGTCTTCCTTCAGAAGACAAGAGGTGCTCAGATAATCAATGATTTCCCCCCATTTTACAGAACACAGACATTAACTACCTCGTTAGGGCCGCGCCATAGAGGCCCAGGTTCGATCCCAGGTCTGGTCAAGTGGGATTTGTGGTGGACAAAGTGGTGCTGGGGGAGGCTTTCTCCGAGTGCTTCGGTTTCCCCTGCCAATCTTCATTCCACCAACTGCTCCACAATCACCCTCACTTATCATCTGGGGCTGGTACAATAGGCCAGAAGTGGCTGCAGTACAAGTGACTTAGTCCCACCCCACTAGCAATAAAAAAAACTACCTTGTCGTGAACAGCATGCCATTAATACCTATTCTAAGCAAAATGAATCCAATTCACACCATCCCACCATATTTCTTTGAAATCCAGTTTACTGTTAATCTCCCCTCTACATCTAGGTCTTCCTACTGGGCTCTTTCCTTCAGGTTTTCTGACAAAACTTTGTATGTATCTCTCTTTTCTTCTCACATGCATGCTACATGACTTGGCCACATCAACTTCCTTGATTTAATCGTCCTAGTAATACTTGGGCTTACTCAGCTTCTGGACTTATCCATCATCCAGTATTCTAAAGAACACAGTGTTTCAGGAACTGGGTCTGTTACCATCCTCAGGGGAAAGGGTGAGAGGTACCTACTCTGTTGGGTCTATTAGAGAGAGCTAATCTCAGTGACTGAGGTTAGCTCTTTCTGATGCAACCAACAGAATAGATGCCTCCAACTTCTTCACCTGAGGATGGAAATAGATTCAATTTTTGCAACACTGTGTACTTTAGAATACTGGACAAGGGAACATGTCCAAAAACTCAGTAATGCTAAATGTTATACACCATCATCAGAAACCTTTAGAACTGAAGTTAATACTTTGTGAAGAGTGCAAATTATGACATAATTTTGTTCAGTTTCTTGTTACTTCCAATCCACTTGGTCTAAATATTCTCCTGAGTGACCTATTCTCAAACACCCTGTTTATTCTTTTCTTTTATGTGAAGGACCAAGTTTCACACCCATATAAAGTAACAGGCAAAACAAATGATGCTGAACTGAATAGTAGCAAGCATTCTCTGATTAATTCCCTCTTCATTCCTTCATGAATGCAATTTTTTATTTGTCATTCCCAAATGTTTAACTCTGACATATTTTCAGAAGATCAACTACCTGTCATTATTCTATGATTTTGGCCAGCACAGCAGTGATAAGACATGAACAATTTACTTCTAGACTGGCATCCTTATTAGCACTGAAAGAAATGTCTGTGTTCTTTACAGTATTTATGCTTTTGCCCAACAGATTAATGTCCTAAGCAATGGCCATAAGCTGATGTATCCCATTCAATTTCAATCCCTCCTATGGAAAATTCTAGATCAAAGATGACAAGCAATGTCAATACTGCATCACCATCTTTCAGATCATTCTGAATAGGAATGTTTACCTATATAGATTTTACTATAGATTCAGTTAAACACATCTGCATTAATGTAGCTAGTGTTATGGTTATACCAGGCTCTATGAGAATGCTGTACAGTATTTCCCTACTACCTGAATCATAGACTCTCTTGAAGAATATAAATAGTCAGAGTACTGTTGTACTTTACTCCCATGTTTTTTCCAGTACCTGATGCATACACAGTTATCTGACACTCATGATCCCCAACACTTCGTCTTCATGAAGTTCAGAATGTTGGATACAATTTTTTATATAGTGGATTACTCCACCTTCCTACCAGATTACATCATATCATAAGTGTATGTTAGGCAAGATCTGAAAGTAGAATGACTACAAGAAAATTTTACGAAATTAAGGATAAAGTGGTACATATGGATGACAATGAAGTTTCCTTGAAAAAGAGGTTGAATAAATGACCACTGGAGAGACCAAATGTGAGAAGATACAAGAAAGGAAAAGGGTGGATACTGATATAAGAAGCATGTTTATAGAACAAAGAAGTAAAAGCAAAGAGAGCTTTGCCAAAATGTGACAAAGGTTACAGGTAAAGTTATCCTTGCATTTAATGAATTAAACACTATGAATGAAGACATATGGGGGAGTGAAGATATAGCTCCCCAGTTCTTAACCTTGGCAGTAGATGGAAGTGAGTGATCAGCTTCATGCCCTGGACACTTTACTCCTGGGGAAAGAGCTGCTCATACCCATTGGACAGGAGGCTGGGTGGGACCCAGAGCTGACCTGGTTGTTGTGGAGTAGTGGAAAATCTCTTGCCCCTGCCAGGAATCGACCCTGGATTCCTGAGCTGTCCAGCCTCTAGCGTAGTCGCTATTATGACTGAGCTATGTACAGCAGAGTAACATACTTCACCTCTGCTTATCACGAATGTCATTAACTGATTGGTCCCCATCTTGTTAATGTTAATCTCTATATTCCTTCAAATCATATGAACACAGAATGATAATGGTTGACCAAGAAGTATGCATAGCCAATATAAGATAAACTGCCGATTAAATAACTCAGCTATCCTCAAACTGTGGTACGATTACTCAGGAGTACTGTAGCTCTTCATTTGTACTTATCAGCATTAATGAATAATGAATTTTCAACACTTATTCTTCTAATGTTGCACACCATTTTACAACAAATCTCAGCACAACAAAGAAGCAACACACAGCAACACATGGTATTCTTCCAATGCCTATAACAGTTGAAAATAGAATGAGTTGATTATTATGCATTTCTAAGTTTCTTCTTTTCTGTGGAGCCATGATCCTTGTGGGGATTTCCACCATAAGAAATTTGACAGAAATTATGACAGGCTATTAAAGCACTTTTTTACAACTTCACCTAATGAATCCTACTATGTGACAGAAAATAATAAAGAATTTATATTTTGTAACCAATAAAATGCAAAAGATTCTGCATTCACACCTCATTTTATGNTTTTTACAACTTCACCTAATGAATCCTACTATGTGACAGAAAATAAAAAAGAATTCATATTTTGTAACCAATAAAATGCAAAAATAATACATTTTTTATATCCTGCATGGGAAAGACTACAGACCCAACAAAAAGCTTATTTCTGTGGTCAGAGAATAGTACCTGTAATTCCCTTGGTTACTGCATCCATAATTGCCAATAAACTTTCTTTATGCTCATTCCAGAGTTCTGGCAGATGTGATTTGTCTGGAGACCCACAGCAATCCACAAACACATCCAACTGGAAAGTGCTGGTGTTCATGTAGCTGTAATCCTGCACAATACAAGAGGATAGGGATGTATAGGCACAATAATTATGTAATAACAGTAATAATGTTATACAGGATTTGAAGTTTTCATGGTGGTGAAAATGTGGTCTTCTGAGTTATGACACCATGTAGTCTGGTAGGTAGCAGCATAACGAATCCATCTTTGGGGTAGATTACCCTGAAGATGGAGGCAGTCTGATCCTCTGAAACTTTGGTACCTGCCTACCAGATTATACAGTGTCACAATCCAGAAGACTGTAATATGGATATACTAATGAAGTTTATTTAGGTCACTTGTAAGATTATAAACTTAATTAATGTGCAACATATATTTCACATAAATAAGTTCCATGCACCACAGATGAGCAGACATTTAGATATTCAGATCTAATCTAATGTGACAGCCTTACTTACAATCATACTTCCGTTTCGCTCCTTCCAGCTTCCTGCATTTATTACACCATTTTCAAAGACATCTCGTGAGTGGCTTGAACAATTGGGATGGCCATCCCCCATTGTTGGATGATGTGAAACATATTCTTTGGCAAGAGTACGATATATCTGCAGAACAAACAACGCTATGGGTATTCACAGCCAGTTTTGGCAAGTTAAACCATGCATGTTAATGAGACAGTTAAAAATGGAGAAGCCCTTACCAGAAGATTCAATTATTAACATTATCAATCTGGAACTTCAGAAAAATAGAGGAGAAAATCTAGTGTCACGCTAATGGCCGATTTAAAATGTTGGCAGAAGGTGACCTATTGGAGGAGGAAGTGACATAAACAGTGTAGTGAAACAATTGTACCATATACCTTTCTTTAAGATTGACTGAAATATTCATCCTAATTCTGATACTTAAAATCAGGAGTTGATGCAGAAAATGCACAGATCAATTCTATGGAAGAATCATTAAGAGAAAGTCAGTGGAAATGAATGTGGATAGGGCAAAAACTGGTATTTCCAAAACTGTTGTTTCTTCACAGCGGGCTGATGTGGGTAAAAGCAAATTTGCTAGTTTTCCATAATGAAAAAATATTACAATGATTTCCATGCTTAAGAACTGTAATGGATGCAGAATAAAATGGCATTATCCCATAATTTCTTTGGAAGACTGAAGAAAACCAAGATATACCTTGGCCAAGATAATTGATCCAAGCCAAGTTCATACCTATGGCCCACCTGAATATGAGTCTGATATCATATGATCTCTGTACTGTGACAACTGTTCAGTCAACACCAACAACGAAAATGGAAATGTCTACATTTTTCCCATTCAAGAATAAACCTACAGTGTCTAAATTATAGAATAATTGTTAACACTTTCCAGCAATTCAATTTATAGATATTTATTGTCTTTACATATTTTGGTCAGCTGACCATCTTCAGAAGGCATAAGATCAATATGTTCAGGAACTACTATTACAAAGTTCATAACACATACTTAGAAGTTTTTACATAAAAAATTATTTACAATTAATTAGATCAAAATCTTATTAATGTATAATATTTAGGATCTTCTCACCTCTTCATCTGATGTAACATATTCGTTGCCCTCTTTGGGACCTCTGCCACTAGCATATGGTATGTCTACATGAAGTGATCCAGCACGAAGTGCCACGGTCAGTACTGGTGCTGTCTGCTCCAGAAGATCCATCAAAGCTTGTGTTTCTGGTTGAGGCAGATGCTCCTTCTTAGCTGTAACACCAACAGTAACAAACTATAAAATAATTCTTAAAGAAAACAAGAAAGGCCATACAGCGCATTCATCTCGTAACAAAAGTCACTGAAACCAAAGCCAAGGCAGACAATTTACAAGATAAACAGAACAAAATATATACTACCTTATTTTAACATGACATCTTTCCTGTTACACTTTGCAGTCCTATGTTGCCTTTATGGAATCTAGAAATGAATGTAATTTGTCTTCTTATTTCATTCAGCCACACACAATTAAGTTCCTGAACTGAAGTCATAAAAACCACACAAAAAACATAAAAAGTATTTATTAATGCCAACACTCAATATAGTCACCGCCCACTTCTGCACAATGTTTACATCGCTCATATAATGAATCGAAGGCCTGAGAGAACGTTTCTTCCTGTATCACCTTCAGTTCTCTCATCACAGTCTTTTAGATCCATGAAACAGCCTTTAATTTCGTTCTTTTCATTGCAATTTTAATTTTGAAAAAAAAAAAAAAGTAAGTCAGTTGGCAATAAATCGGGGGAGCAGGGCAGGTGGGATACCATGGGGATCTCCTGCTACACCAAAAACTTCGAGACAATGCCAAAGAATGTGCCGGTGCATTGCCATGCACAAAATATCAGACCCCACTTTCCTGAAACTCAGGCCTAATGGAATCAGCTCGAACGATCAATCTCTTAATCACCTCTTTATAAAATTTACCGTTTACAGTCTGTTTTTCTGGCACAAATTCATGACAAATGATACCTTTAGCATAAGAAAATGCAATCTACATTGTTTTCACCCACGATTTTTTCATTCTCACTTTCTGAGCTTCTTTGACCCTTTATGCCATTAAAATGCACTTGTTCTTGACAAACATTCCTCACCGTACACACTTTTCAACATTTCAAACATTTCAGTAGCTGTTTTCTTTAATTTTACTCAAAACTTAATCACTGCTCTTTGTTCCATTTTGAAACCTTCGACATGATGAAAAAACTAACTTCACCAAAACAATTATAATATTCATATGCATCAATCAAACAAGCTGAAACTTGCACATCATATAAATAAACGTTCTCCTAACTAGGTCCATTCATCCCTGATAGATGGCATTAGTAGTATTACTGTAATAGGGTCAGTTCGGGAACTTAATTGTCCCTTCTGGAATTCCACATTCATGGAATAAGCTATGTTTTATTCCCCATTCTTAACTCTTTTGATAATTTATAATTTTTGTAGAACTATTTTTTTCTTTTGACCATCATTACTGTAGCACTACTCATGTCTTAATAAACAATGAGTACAATGTGGCAGATCAGTGAGATTTCCAACGATCTGTGGCTAAGCAGGTAAATGGAGTGGTCATTAAATTTTACTGCTTGAACAAATAATCCCAACAATAGAGAAACCAGAAATATACAGCCTGTTCATAGCAGACTATGGACTTCACCTTCTGTACCTAATTGGAATGTCAGAATACAGTCTTACTCTGTAACTAAAACATTTCACAGAAATCTGTATGACATAGATCATACTTGTACATAATTATTTTGAGAGGCCTCATCAAAGCAGTGGTATATGTGAATCCAAGGTATAACAAGGTCCTACTATATAGGATTGGTATAGACTCCAACTGCATGATGTTCACAACAAATTTCATGAAAACTGGTCAACTAGTTCAAAAGGTGAAACAGGAGACACACTGACAGCTTGGCTACCTCATACATACATCAGCGTTTTAGAGTGTTCATAAGTGTGCAACTGGCACTGAATATAAAACTTGTCAAACAACAGTCACAAGACAATCACAGAAAAAATTGCAGAGACATCAATGGACCATAGTTAAAATCTAAACTGAATACCTCACTTAAATAGATACAATGTTACACATACAATTGTACCAACAAGATAATTAGCAATAGATAATAATTCTCCTTCCTATTCATATACACATATATGCATATACATATGCATGCAATGAAGAACTATAGTTGCCACATATTTAGATATAAATTGCACAGTAATATAATGAAATATACCTAAATAAACATATTTATGACTATAAATCCTTACACTAAAGTAAAAATTCATCAACTGAATAAAACGAATTATGATGATGGTCTGCAACTATACTACAGGAGATACTGCACTATTTTAATGAGAGTAATAAGAGAAGCAAAGAAATTGTATTACCATGAATTAATAAGTAAATCAAAGAATAAATACAATCAACCTGGAAGATAATCAATAACGAAACAGTGATAAATCAAACCATGGACAATATAGTAGAAATCCAAGTGGGGGAAAGTAAACTAAATAATCCTAATGAATTAGCCAATGCTTTTAATCAGTATTTTACAACAACAGCAGAAAACTGGTAACTACAAATTTTGATACAAATGAAGCTAATAAATTACTCAATATTTCCAAGTATGATAACATACCAGAAATGAAATTAACCCCTGAAGTCAGTGAAACCAAAAAATTCTACAGGGTATGACAGTGTCTCTAGTAGAATATTAAAATATTGTATAGACAAGATAAGCAAGCCACTTAGTCACATATTTAAATCATCCCTTAAACAGGGTATCTATCTTGAAAGAATGAAATATGTGTCATTAAGAGCAATATATAACACAGGTGAGAAGTCAGACATGACAAATTATAGACCAATATCACTGTTGACAACCTTTCCTAAGTTGCTTCTTAAGGAAGGAATGTAGGTTAAAACTGATGAACTTAAACCTGTACCTTCAGTAGGAAAATCAGTATCAAGATTCACACCATTCCCATTAACAGCACTGCTGGAGGTGGTGTTGCAGTCCTCTGGTAAGTTCTGTTGCCTGGAGGAAGCTAAGTGATCAGGATTTGCGTCGAGCACAATATGCACTGACAAGGTCTGGAACAAGATACAAAACAACTCTCTCTTCAATATATACACTTCTCACATGAATTATATATGAAATGAGTAACACAGAGAATTAGTGTAGTAAGTGAATTACAGAAAGTTGGAGTGACAGTTCTTTTTGCATTCTATGTAACAAAATCTTCATCCAGAAAGTACTAAGCATGTCACTAATAACTACTTTTAGAGAGTGTTTTCTATACAAATATTGATATCTCACCTCAAAGTCAGAATTAACAAGTTTCTGGACATTTCCACTGCCCAGTATTAGAACACTGTATGATGGACAGTCAAAAAATTCAGTAATTCTGAGTGTTATACAACACTGTCAGAATCTTTTGGAAATGAATCACTTTAATGATTTTAACATATATATATATATATACATATAAGAGCATATCTGCTAACTGTACAAACATGAGTGATACCCGTGTGGAGGAGGGGTCGAATACCTCCACTGTGACCCTGCGAGTCGTAGGAGGCGACGAAAAGGGAAGTCTCAATCTGAGACAGTAAAATATGATCGCGAGTCCCAAGGGATTTGGACCCAAGAAAGACTGCGCTGGCAAAGGCCAGCAGTATACACCAAAGACAGACCCGTCCTCTTGTCAGAGAGGGCACCCCATTGAAACAAGACTGTAACTGTCAAACGGTAATAATTAAAATCTGGTCATGAGCCCCACATGGGGCTCGACACCAAGACTTACTGACTGACTGGCCGTCAGTCACAATGTGACTCTGACTCTGTACAAACATAAGAAAAAGAATACGTTTCATTTGGATTAAAATCCACTGTTTTTAAAATAGAAAAATAGAATGCTGCAAACATATTAAACGTATAAATTCAAATAATATTCATAGTTGGAACATATGAAGGTGTATAAATCAAGGCATGGACATAAAGCTCCACACATAACGGGCTTCAGTACTATATGCAGCTTCATTTTACCTAGCATTTTACCCAGTGGACACAGTCCCAGAATCTATCATATCCATAGAAGTATTAATATGCACATACCTTCAAGAAGTTGGTGATTCTATCATCATTGTTATAACTGGACAAGAGATGATGTATAAGATTCAGCAACATTTCTGTGGTAACTGGTTCATTACCATACAAGTTACCAACATAGACAACTGCTGGATAACCTGTAATGGTACTGTCTCGCTTTTGTAAGCCAAGCTCCAGCACTGATATATTCCTGTTGTACACACTTTTACCAATGCTAGAATATAAACATAATTAGGTGATGAAACAGACTAAAATAAGTACTTCATCAGTTCTGAAAAGCTGTAAGGAGTGATGCCTGATTAGCAATGAATCCTCAATAAGACTAGTGTTGTGGGAGGGAACACATTAGAAAGAGAGAGCGCCATGTTTTGTCTCAGCAGAAAACTCATCAATTTCATATAAATATTAATCAGAAAATCTTCTTTTCTGTATTACTTTATTAACTACTTCTTTTTGTTTGCAGTTTTTAAATTCTTAATGGATACAATTTTTAGTATGGTGAAGATAGATGGTTTATACTGTTCATTCATTCATTCATTCATTCATTCATTTATTTTTCGTTCCATGGATCCACAATACAAGTGAGATATAGGACATGTCCATACAGTGATTATTCTTAAAATTAACAGAGCAAGAACTAAGTACATAAATAAAAAAGTATAAAATACAAAAATTGAAACAAAACATGTAGAATCAAATAGATTCCAGTCATATAAGTTAATTTAATGAAACATGCAGTTTAAATTTAAACAATGTCAGTTTGAACATATCACAGAAATTGCTTAAATGACTAGACTAGAATAATAGAATAATGACTAGAATAATACTAATAAAAGACTGGATGATCAACAGGTGATTCTAGTGAATGCATAATCATGACTGTTAATAACTTCTGTAGTCTAAGAGCTAAGGGATGTGTAAATTATACTCAAGAGAATAAAATTGTGCCAGAAATGAAGTTATAATTATGTCATTCTTATGGAAATGATGAACTGCACATTAAAAATATGTTAGTGTTATTTAAATTCCACATCCCCCTGAATCAACAGTAAGATAAAACAAATATTTTTTGACATGTTTTCTGTAAAATACATGAAATGTTTATACCGTATGAAATGCATGCATAACAGAAAGATCATGTCCATTGATATGAATGCTGTATCTTCAGAACTACACAAGAGATTTAAATGAAAGCTGATATTAACTTATCAGGCGGATTTTATTTAGGTCTGTATCTATCCAATGTACGTCTAACCTTTCATATGCTCACATGTAGCTTCCCTCAGTTTCCCAAAAAGGGCTCACTATAAAAATAACCGGTAGCCTACATGATATAAAATACAGATTTCATTAAAATATGTAACTTCCACTTAATATGGCAAATACACTGGTAATACCCAAATTGCTTTCAGGAGCATATTTCTCTAATGACAGATACGAATTTGAATGCCATCCTACATCTCATTTTCTATTATAATTACAAATATGACAGCCCAGCAATGCTTTTATGAAACAACCTAGCCCCAGAATAAAAGAGAGACAGAAGAGAAAGACATAAAGGGGCTTTCCTGCTAGATGAATCACATAAAGTGAAATCATGTTTGTAAGAACAAAAGGAAAAATAATTTATGACTTCATGATATGTGTCATCTTTAGTGTGATAAGATTTGTAAAAATGGGATTGAATCTGTGATAAGTGAACTTAAAGGAAAGTGAGGTATGAAAATTTGTACAAAATAAAACAAAAACAAACAAACTCTGTGGATTTTAGTCCGCAAGTGAACTATACTGACCGAGACCGCCACTTGTCAACGAAGTTAGTGCCAACTTTTGCAGATAGAGGGTGTCGCGTGGTAAGCGCAACAGGTTCCCCCAGCCATTAATCTCAGTTTTCTAGACTGTAGCTGCTATTTCCTTGAAATAGTTCCTCAATTATTCTCATGAAGCTGAGTGAACCCCGTTCCAGACGCTACTTCTCAAAAACTTGGAAGCGCCAGGAATCGAACCCGGAACCTCTGGATCTGTAGCCAGGAACTCTCACCACTAGACCACAGAGGCGGTCTAAAGAATGCCTTAGGAAAATACTTCCAGCATAAATTGGGAGAGTTTGAGACCACAAGAATTTACTTATAATCCTGTCACTGTTCATAACATACATGTGATGTAAGAAACATTACTGCTTATATAAGTAAATGTTCCTACATTCAAATCCAATAGCACACAAGTATATTTTTACCTGTATAGTCTCGAGATACTGGGATAATCAGAGTTGAGGTGCCACAGGTGTTTCTGAATTTGAGTGTAGGTGTGATACCCTTCATTCTGTCCTGTTGCCTGATCCAGTATCACTTTCACATCATTTAATTGATTTTTTAGTATCCTTACAGGCAGAATCTTAGGTGCATGGTTTGGACATGAAACCTGCAACAAAATGTTCTGTTCAGTGCCTTCAGTTGCAGTACTTCACATTCATGGTCTCTGATGACCTAGTAAGGGTTACGGAATCCACTTCTAGAGGTGGGTACACCTTTGTGTGGATTGGAATTCCACTTATTCTCATGGCTAGTGGATGATGAAGACAAAGGTGACTATATGCACAGTTTTTCCAGAAGTTCTGAACTGCCACAGTCCTTTTCAGTGGGTGCACAAAATATTACTACAGTCAATAATTTTGTGGACTGTGGTTTTGTTGCACCAAATTGCAAGACACTCATATACACTTACACATATCCATATGCTCCTTCAAAATAGTCACTGTTGGCCGCTCTGCAAGTCTGTCAACACTGGTATAGTAGCTGGAAACAGTGCTAAAAGATATTTGCATGAAGGTTCTGTATGGCTTCCCTTATGGCATTGTTCATCTCCTGTTATGATCTGGTTGAGAAACTTTGCATCTTTGTCAGCACTATCGATCAGGTCACCACAAATCCTCATGCGATTGTCATGTTGGTCTTGCATCAGGGCACATGCAACACTGTGCTGGGAAATACAAGACATGTTTGGGTCAACAGACACAATTTTACCATGTATAATCCCTGCTGCTGCAATTTCATCTACCGTTTGGGAGCGGTTGACACGTGCCAGTGTCGTAACTTCTTGGATCTTGAGTTCAGTTCTGATCGTTCTTGGTCAACCAGTATGCTCATCATCTTCTTAACTGTCTCTCCCCTGAGAAAAACATCTGTGCCACCTAAACAAAGTACTACAGCCCAAGGTTTCTTCACCATATGCTTGCTTGATCATCTGAAATGTTTCGCTAGCAGATTTGTCTAACTTTCGGCAGAACTTTACATTTTCCCGTTGCTCCTATCCTTCACAACAGTGACTTTCTTTCCAAATATACTGCAAGCACGCAACTGCTTCTTGCTGGGACAAGAGAAGAAAGGACATGGCACCATCTCATGCCTCTATGTATCCACTGTAGTACATAACAGTGCCACTATGTGGCATATCCATGAAATTGTTGACTGTATTACATATGTGTTCATCAGTTTCATCCAGGGCAATTCCTTTTTTATTACCTATTATTAGCATAATACCACAAAAGAATAAGTAGAAAAGTACATATATTTCTGACCTCAAGTTTATAATCACCAGGAGGAAGCAGCGCTTTGAAGCAAGCAGCATTCTTTGTCAGTCTCAAAGGCTTATCAAAGTCTTTTATCTGAACAACAGCATCTCTAAGAGGTTCTCCATTCATGTCTTCAACACAGCCTCGGACACCTGCAATATATTACCATCAGTATGAACCAGGCCAGTTTTATACAAATATCTGGCATGAAAATAAGGTATGGTATCATTTTATTTATTTGTGGTTTAACAAATGTTGGGCGCAAGTGGTAGCATAGTTGGTTGAGGAAGTATGCTACGAACCACACTATGGCCCTGGGGTCAACTCAGCCTCTAACATAAATGAGCACCAGGAATCTTCTTGGGGGGTAAAGGGTGGCTGACACATAAGGCTGACAACCTCAACATCATCTGTGAGCCGACTGTGAAGAAAATGTGGGAGCCTTAATGTCTCACAACTCTATNACAGAAATGAGTACCAGGAATCTTCTTGGGGGGTAAAGGGTGGCTGCACATAAGGCTGACAACCTCAACATCATCTGTGAGCCGATTGTGAAGAAAATGTGGGAGCCTTAATGTCTCACAACTCTACAGGCCTCCACAGCCTGTTACAGGGGGTCGCTCTTTTATTATTATTATTTAACAATGCTGTCAGTAGCACATGTTATACAGTGCTGAATGGTAGGATGATTAGTGAATAATCAAGTAGGAAGGATGTGGAAGGAGGAAATAGTTGCCTAATTTGAGGTATTATCTTGGCATTTTCCTGGACGGGCTGACAAAAAACAAGGACCCCTCCTGGGATGAGCTGGAATCTCCAGACTAAGATGCAGGAGTGCTATCCACTCAAACATGAGAAGGTACAATATTACTTCTAGAAGAAATAAATTATTTTCAGCCACTTCCCAATTCATCATCCACTTGCATCCTAACATTCCACATTGTGCAGACAAACAGTGAAAGAAAAAAATCACAAATGATACACTGATGTAAAAGAGACTGCCAATCTTTCAAGAACATTCAGTGTTTTTGAATCATCTGTTCCCTATCCTGATGAGAAAATGCAGTAATAAAAAAAAAAGTAAAAAGTAAAGCTATCCCCGTAACAGGCCGTGATGGCCCATAGGGTTGAGACACATTGAGGGTCCAACATTATCTAGGCAATCAGCTCAAAGGTGGCGGTAAGGTTGTAAGCCTTACATGCCTGCCGAACTTTACTCCCCAGGAAATTATTTAATTAATTCCCGGTACTCATTTCTGTTAGAGGCTGAGTTGACCCCAGGGCCATAGTGCGGCTGGAAGGATTAGGTAAATTGAAAAAATCTAATGACCTCATCAGGACTCGAACCCGTGACCTCTTGGCTTGTAGCATAGTGCCTCAACCAACTACACTACCATGTGCCCCAAAAATGTAGTAATAAGGCGAATAAAGTAAACTATCTTCTCTTCAGACTCTGAGAATAAAAAATGGAAGCTTTTTCTTTTGAGAAAAAATTGCCTCAAATATTTACTGGCACTTTTAGCAAAAGAACCACAGGATTCCCTGTGAAGATCTAGCTCCTACAGCTGCTGCTTACATTTACTATGACAATATACGTAAAGGCATCTTCCTCATAAATGTATTGTACACACATTGACATTTTCCTCCAGTCTCCAACATAAGTTTTCAAATATTTTGTTCTAATGTTTACTGTATATATTTTTAACTTCTCATTTTCTAGAACATAAATCCAACAATTATGTTACATACTGAGCTTTAGCATTGTAACATATAAACAAATTCTGTGTTCTAACACTTGATCAAGTATCGTATTTATAGCCTGAAGGTGGAAGCAGCAAATATTTAAAAAAATTTGGTGTCCATGGACAATAAGACATGTATGTACTTCTTTGGTATAATCATCACTGTCATTGTCATCACCATCACTGGATGTGTCTTTGCTTTATTAACCCTTTCACTGCATATTATGTTCCTAATTTCCTAAAATAAAACAGTCTTAAGGGAAAAATATGGTAAAGTTCTCCTGTGCTTAACTAACTGAGCACTATGCCATGAAGCAGTATGGGTGAGCGGATGTACAGATTCAAGTTTCCTGATCCTGGCACCAGTTCGAGGTGAGTTGTTAGAAATGCATTTTCATAGCCCAGTGAATGAGGCTTAATGATCCAACAGAGATTATTATTTCTTGATGTGGACTAAAGTCAAATGTCACATTATTTGGTAATGGATGCTTGACGCACTTCAGTCAAATATAGCAGTAATAGGGTTAAGCATATGCCATGAGGATATATAGTGGAGGGGAGATACGGTCTACACAATTTTAAACTTGGCACTAGATGGAGGTGAGTAATCAGTTTCATGCCCTGAACTCAATCCTTTTGGAAAGAGCCTCTGGTACCTTCTCAACACGAGGCTGGGCGGGCTCTGTAGGCAATACGAATTCAATGGTAAACAGACAAAATTCCTGGCCCATGTGGAACTGAAACCTGGTCATCCAGCCCACAGCATAATCATTGTACTAACTGAGCTCTCCTGACTCTTATTATTATTAAAAATACAGTATTACCTTGCTGGACAGCGGCCAAGAATTCAATAAAAGAATTCAGATTTTCTCTCCACAGAGATCCCAAGTCACTTGCTGGTGTATACTTACAACAGCTAACATGAGCCGTCACCTGCAACACAAACATACAACAGTTTCTCTGGCTTGCAATTATCTGCTCCATAACCTAGGAATGTGTGATGAAATGCTAGCTCAAGAATATATTCCTGACAGTTACTTTACCCCAGTTCATGCTAATTCACTTTATACACGCTCATTTTAAATAGAGTATGAATGAATGTGCAAAGGGGACAGTACCGTAATTTGAAGTTTCATCTCTCTGACTACTGAATGAATTCTATTCAGAATCTACATTAAAAAGTTCTGAGAAAATTTCGTACATATGGATGAACATTACAACAAATCAGATTTTACTTATTTTATAAGAATAGCTCACTGTACAATAAATTTGTAGCCATGTCATAAAAGATAGATCTCATTAACCACCCATGATTTTCACCTAAAATATTTTTCTGATATGGCAAATTTATAATGGAACACAGGGAAAATAATTTCTAGGTGTGCAGTGTAATGCAATTAGCTGTGATAAATAGCCTTGCGTGTGTAACAAATGAACAACAAGAGTAAAAGGGGTATGAAAACAGCAAAAACTGTCCGCTCTATAGTCAGTGCCTCATAACTTTAGCTGTGCGGAAAGGTAAACACTGTTGTGGAGCACGCGAAGCTGTACGCTTGCTGTGGTAACGTTCATAGCTCCTCCCTGAGAGTAAAGCATTGCCTACAGAGACCAGCTGTAGTACTATACACTTGACCACACTCCAAAATGCTACATTCCAAACTGGTAGTACCCATGCTGACGTAAGGTGATAAGACTGCTCCCCCAGCCCCATGAGAGATGGTATGATCCCTCTACCACGGCTAGAGTTCCGAGGAACTAACAGCACACTCATTTGTATTTGTTACAAATTACAATAACAATCACCTCCACAGAAAAAACCACTTACATTAGTTCTTATTTTAAATTTACTCAGTCACCCATGGCGCTAAGCCCTTCTTGAGAAGCTGCCAGTAGCGCAGCTACTCAAGAATTTCCCAGCATTTTATGGAACCCGAAGGTTCATTACTGTGTTAACAAGAGCCCTCCACTGGTCCCTGAGCTAGATAAATCCAATCCATACTATCCCATCATATCTCTCTAAGATCCATTTTAATACTGTCCACCCACCTACGTCTTGGTCTTCCTAGTGGTCTCTTTCCTTCTAGCTTTCCTACCAATACCTTATACGCATTCCTCTTCTCCCCCATTCGTGCTACATTCCCTACGCATCTCATCCTCCTTGATCATTTTAATCATACTTGGTGAAGACTTCAAGTTATGAAGCTCTTCATTATGTAGTTTTCTCCAGTCTCCTTTACTTTCATCTCTCTTTGACCCAAATATTATCCTCAGAACCCTTTCTTAAACACCCTCAGTCTATTTTCCTCCCTTAATGTCAGAGACCAAGTTTCACGCCCATACAGAACCACATGCAAAATTGTAGTTTTTTATATTCCAATGTTTTTGTTTTTAGATAGCAGATGAGAAGACAAAAGGTTCTGGACTGAATGGTAGCAAGCATTACCTGAATTCAATCTCCTCTTAACTTCCTCCTGAATCAGGTTTTGATTTGCTACAATCGTTCCCAAACATCTGAACTGTATCACATTTTTAAAACATCTGTTGGCTATGTTCATGTCATGATTTTGCCCTGCATTCTGGTGACGAGACGGCAACATATTTGTAGTTTTCTCTGTGTTTACTTCTAGACCAACCTCCTTACTTGCGCCAATTAAAGTATCTGTTTTTCTCTTCATGGTATCTATATTATCACCCAGCAGATTCACATCATCAGCATAGGCTTAAAAGACTTTGAAAAGCAGATTATTTTTGACAGAAACTGAACATGTAATAGTTTTTTATTTGATTCCAGAATGAATAAATTCAATGACATACAAAAGATTCTGTGACTGTAATCTCACTGACTGCAATTAACTTTGCCATGAAGTTCCTTAAAAAAAAAACACAGATTCCAGCAGATACAAGAATGATGCTCACCTACAATTAAAATAAATAAAATGATAACTCACCATTGGAATACCATACTGCTGATATGCTAAAGTCATTAGTTTACTGTCTGTAATTTTCATGTTATCTTCACTTGCTTGTGCGGTTCCTTGATGTTCACACGAATTATTCCGCTGGAACTATTTGAGAGAAAAAGAAATTAATTCATACCACTTTCAAGGTTATGTCTACAGAAACAATAATCACTAAAAGGAAGGGAATGGTTTACCTATTAATTTCACTACTTATAATTAGAATGATCAAGTCAAGGATGATGAGGTGGGCAGGGCACACAGCACGAATGGGGGAGACGAGGAATGAACATAGGATTTTGGTGTGAAAGCCAGAAGGAAAGAGACTACTGGGAAGACCAAGGCATAGGTGGGTGGACAATATTAAAATGGATCTGAGAGAGAGAGGATGGGATGGTATGGATTGGATTGATCTGGCTCAGGATAGGGACCAGTGGAGGGCTCTTGTGAACATGGTAATGAACCTTCGGATTCCATAAACTGTTGGGAAAATCTCGAGTAGCTGCAGAATTGGCGGCTCCTCAAGAAGGGCTCAGCTCCATGAGTAAGTAGGGAAACAAATACAAATCATTCTAATATCACATAACAGATCAAACAAGTGAATCCTTGGGTCACTGCTTCTCTGGGTAGCTAATATGATTGGTGATTTCAGTTCTGTAATCACAAAATGAGTATATTTTTACATACATATGAGCTGGACAGGCAATGTAAAATATTTAATACATGCTGAAAATTTTGTTACCTTAAGGTCTGTTTTCCTGGCATTTCAAGATATCACAAGAATTTTAATACATTCAACTGATTATGTACACATGTTATGGGGTACATAAAGAATTTAGTTTCATTTTGTGTGACTGCAATAAACACTGTTAATACTACAAGAATTACATCCACAGATGTACTAAAGGAAATTTATAAAGCAATGGCATAAGCTTAAGTGCATAATTGTATTTTTTATTAATACCAACTTGTCAAGATTTTTCTTATAATAAAGTGTGCTGAAATTATAAAACTCCTTATTTATTATGGAAAAATTATGAGTATATATTCTCAGTCATCAAGGCGGAAAAACTACCATAATCATATGATTATATACATATCCACAGTGGGAGGGGGGAGAGTACTGAAAGTGAAGGCAAACAGCAATGACATAATGAAATTGTTTACTTATTATGACAATATTACACATATTTCTGTTGCCTCCTGTTCTATTATTTACCACAGTGATGCCACAATTTAATGACTACATAAATTAAACATTTTAAAATTAATTGGCACAGTTCATATTCATGTTATAAAGACTGGTTATGGTCGATTAGCAACTGGACTAGAGATAGAAGAAGTATGATGCTATATGGCAGAATTTTATATGTAAGAATTAAAATGAGACATAACATGAGAGCAGGCAAGTTGAACTGAATTAGAGGATTCCTGACAACTATCTACTGTATAAAAATTTGGTGCATTCTCAGAACAGTTACATGTTACTGCATTGGCAATTTGCAATGGAAATCACATACAATTTAACTTACAAGAGACATTTTAGGATGGTCTCGAATGTAACGATCAGCCAACATTCTAAGAACAGCCTCCATCTGAGAATTCACTCCAGCTGTCAGATGACTGAAAGAACATCAACTAATATCAAAACTTCACAGGCACAGTCAGTCATAATTCACACTGGAGTGTATGTACTTAAAATTCCACAATTACTGTACACCTGTAATACCAGAATCTCACCTCACATAGATTCCGCCACCTTCAATGTTAAGTGCTACATCAAATTCTTCCTTTTTCATCATTATCTGCAAAGCATTTGCTAACTCACTGGTTCCATTCCTTGGCATAAGGAACTGGTATCCTACTTCTTCAGGACTGTTTGGAGGATTGCAGATAGGATTAGTAATCCTATCAAATGAAGGATCAATGCCTGGCAAGATGTGAATAACTGCTTTGGATAAGACGTTCATAATACTGGGATTTTGTCTTTTATAACCAACAATCAAGTGACGAGCTAATCGTATGAGGAGCTCTCGACCTACTGGTTGAGAAGCATATAGCCCTCCAAACAAAGCAATGTGGAATTTATTTTCCTCAGGTGCACCAGCCTGAAATGAGAAAAATTTGGGAATGTATAACATATAAAGTTATGAATTCTCAGTCTTCCACCCTAATCATTTCAGTGATACAGAAAATATTAATGTAACTAAATGTACAAGAAAAGCAGTGATAACACTTATCCTACTTGCTACGCAACCAGACTCAAGTTATGATGCCTATTTTCTTTCAAATACTTCAATCTCTATAGTGACAGGAACAGTAATGAATTCATTATTATACAGAAATGGGTTTCTGATCACAGTCTCCACTGTTACTAATTCTGACTACATTAGTTCTGTATATAATTTCCACCATTACCAGATTTCTTAAGTATAACTACATAGTTTTCCACCACTGCCACATTTTTAAATGTAGGTACTTAAAGAGAAAATGTTTCACACATAGTTCCTAGGCATGTATGATATATCAGCAAGCAAAACATCTTACGTCTAGGTTTCTTTTTTTTTTAAGTTTCTTGGGGTGGAATGAGACTGAGTCCACTTGGCACATTGGCCACTGTTCGGCCTATTGAACCAGCCCCAGATGATAGATGATGATGGGTGTGAAGCAGCTGGTGGAATGAGAATTGGCAGGGGAAACTGAAGTACTTAGAGAAAACCTGCCCCAGCGCCATTTTGTCCACCATAAACCCCACATGACCTGATCTGTGATTGAACCCAGGCTACCGTGGTTGGAAGCTGGTGACTAACCACTAAGCTATTGAATGGCCACATAGCTCTGACATTTAATTAGTTCTTGTAATCAAAAGGAAAGCTGTGAGTACATAGCTATTTCACAGAGCCACCACACTGCTGATTTTCATCCAACAAAAGAAGTCATCTTAAGAAAAGGTGTATATTTATAAAATATCTGTCACCACACAACATTGCAGGATCTTACATTATTCTCTACTTTCATGTAAACTGAACGTTCATTAGCATGTTTATAAATGCCTGTGACTCAATTCTACTGACACAGAAGAATATAATGCATATTCTCATATCCTAATTTTTATGATCCAATTTAGTGTTATCTTCCCCATATTGACCTTGAAGATAGAGGCGATATTTATTTATTTATTTATTACTGTTTATTTATTTGTAAATACATTTCATGGATCCAGTTGTTACCTAGTAGGGCTGGATATAAAATTTGTCACATACAAAGTCTTATATAAAAGATCACATGCAATAAATATAAATATACAATATTATATATAACATATAAAAATTTAAGATATAATATATTAAAATATATATAAGGTAAATAGAGCCTCATGCAAAGAGCACAAGATGTCAGTTCAATTTTCCCATTTAGGAAAAAATAAATATACTCGTATGTTAAGCCTTAACTGACTGGAGCGTTAAATTAATCAGTACAGCCACTATTAAATCCAACCAAAGGGAGTAACTTACAGTATGTTTACTCATACCATTTATTTACCCTCTATCTTTGTAACTCTTGTATGCTCTATAAATTCACTGAGAGAGAAAAAAGAATTTGTTCCTCCAAAATGTTGGTTGATTCTCTCTGGACTACAGAGCATTATATCCCAGAACATTTATATTACAATTCTGTCTTGCATTCCGGTAATGAGACATGAACATATACAGTGGAACTCCCATTTAATGTTCCTTGATTTAAGATTTTTCCTTATTTAAAGCGCAAATGCAGTGATCTCAAGTTAATATTATCAGTGCTTAATTACCTTCATTCAGGATTTTCTTTTCAGTTGTGTTCAAATCCACTGCTCCCAAAAGAAACATTACATGGGGGTTTCACTGTACTTGATCTTCTCTGACAGATGAAGGAATTAATGTATTGTTGGTGACTGGTTATGGGACTGATGGACTGTTGGTCAATTTAAACTCTCTCATAATGTACACCTCTTCCCACTACCTGTGGTCTACTGGTGCTCGACTAATATATTACATATTAACACCATGTACTTTGTCAATGGCAGACATTTTGTGAAGCTACAGCTACAATTTAAAACCATATCATGTCCAACTGCTGCAACAGTAACTGTAAGCTATTTTTATTACTTTCACAACAGCATGTCATAATAATTTTTTTTCCATATTTGTCTCTGTGCCAAAACAGTCTTCTATGAAAGGCTACAAAAGTTAACTTAACCTTCAGATTCATCAAGTGTACCATCAGTGCTGTAGACACTGGCGAAATAAAAAATTACCTTGAATCAATCCTTGTTGCAATATAAACCGTTACATCATACAGAACACAATAAGAAGATCAATTTAGTTAGGCTTACGATAATTATCATAATTAAACTGGATTCCATGATAGAAACATACCTCATGTGTAAGTTTTAGTGAAGTTATTGGGTGTGCAGCCATGCTAATGGCCTGCAGCTCAGCAACTGACGGATTTAGTTGCTCAAGGGCTGCCATCGCTTGTCTCAGCTCAGCACTGCTGAGGTATTTCCCTGACATCAGGTTCTCTTTCAAGCCATAGTCATTGCGAGATGACCACAGCTCTGGGTTATCTCTCAGAAGTGTGAAGTTCAGGCTCACACTGCCTGTACCATCAGCTGGCACAACTGCTTCCAGGGTTTCACTTTCATATCTGTACAGTACAATACAAAAATATATTGTGACATGTGAATCCATTACATAGGTAATAGCTTTTTGATACATGTATCCTGGATGATCAGCTGGAACAGTCAGTTGTTGAGCAACGAGTTGAAGCCAGGCGTCCATTGCCAGCCAATGGCTCGATAAGCATTGTTCTCTCAGCAATGTAGACAGATGTTTCCTGCACAATGGAGGTGTTGTTTTTGTGACAACAGATACCTGAAACTTCAACTTGGTGTCCCCTATTTGGTATGCCGAGCAAATATAAAGTAGCAGCAGTAACAGCAGTGAAGTGGGAAGTGAGTCGGCAGTGAATCAGTATGCTTTTGAGAGCTAAGTAGAGCTATGCAGAGTTAAGCAGAATTTGAGAAAACCAGAGGCTAGATACCAATGCAAGATCCAGGTAACAATGAGAGATCCATTATCCAGGAGTAGTTAAAAAAAAAAAGTAAAGCTATCACTGTAACAGACTGTGAAGGCCCATAGGGTTGTGAGACATTGAGGGTCCCATATTATCTAGAAAATCGGCTCAAAGAAGGTGGTAAGGTTGTCAGCCTTACGTGCCAGCCACTCTTTACTCCCCAGGAAAATTATTTAATTCCTGGGACTCATTTCTGTTAGAGGCTGAGTGAACCCACGGCCATAGTGCGGCCGGAAGGATTAGGTCAACTGAAAAAAAATCACTGTAATAACCCAGTGTAACTATAATACAGACTTCAAATAAATCCAATTATTATATCTAGAATCCACAATTATTTGTGACGTCACCCCTTATATGTGACAATTTGGTGTCAGAAGTGGTTGGATTTGACTGATTAGGACAAATCACTGGATTTATGATTGCATCATGTACTTAACATGCTGCATTATGGAGATGGAACAAATGATGGAATGCTTGCTACCAAAAGCTGATGTCAAGATGGACACCAGTAATAAAATAATTCAAGTAAATATAGACGCCACGCAAGAAGAGATGGATAGTAACATAAGTTCTCTAGTCTCAAGAATGGAGACTGACACAAAAAGCGACCAGGAAGAAATAAGAGCCAGCCAAGAACGAATGGCTTCCCTTGTCTCCCAGACAGAGGCCAACCAGGCACAAACGGATGTAAATCTAAATGAAATAAGAGAAGAAATTAAATCTGGCCAAGTGGAAATCAGATCCATAGTTAATGCCTAAATAGCGGGGGAATGCCTGTAATCCAAGAAGCCAACCTCAGTGGACGTGGAACCTGAAGCTGAACATCGGGAGGTCCCTAAGGAAGAAGTCGCAGTGATGCTGGATGGAGGACTGAGGAAGCGGCGTAGGGTCTGGAATCTGGCTGTGGAGCACTGCAAAAAGCTGAAGGAAAGGGCCTGGGGATATTGTGGATCCCGAAGAGCCTGACCGTTGGTGGCAGGAGGATGACCTGCTGTGCAAAGCGGCATGGTTTCTTGAGGGAGCACATGAGAGGCTTCCATGACTTGCTGACACAAAACCCTCTCATCTCGTCCCTCAAGAAACCTACAGAACATGATGCCAGATCCACAAGGCTATGCAGGCCAATGCGCGGCCGGCAGCTCAGCACCGAGGCTATTGGGTCATTGCTCTCACAGTAACCTTCCCTTTCCCTTCCCCCAGCACGATCCTATACCTGTTCTGGCCTGTTGCCTGCTGGCCCATCTCCCTTCCCTTCCTGTTCTTATATAGCTGGGTGTCTTGACTGGCACTCAGTCTACAGTCACCTGCTCACGCTGGTTCATTGCTCGCAGATTATCATACCTTGAAGATGGAGGCGATACATTCCTCCAAAACGTCGGTTAACAAAATATCTACATGGCGTGAACTATCAGAAGATGGCATTCTTCATCATCTGTCTAAGCTTCACTCTTAACTATCCGGGCTAAAGGAGGCAATAGGTGGGAGAAAAGTAAAAACATTAATATTGCTGTCTTCACTATATAACCTCAGAAGAACACAATGTGAATTGCCACTATCATGAAAGCCTAAAATCTTGTATTGGTGTAGCATAAATAACCGTTTTCATACAGGCAGTTTATTTTTTAACCAGTGACTGTTGTGATTTTGCCATCCATCGCAGACAAAATAAAATACAATGTCAAAAAAAACACTCATGTAAACAAAATGTGTGCCCACAGCATGGTGTCACATGGCAGACAGATGCAATAAGGGCTGTGGAAGTGTGACCTTGGCTTCCCCTCTCATCAACTTCTTTCACAAAGGCAGTTATAACAGTAACAGTTTGGGAACTTTCCAATATCAACTGATACATTGGAGTAGGCAATAAAAATGATTGTGCATAGATTTGTAAAATATGCAAATAAGCACCTTATATTAAAATACAGCACACATCAGACATTTAAGTGTTAAAATTAACTGGTCTACTACTAGCATAATTCAGAGGTTTTGAATAGCATATTCTTTTTAGGAAAGAAATTATTTTTACATACTATGATTCTCACTATAGGAAATACTGCTTTTACTGAAAGATACTTACGCATGTGCTGAGGCTGTGATAGAATATTTTCCTGGAACCAGAAGTCTCCAGAAGTCCCCATTAGCTGCAGTAGTGACATTATGATCAATTCCTTGCACTGAGATGGTTACATTAGATAGTCCATTACCTTCAGTGCTTCTTACAAAACCATGAACACCCTTATGGACCTTCAATGACAAACATATACAAGAAATTCTTTTGTCAAATTAGAAAAAATTATATAGAAAATGTACTGTATTCATAAGACTTTATATGTATCATTCATTGTTGGAGTAGTACTTTAAACCAAATCAGGGAAGTGTGCCAATATTATGCAGTCCTACACTAGCACATTTCATACTACTGTCACAAAATGTATCCTGAAATTTTTTTTTAGATGTGATCAATTCTTTAAAAAATGTACCAATACAAGAGGAGGATATTAACATATCATCTTCCTCATATACCCTTAGAAGATTACTAGATTCTGTTTCCAACTTACTTCTGGTACTCATAAGCCTGCAGGAAACTCAGATATAAGTCCATGATGCAACAGGACGCTAAAATATAACATTATTNATCTTCCTCATATACCCTTAGAAGATTACTAGATTCTGTTTCCAACATACTTCTGGTACTCATAAGCCTGCAGGAAACTCAGATATACTTACACAGGACTTTCCTTCCATGGGGTTGTCTACACAAGGTGTGATGTAGCCTGGTTCAGAGGGCAGATAGACTTCAAAATGTGTTGGAGGTATTTTTATGTATGGGAAATATTTATTGGAGCATTGATAAGCAACTGGGAATCGGTTCAATTATGAAATGTGCCTAAAACTAACACTACCCATCTGATAAAGATCTAAATTCAAAATGTCATGTACAAGATCCTTGCATAAAGAAACTGTTGTCTCCTCATACTGTGACACTATAACTGACATTAATTTCTATTTAGCATTCTTAATGCATGCAACATGGACAATTTATGAAAACAGCATGTATGTCCATTTGATGCATCCTTCAACTCATAAACCATTTGTCACATTCTGATATAATTCTGATGAGGAAACCATTCCTAAAGTTTCCTGACAAAATATAAATTTACATTATACAGAGCAGTTAAAGTTTCAGATGAAAATATTTACAAATCTTAATAGATGCAGGTGTATTATTTTTTCTTTGCAAAGAGAGGTGTTGCTCTAAAACAGTTTAGGAACTCACAGCTTCTATGTAAGCAAGAAGAGCTTCTCTGTTGTCAAGCCAAAAACTGGGAAGCTGGTTAGCCGGAGGAAATTTATAACAGCCAACTTCCAGGGTAATCTCAAAGCAGTTGGAATTCAAGTAATTCCAATCCTGCATGCCACCAGACACTACATACCATGCAGCACCATTCACTATACCACCTGAAAATTCTTCGCTTGAAACACTTGGGCAGGGTTTTCCAAAATGCATTTTCCTATGTGCCTGTGAAAATGTCAGAAAGAACAAACAAGTTTCCTGTAAATAACAATACAGAGAAAACATACTTTCTTGTGAACAGTTCCTAATCATTTCCTATTTACAAGAAAAGACATTATAGTACTTTTTACAATAAAATTAAACTCAAGAATAATAAACTGCCTACAGAATGAGTACTATACTTTAATTAAATGGGTGCCAACATTTCTTCTTGTGGCAATATTTAAAAAAAAAAAAGTTAACAGCTTTCAGCATACACAAACACAGAGTAGCATGCATGCATGAACACGAACACATATAGAATTCCTCTATCAACCCTGAGAGGCAAATGTCCCTCGACAACATGCCGGCTGATGTATAACTTTCAGGGAGAATCAACACTGTGCTGCATAATATTCCTTTTATAATTGATAGAATTTATGGCTAATCTGTATTCTAATAATATCTCTGTTTCCCTTCTCAATTTATTTCATTTCACAAGTAAATAAATAAATAAATTTGTTCACTTCTTTAACCTGTGTGTCATTAGTTTTGTTCTGATCTTTGCCCCTACGCTCCCTAAGACCGTCATTCGTTTTATTAATTTCGCATAAATATAACATTCTGCTTGCTTTCACATAGTGAATGCAAAGCTGCCTTGAGATCCCAATGAACCGATCACCTAATTTCCAGTTGAAAGCTGTCTGCATCACAAATAAATGCCATGCCAGAGCTCAGACAGCTAGTTGCTGGCTTCCCACCATGACAGCCTGGCTTCAATCCCAGGTCAGGTCACGTGGGATAAAGTGGCACTTTGGCAGGTTCCCTTTCAGTACCTTGGTTTCCCCTGCCCATTCTTATTCCATATACAGCTCTATATTCATTATCCATCCCATCATTGATGCTATATAGTCTCAATACTAGCAGTGTTGCTAAATAACAAACTTAAAGAGGGGGGGATAGATCAGCTATACTGTCATAGCACTACCTGAAACTTTAGATAAAAGCAATCACATCGCGTGCAGTGGGAAACCCCAATCGAATACCCAGCAAATATGCTTAAACAAAACATCATACGTAAATCTACACGTCAACGTGGCTGCATAGGGCAAACTGTGATATTGTGAGCATTATTCATAACCTAAGTGCATAATGTTAAAACATCTTATGTGACAGTGTTTCCTGCTCGTAGTTGTGCGCCTCTGAAGATGATTCTTTTGAATCGAAACGTGTAAGACTGAAGTGTTGTAAACCTGTATGTGATACTGGAATGAAAGTTATCTACTTTGTAGTTCAGAAGAAAGTTTATTACAGTAAGACACGAGAGAAAATTCTTGGAATGATTATACGAGGGGGTACCCAAAAGAAACCAAACTTTTTTTTTTAAACTTATTTATTCAAATTTTAAGCACAAACCTTCAATCCCCTTCAAAGTACTCTCCACTTACACTAATACACTTGTCTAGTCTTTTATCCCATTTTTCAAAACATTGTCTAAATTCATCTTTTGAGATGCTTGACAGCGCCTCCGTCGTTTTTTCCTTTCATGTCTCTTTTCATTCGAGGAAACAAAAAAAAGTCGCACGGGGCAAGGTCGGGTGAGTATGGAGGGTGAGGAACAGGGGTCATACCATTTTTGGTCAAGAATTGTCATACAGACAGGGCTGTGTGAGCAGGGGCATTGTCATGATGGAAAAACCAGTCACCCGACTGCCACAAATCTGGCCGCTGAGCTCCAAGTCACTCCTGACAGCTCCACAATTTCTTCAATGGTCCATCGTCGATCTTCCTTGATGATTTCACGAATTTTTTCAACATTTTCATGTGTTCGGGCCGTGGAAGGACGACCAGAACGAGGTTTGTCATCAATTGACATTTCACCATTTTTGAAACGGGAAAACCACTCAAACACTTGAGTTTTCCCCATAGCATCGTCCTTGTACGCCGTTTTTAACATTTCAAGAGTTTCTGTTCCACTTTTCCCGAGCAAAAAGCAGAATTTCACCGCCGCACGCTGTTCACGAAAATCAGCCATTGCAAAAACGACGATCACACAAAACAGTTGTCACTATAAACTCTGCCAAAACTAGTCCTTACCTTCTGAAGCAACGGTAGTCGGCTTATCGACTCAGGAATGTTAGCTCTATGCGCTCATAGCGGCAAAACGCGGTACTACAAAAGCTCTGCCCACACAAAAAAATTAGTTCGGTTTCTTTTGGGTACCCCATCATATGTTATGGGACATTATTATATATCATGATGATAATGAAATGGAGAGAGTTGTTAGTGACAGTGTGTTTGAATTGGAAGATGAAAAATTGAGATGTGTGCTGCAGAGTGCAGCAAAGGACACATATTACATTTTGAAAATTCTGGAACTATTTCTGAATAACTAATTTTGTAAAATATAGCAATTAAGACAAACTGTTATGTTGAACAACTCACATTCACAAGAATCAGAAATGTTCAAGCCAACATCTTCATTGCAGTCTTGGGTATCTATAACAACAGGTGAAATTTATCTAGTGCCTGGGATCTTTATGTGTGAACAGGGACATATGGCTCTGTTTAGAGAGCTTCAACACTTCTGCATCAATCTGAATGGTTAAGGTAAAATAAATGATATATACTCCATAACTTGCCTACTGCATAAAGGAATGAAATTAATAAACAGAAAATTCCACAGAGAAATGGATATATGGAAGCAATTTATTGTCAGACAGACTTTCAAAATAGGATAACTATACACACTCACATTAGAATATGTTTCAGCGAGCATCTTGAAGGCTGCATCATCTGGAGTTGGGTACGGCTTGCCACTTGTCTGGACTGGATTATCATCATATGGCATGTTGGCAACCAAAGATCCACCATGAAGATTTGCTGATAAAACAAATGGGTATGAACGGGTCCAGTTCATAATAGCCAATGTTTCTGGTTCAGCTTTATTATTAAGCTATAAATGAACGGAAAAATTATATGATTATAAAGAATCATGACAAATAATGTGTACATGCATATACATTAAGAATATTATTCATATGTTCTTTCTTACTTCTCAGCATGAAGAGCTGAAGTTAAACTTTGTTAATTTTCACATGCCAACATGCACATTTCCTTCCCTTCCAAATCGTACTAAAGGCATAAGTTTAGTCCTTACACGATGAAAGTTACAATCAGGGTACACAGGCTTCAAGTCAAGTCATTAATATTGAACGGGTTGACTAATGGCAAGAACTGTGACACAGCTGCATCAAAATTACAGTTAATTCTTACTGAACTCAAGAGACTTAAATGTTGAATATGATAATTTGTAACTTTTTTCCCCTAAAGGCCTGCCAGCTTGTTTTGTAGCTGAATGTTAACTGTAAATAAAAATAGTCTTTACACAAAATCACAAACAGGGTATTTAAAAAATAAAGAACATAACTTCAAGAATGAGTTCCTCATATGCAGATAATACTAATAATTTATACCAATAGAAGTCTGGAAATGCATAGTTTCTGAGTTAAGGCTTTCTAAAACCGCTGAATGATAAACTGAACTTCATTTCCTATCAGTCTGACACAATCTTGGAAAGCTTCCAAATCTTATTAGGAGAAGTGTAAAGTAACTGTGTGTTAAGCGTGTGGTGACTGCAACTTGTTGAGACGATGTACTCAAATCAAGAGGTAGCTGACATGCATTCCATGTATGGTTTGGTAAATGGTAATGCTGTGGTGGCTAGTCATCTGTACCAAGAAATGTATCCAGGATGAAGATGTCCAGATAGGAAAACATTTGCATGTATCCATCGCCACCTTTGTGAACATGGGGATTTTGAACGTGTTTTCAACAGGGGACTACCAAGATCTATGACACGTGAAGTAGAGGAGGATATTCGGATGTTGTGGACGAAACTCCTGGAAACAGCACATGAAGGGCATCAATGAAAGTGGGTGTTACTAATTCGACTGTCTGGAGTGTTGCGAGAACAACAGCCATATCGTTACCATCCGCAGTGTGTACATGATTACCCTGCATGAGTACTGCTCTGCCAGTGGTTCTTACAATAGTGTGGTACAAATCCTAACTTCCACGACTTTGTGATATTTATGGACGACACACAGTTCAGAAGAGACTGAATCCAGAATTTTTACAATCAGCATCTGTGGGCAGATGAAAATCCACATGCGATTCTTCCATCACATCACCATCAGCGGTTCTCCCTCATCAACATCTGGGCCGGTATTTGTGGTAATAAATTGATTCGGCCCCCACGTACTTCCAAACAGGCTTGCAGAGTGGAATTCTTGATTTCTTGGCCAATGTGCCACTGATCATTCGGGCCAACGTGCCACTGATCATTCACTGAGAACTGCACATCATGCATGACGACTCTCCCACACATTTCAGTCTTCTTACCTGCAGATACCTGAATGGAAATTTTCCTGGTCGGTGGGTAGGTAGAGGTGGACCAATTGTCTGGCTTCCACACTCATCTGATTTAAATCCACTGGATTTCTACTTGTGGGGCCATTTAAAATTGTTGGTGTATTTGTCTCCAGTGGATGATGTGGAAACTCTCCGAAATTGAACTGTGGTAGGTTTTCAGACAATATGCAAGATGCCAGGAATTTGGGGTCGTCTTTGGGTGGCAATGAGGTGTTGAGCTGAGGCGTGTATTCAGGCAGGAAGTGGACATATGGGACATTCACTGCAAGGCAATGTGAAGAGCTGAGTGTCACAGACAGACCTTAAAAACTCAGAAACTATGCATTTCCAGGCCTATGTTGATAAACACTACTTCTATTATCTACATATGAGGAACTCACTCCTGAAGTTATGCTGTGTATTTTTGAAACAATGAGTATAATTATATACTCTGTGAGAAGTACTTTGTCCTTGTGATAACTACCAGTGACAATATGTGTGTATGTATATACATTTGAGTTTATCAGTGACAGAAGATGACAAAAGAGAAGGCAAAATCACCCTCAGCACAGAGTCACAGATTACTTATATCAGAGTCCTGTTTTGTTTCTACAATATATGTGGTAGCTCCAAAAGTTTCAGGGAGAGAAATATATATCTTTAATAAGCCATTATATACAGTTACCATCTAACTATTATTCTTGAGAGATACAAGAGTGTGAATTGGGTCAAGAGACTTATGAACAGTTTACTTCAAATATATGTTTAAATATTTGCTATCTTCAGTGATCTGTACTAAATCTGTAGTTCATAAACAATTACTACAACTACTGGATGGTTTGCAGAAAATTACAGAGAAGTCTTGTGGCATACTACAATGCAAGCAAGTAAAGCTAAGGAGGGGTGTATAAAATGTACTTCTATGTGAGATACATCACATCACATTGTCAAGACGTGTAAGTACGAGGTCACTGTATGCTTTACATACAATCTTGAATAGCAACAATTCAGGACAAAATATGGTGTTCTTAAAAAAGTATGAAATATAACCACAAGGATACTGCAGTATTTACTGCATTCACATGATAATTCAGATATTTCATTCTGTGTTAAACAGGGGTAGTGTCAGTAATTTTTTTTCTTGTCGGGGNGTTTTACAACACACATTCTGTTTCACTTTACCTGGGTAACTCCAAATTGGTCAGGAAAATTCCTATTGAGGTCGACACCATGAAAATTTGATCGACCCACCAAACTTTTGTAATCTCCTGTAACAAATGTTATGAAAAAGAATTAGTACAAATGACAACTGCAATAAGAGAGTATTATGGAAATAAATAAAGGAAGTTTGTTAAATATTACTGAACTCATCTTTCATGTGGCCTGTCAGTATTCACTTTGCAATGTTTGTCTATCAGTACATAATAGCTACACTTTGGTAAATGGATTTAAATCTAATTTCAAACTGTACAGTGTTTATGGCAGTGATTTTTGTTTCAAATACCATATTTCCTTTTGTCTAATTCACTTGGATTATAACAATTTATGTATAAGAAAATTAAGTTACCTTTTCATATATCTGTGTGGTGCCCTAAGATACAAAAAACTGTACGGAAAACAGAGTTTCTACAAAACACACCAGGGGTTCCCAGAACCAATTATAATGGGAGTCCCACTATGTTAAACTGCAATCACCAGTTGATGGCTTAAAAATACTCTCTTTAGTATGCTTGGACTGATATTTCATTGACATTTTCATGTGGTACATGAAGTTGTAGATTTTAATACCATACTATGAATAAGTACAAATTTAAACAGGACAGCCGATGCATGGGGCAGGTGGAATGCATTGCATTTATAATGTAAATGTTCAGAGGGATGTTAAAAATGAAGAAATTTATACAAAGGCCATAACTGCTATTTCTAAGCAAGCACAATAAATTCTGTTGAAAACTAGAAATCACTGCAAACTTTACTGAAACTTCATTAATAAAACACCATATTTATGATTTTCTAATCTGTTCATTTTCACCGAATTACAGTTTTCTCTTCATCATTTATTATTCCAAGTTACAAATTTCTAATCGTTTTATTGTTTATATAATTAAAATCCAATAATTTATGCCACAATACTCATTATAGGGCAAAAAATAAAACTTTCAGGATTTTAAAAATCCATAACCTTGCAACAAGTCAACAAAACTACTAGAACAAAGATGCGATTTAACCCTTTGACAACGCCCATCAAAAAACCACTGCCTGGAGATAACAGCCTAGCTTTTCTGGGTACTTATAGTTTACATGAGATTTTACTGTATTTTGGTATGTTTGAAGGGGTAAGGCCATTTTCGTCCGTCCACCAAACCTGACTTAATCTGAGAACACAACTGTTTTCAAGTACCTGGAGTGGCACTTTCATAGCCATCAGGATTCATCGCGGGCAAGATATGTATCCTGGCTGAATTGACAATGTCCGTGATGTGTGGATTAGTGCCATAATTCTCACAGAGATATTTGATGAGCAGTAACAGCAGCTCACGTCCTACTACTTCATTGCCATGCATGTTAGCAACATATTTAAACTCTGGTTCACCTAAAATAAACATATCATTATCATCAACATCGCCATTATCATTGTTGTCATTGTCACTGCCGCCACCACCATCAATGTGCACAGTCTGTTTCATGACACTCTTTCTACAGTGGCATCAAATGTGATGAAAGGATGATTATGTACAGGAGTGAAAAGACATGGAAGGAGTGAATTCTGGCATATTTTCCACTGCTAAAAGGTAAAGTTGTCCCTGTGCTTAACCAATTAAGCACTATGCCATGAAGGAGTATGGGGGAATGGATGTATAGATCCATATATTCTTGACCTCGGAATTAGTTGGAGGTGAGTTGTCAGCTTCACGTCCCGGCCGCTTTACCCCTGGTACCCATTGGATAGGAGGCTGGGTCAGCCCCAGAGCCAGACTGGACAATGTGGAGAAGAGAGAATTTTTGACCACACTGGGACTCAAATTCCATTCCCTCTGTCGCTATACCGACTACACTATGCCAGCTCCCATTTCCATTCCTACTCTATCACTTTCCTGGAAAGAGTGAGGAACACAATGAAAAACAATAGTCACGATATAAAATAGTTTCTGGTCATGCTGAAATGTGATGTATAGATGCATAGAAAATTTTAACTTCACTGTATCATACTGTGACATGTCAATGCATCAACATGCAAGGGCTTGATAAATACCCTGCAATACAAGCATGCAACAAAGGAAAAACGGGGTTATGCAACCCGCTTCTAGGCAATGGCTTGGTAAACACACTTCCGTGAAGGCACAATGACGTCACTCCAACTGTACTTAACTATCATTTGTTTTCTGTGTGGTCTGTGCTATGCAATAGTAGAATTGTGTTTTCTGTGTCTGTGCTGCGTCTATATAACACGAGTCCACTTGCAGCTAAGAAGAGTTTCAGCGAGTTCCGAGGTTCCAGGGTGATTGAAGGCTTCAGAGTGATTTGAAGTGACAGTTTCTGTATTGCGATCCATTGCTAGGAGATGACGAGTGGAAAGTGAGAATCCTAGTGCGTGGGCAGCAGTGTAATTCTGCGACAGTGCTGTAATAAGCGTGATTAATGACTAAGAGAACCTGTAAATGAAGTACTAATAAATCCAATCATCTGATCTAGAACCCATTAATTTCATCACATGTACCCTCCTACACGTGACAATACAGTATGTATTACCTGTAATTATGCATCTCTTATCAGTCTCAATGTTCATTCATGCAGGCGCATATCTACTGTCTACAGAAGTAATCAAGTGTTGATACTACAATGAACTGAGTTATGATGTGCTTTTCTCTGTATATCCACAACTGAAAATGTCTCGTTTAATGTAACAAAAGTAATGAGGTCTATATCTTAAGTCTTGTTTCCATTCTGTGCACAAGACACACTTCAGGTATTTTATTTGAACTGAATGTTATGTAGAGCAGGGTTTAACATGACTATTATGGAAGAAAATGGAACCTAACAAATGACTACCATATCAAACTTCACTGGAATATGTTTAGTGGTTTGGGGCTCGCATATGTGGACATGCACATAAACAGATTCACTTTCACATTATGAAGATAATACACTAAAATTAACATAAAGTGTGGCAAAACTGATGGCATTATCATTGGGGCATAAACAAATCAGCGTAATCTGCAGATATAAATAAAAGACACTTTCACCTGGTTCATGTGTTCCTGGCTTGTCAGAGATCTCCATGACATACAACTTTCGGCCCTGAACACTTGATCCAATATCATACAACCTGGTAATGTTTGGATAATTAGATGCCAGTAGTTGTAGCTGCTCCTCCAGCTCTTGATAATTGTGGTGCTTGAATTCAGCTGGTGTTACAAACCCATAGTCATCATGAGGGAGAGGGGAGACTATCTCTATATCACTGCCATCACCTGTTTTAACAATAACAAATCCAAAGAATTAACACACTTCCTCACCATATCTACAATAGTTAATATATTTACTGCTGAAATATTTTCCAAATTCAGTGAATCAGATTACAAGAACCACTTATGGGAGTCATGCATTAAAATTTCCTTTTACATTCTGATAGGTAATCCTCTGATTTGCTGGTCATGGTAGCCGGCAGTCTAAGGCATGTACTGTCTTCGCTCGCTTGGAAACTGGGATCGTGGGTTTGAATCCCACTCAGGGCATGGATGTGTGCATTTTTCTGTCTTTGTGTGCAGGTAGAGACCTTGCGACGAGCTGATCACCCTCCCAAGGAGTCCTACCGAATGTGTAAGATCAAGAAAAACCGAAGTGAACAGAGAAGTTCATGGAGGTAGGCCTAGGCCCACTGGGGCTGTAGTGCCAAGAAAAAAAAATCCTCTGATTTGGCTTTAGAGAACTGACATATGAAAATTTTATCACATACATTTGGTTTTACAATATACAGTTTTTTCTTCAGACATTACATTTAGTGTATGCAGTGTTTAGCACAGATTATATTTAATATATATGGGTATTTATTTAAAAGAGAAACTAATCTACAACCTTCATTAGTTAAAATGGTAAAACTGACAGCGGGTCTTACAGACATATCTATTAAATGCAGCATGAATGAAATATGATTTAGTCTCTCATTCCCAAGCATAGTTCAACATCTATTTTATTTCCATTACCCAGTGCTTGATACTGCACCAGGAAGGAACAAATTAATACTTACAAACAAGTGTCCAGAAATGCGCAACTATAGATTTCATTATGCAAGTCCTTGATAAACACTGAGATTATAATGTTCCTTGATATACTTCTGACCAAATAATCATACTGTGTTAGTCAAAATGTTAACAAGTGGAATTTTTGTCTCAGTGCTCATCATGGAATTGTATGGTTGAGTCTGTAGGGGAGAATCTCTCAACACTCTGTACAGCTGGCCATTTCACATTAACAGACACACACACTAATTTATTATAACTACACAAATTTACAAGCACTTAGCACTTACAAGACTAAAAGATGATTTATCACTATATGAATACAAAAATACTAATGTTCTGGTTGAGAAGATCAACAAATATTCCCATAGCAATCATATATTTTTGATGCCCCAGTATTATGCAGCCACTGTTGAAATTAACTTATTCACACATTAAAAAATTTCATCTATACTTCCACAGTTTACATAACCTAATAATAAAACTTTATGTCATGTTCATGTTCATAGGAAAGTCAATCCACATATATAATTTAACATTATTATTAAAGGGGGTGGGTTTCCCCATTCTCTTAGACCAGTTATTGGTCCATTGTGCGTCCCCCTTTAATTTCTGCTTTCGCCATACCCTACCGGTACTGGTGCATGCTTTCAGCCCCATTCAGCCAACGAGGTTGGCCCTCGGTACCTGATATTTCCCCCCTCTACCAGAGGCATTGGAAACTACTTGGGCAGGAAACTTGTTGCCTAATTTTGCTCAGAGGTCTCCTAGAGACAGGAGGATCTTTTATGTACCGTAAATCTACGACACGGGACCCACGGCTTAAAATCCCTCCTAGAGGACTTGCTCCCTGAATTTTTCTGCCCTTAAAAACTCCACGAACTCTGCCGGGTTTGAACCCGCATACCTTGAGTCATGAGGTGGGAACGTTACCCCTAGACTATGGAGGCCGCTTAGGTATGCTCTAACTATCAAGCATAAAGCCACCCCAACAAGGAACTGCTGACACCCTAGATCCTAGACCAGACATAAAAGAATCCAGCAGTGCTAAATCCAACAAACTCACAAATGTAGTAATTAGAATGCAACATGGTTAAGTTTTATCAGGAAACTGAACTATTTCTGGGTTATTAGGAAAGAGAGGTAGTTGAGTTACAATATAACTTCTTGTTGACAGTGTATGTTGCAGTGAGAAGCACACTGAAAAAAGCCCCATAAATCAACTGCCTCCACAGATCTCTTAGGATTTTCAAGCGTCTCACTCCAGGAAAATCCCTTATGTCCCCTTCCAGGCATCTAGTCATTCTGCTCACATGACTATTGAGTGACAACCACAAGACAACCGTTTCTGGTTGACAATGCCCAGAAGGGGCTAGATGGACAGGAGCAGTCGGCAAAGAATGGGAACCTTCAAGTGTCATTATCTCCACCATCCATGGGACTTCCTTCGTGGCCTCAGTATAGTAGCCAAAAATGGAAGGAATGTTAAAATCTACATGAATTTAAAATTTCAATTGGAACAATTTCATAATGTTGTGCACAGTAATTCCAGTGGTTTAGAAATAACAAATTTATATTAGAATTATTGTGTTTAACACCTATTTTAGTTATGTCACAAGTAAGTGGATTAAAAATAATCATGTAAAGTAAGTAAAAAAGTAAAGCTATCCCTGTAACAGGCTGCGAAGGCCCATAGGGTTCTGAGATGTTGAGGATCCCACATTTTCTAGACAAACAGCTCAAAGATGGCGGTAAGGTTGTCAGCCTTACACGCCGGCTGTGCTTTACTCCCGAGGTAAATTATTTAATTAATTCCTGATACTCATGTCTGTTGGAGGCTGAGTCGACCCCAGGGCCTAATGCGGCTGGAAGGATTAGGTCAATTGAAAAAAAGCCAATGACCTCTTCGGGACTCGAACCCGTGACCTTCCGGCTTGTAGCATAGTGCTTCAACCAACTACGCTACTGTGTGCCCCTAAAAATAATCATGACATGTGATAAATAAATACAAGTACATGCAATTCAGTTCATAATTAAAAAAACCATAAATTTCCAATTTCATTTCTGGGAGAATCTGTATGTGCCCATAAAAATTATTGTACTGTGATCATGTGTGACTATAGGTGGGGTTTGGATTGGTAACTGGATTTATGGAACTCTTACAGAATATAACTACAAATAACTATATGAGTCTCATTGAGTTACACAATTCAAAGATCACTGTAACCAGAGAATACATAAAGCCTTTTCAGTTTGCTATGTCTTCACCAGTCATTGCCTCCTGACAGATTCTAATAATGTCCTCTGCTTCTGTGCTTACATTCTTAGTGCCTGGTGACTGTCTCACAATTAACTCATTGCCGCAACTGTCCTCCTTATAACATCTCAGCATGCACCACATGGAAAACACCATTCCTCTGCTGCTGTTTCCAATTGCTGCCATGCAAATATGTTTATTTGTGAAGCTGTTACTCAGTAATGGCTGTTGTACTTTAGCTTATCTTGCAGTCACTGCCCAGCAATGGGTCTTCATGCCACAATACTTTGAATATGAAGTCACACTACTCTGTAATTTCATCTGCTAGGAAAGCCAGTTAGAAACAGCTATCCACATTAAACACATTGTGTTAACAAAGGAGAACTACTGATTTGTCTATTGATACCATTTTCTTTACACTGTACAGTTCAATGGCGATATTTCTATTGATTTCTATTAGGTTGAGAAATGAAACAAATAAAATGCTATTTAAATGACAGGACTTGGAAAAGGTGAATCTAACTGAAATTATTCTAGTATCTTCTTAAGCAAAAGGTAAAAGAATAAAAAATACTCAAAATGTTCTGCAGAACTAATATTTATTTTACTACAGGAAAACTGTGGTTAAAACATGCAATACAAAGATTTAAAAATCTACATATTTCCAATAATGAATTTATTTCACTTACTGTAATGTAACATTAAAAAGAAAAATATTATTTTCCTGATCACCAAAATTACTTCCATGATTCACCTTCTCTAAGCTACCTACTTACCTCCTAACATATATAACTGACAAAACTATTGCAAAAGGTTGCATTAACCACTTGTACCTTAATTTATGTAATACAATACAAGGCTTGGTAACCATGATTAAACAACTAAAGGGTGAAGCATATAGATGAAACAGAGTCATAAGTTGTTGTCTGGCCTTTCATTGTACCCACAGGCTGAGTATTAGAACATATGGGGTAAAGAGACATACAAAGAAAAAATCAGTAAAGTGAGTACTGGCAGCTGATGATTAGCATTAGTCCATATTTCAGCCGGTATGTATAACATTACATCTTTCTCCCTTGAAATAATGCAGCCACCACTAGGAAAATCTGTAATTTCACTAATGCAAATATGGGTATGATTATAAAGTGATACAAATTAACCAACTACACACAGCAACAATAAGGGCTATTATACAAGAAATGAGATGTTTGTGGACCAAAAAAATGCAGGAATTTTTTTATTTGGAACAGGCAAAACAGAAAGCAAAATATGAAAGTACCTTCTATATTAAAAATAATCTTGATTCTTGTCTGCATATTTAACAAAATCCTGTACGTACTAAATCCCTTTTCTGCTTCCAACTCAAGTCCAATTTAAAGCTATGGTATTTTCCCATTTTTAGTGAATTTCAATTTCGTAAATAATATGTATTTAGGGTACGATATTTACAGCCTCCCAGAACTAAACCCTTGAGTTGGTGCAGTTGTGGTTGAGACAATCAGTATTCTTTCTTTTAACCTACCAAAAATCACTTGTGCAAAACCACCATCTTAGCATATGACATCATATAATGAACCTGCATCGAAGCCATATCAATTGTGTCATCACAGTCCCTTACAGTCTCAAGTGAGGTTCTTTCAGTACTAAGTCTTATAAGAAGATGAACAGTTTCTTGATGTAATTTTGCACAACTTCCATTTCGTACAAACCAAGCCAACTGTCCGGGGATTCTTTAAATAGGGATTTCACTCTAATTACGTCAACATATATAAAAGCCAGCAAATTTACATTATAACTTTAGTCACGTGACTATACACACTGTCAGTAAAATCATTTCTTTGTTTTGTTCAGGGTTGGGATATAACTCATTAGAACTGTATGTTGCAACAAAATTAGATTTGTCTGTACAAAAGCAGCATTATTACTAAAGAAACGGTACTTGCCTTTATGAGATCGTTCAATATTTCTGTATATATGTGGGTATTTATTCAACAACATAAACAACATAAACCCTATAAAATGAGATTCGTCAGAATCATTACATAACATAATATACCATATTCATAACAAACACAAATGCATTTTAGTTACTTAATAGCACTAAATTAAACTTGTTACAAATATTATTCTTGACAGAAAATTCTGAAGATGACACAATTTCAGTGATAATGTTGTCATTAAATGAATTGACATGTCATAAAATAGGGAAAAAAAAATACCATTTAAGTGAGTTGCTGTTAGGACACAAATTACGCATCAGTATACTAACTTTATATAAATTTCATTCTAGACTGCTGGACTGCTGAAAATGCTCCTTGCAATACTGCACACCTGTTCTACAGTCACACTTTATGCAATTTTGAATTGTGTGAATTCCCCCCCAAAATTCAACAAGAATCATGTATATGTTACTCCTATGAGGAAACTTGTCTTAAATTATGCGAGGTGTTCGGGAATGCATCCTCCTTAAAATGCGACTGCACTGTGTATCAGTACACAGACAACTTCTGATCTTCACAAATACCACATAAAGGAACATATATGCGTGTGATTTGATCATTAACATACAGCGATTTATTGCATACTGATTTATGATTACTCCCTCAAATTAGAAAAATAATGTAAAACATTTCTCTTTAACAACAACTGCAAGACATATGATATACTATCAAGTTGAAATGTGCAGCATAGGAAGCAAATTCTAGTCCTTAGCATTAACAAAAATGAATATAATTAACTCACAGTTATCCAACATCCATGCATCTGGAATTCTCATCCAACCAGCATTAAACTCAAAATTTACCATTTTCATAAAAGTATTCAAAAACAAATTCCAAGCACGCATATGTTTACCCTCCATGCAATAATTCTCCCTGCCACCATTAGGAGTGCTGTTATCCTCCTTCACGCAAGTGCCATTACAGTAGAGGTTAGTGGAATCTGTGATCATGATACAGTACATATACCTCAAACATTTCACCCATCAATCCACTATAGCTCCTAGGAAGATTCCCAAACAGGAAATATAGCATTGTTCATATTGCGTTGCTGTAAATTTTTCTTATGAAACTGGTGGATTAATATAACCAGCATACATGCCACATAATGAATTTACTGTATATTTCATACAGTCACCCGTTTATTTATCATAATATAATTTTCGTAACTATAGGTATATGAAAAACCTTGGAAACATGATATTATATATGTGTTCTATATTTTGTAAGCAGATAAACTTCTCTGTGAAAAAACTGAACATTTGTTCAAACCCAGCCACAATGTTTAGTTAAAAAAAGTCTAAAGAATTTGTATGATGGCACTGTAGTCTACAGATGACATGCACTTTGTAAACATCACTATTACAGCTTACTTTGAAGACAGGAATTTTAAATGTTTATAACAAGTACAGAAGAATACAGAGCCATATTACGAATAGCTAAGTTTCTGTATACATGATTAATAAAATAAAATTATAGCAAAATATTTTAATTCATTACACAGCATAAATATATCTATGTATATATAGTCATACATCTGACATTAAGTCTGAGCAGACATTTCAAACTGATTAAAATAATCTTTACACACATAAACCTGAATATAGTAGACAAAAATGAACATATGTAATTGAGAAGTAAAACAGAGACTTATGTTTGGTGTTTAAGATTAACTTTAATTGGTACAGCTCACCTTATGTTAAGTACTGTAGGGGAAGAGAGAACCTAATCCTCATACCACACAACTGAACAAGATACTTTAATTTATGGGTAACAATTTATTGTTTGGGAGTAAGGGATTTTAAATCTTTTGCTTCAGGCTTGGTGGCCATTCCTGACTCAGTGGTAATGGTAGTAGTACTGGGGAGGGAGAAAGAAACAGATATGCTTAATCAACTGAACAACGACCATGCCATGACACAATCCCATGATGCAGAGCCTGCATTCAAGCACTGTAATGTGGCAATAGAGGATGTAAAGTAACATGCATTTCTTTATTTTAAGAAATAATTTTAACATTAGAACTGAGCAGAAGAGGACGATATATTAAATCTTTGTTAGCAATTTTTCGGCCATTAAAGCCATGAAAAAGTTGAACAGGTATTACTCTAGGCAAACCCAACTGTCCTTCCTTGATATTTTATAACAGAAATAGTTCCAAAAGTTATGATCTTCATGAGGTGAATAATTAATAAAATCCAATTTATTAGTTAAAATAAATCTGACACAATTATAAGTATATACTTCAGAAAGTGTTTCCTAACAAGAAAAAGTGGAAGTTCACATCTATTGATCCATTATGAATGTTTATGTTATGAATATTTTTATTTTGGAATATAGAAACTGACAACTTAATTTCATGCAATCAAGTTTTCCACAGTGTGTCTTCAGCCTCAAGTTTATCAAATTTTTAAACCAAGCTTATAGGATTCTTTTACCCTTAAAGTCTTGAACAGTAAAAGAGAAAGCTGCTGATTTTATAATACTGGACTGTAATTTCATGGTCAACACACTGCCATTTTTGTACTTGTACTGTAAAATCGTTTTGCACATAGAAGTAAAAAGACCACTTCCATGCGACATATTTAAGGGTATAAAGTAAAACTGGGAAATTTTTCACAAAACAGAAGAAAATAAGCACTGTGTACCTGCTAATAATGACAGAATAAAAGGAATGTAGCAATTGAGACTGAGTAAGAACTGTAATCAGTTTTCACTTAGTTATATATACCTGGTTGTGAAGCTCTGAGAGAAAAATTAATTACAGTTGTATTTCCTTGTACCACAGTGATGGGTACAGGTTCTACTGGTTCATATCCCCATGCTGTGACAGCAAGATTATAGCTGCCGGGGAGAAGAAGACGCCAATATTCACCAAGTGAAGTTGTGGTGACATTGTGCTGTATACCTGCCACAACAACTTGTGCTCCTTCTATCCCATTTCCATCTTCATCAGTGACAACACCTAAAGAATAAATAAATGAGCCATGTCAGGTACACAGGCCTACCGAAAACTCCAAAGTATATGGACACAGACATATAAGAGTACAGTGTTTAAACATGAAATGTGTACGATTTTACCATAACATTGCTCATGAACTGAAATGGATGGGAATGAACACTAAATACATTTGAATAGGTAATATGATCAAGTTTATAAGTTGTGCCACTTGAGTTTCCGTATCCTTCCACCTGAAGTGTTACACTCACAGCTGTAAAAATTGTATCTAAAGTATAAAAAGCTAAATGTGTGCTGTGGTTTTGCAAGTGTAGGTCTGTGGTTATTGTGCAGAGGAGGCTTTGTAAAGTATATGGAAGGGAATCATCAACAAAAGCATTTTTATTGCTAGTGGGTTGGGACTAGGTCCCTTGTACTGCAGCCACTTCTGGCCTATTGTACCAGCCCCAGATGATAGGTGAGGGTGACTGTGGAGCAATTGGTGGAATGAAGATTGGCAGGGGAAACCGAAGTACTCGGAGAAAACCTGCCCAGCGCCACTTATTCCACCACAAATCCCACTTGACCAGACCCGGGATGGAATGCGGGTGCGCCGCAGTGGGAAGCCAGTGACTAACTGCTTGAGCTATGACGCGGCCCAACAAAAGCATTGATTTACACGTGATAACACCAGTGCTTTTCATTCAGCTCATGTAGACTGAGTACAGCAATGTGTATTCACACTTATGAGCATGTTACTAATATGCATGTGTGAACACACATATGCTTATGTACCTTCATCACAAAATGTTTTTCCACTTAAGGTGAGAATAAAGAAGGCTTTACTTGATATTTCCTGTGACATACTCTGTTCTTTTGAAATAGAAATCATACAACTAAATTAACTTCAGATTGGTTATGTATCAAAATAGTGGTAATAAACTGTACCAAATTTTCCAAGAATTCCAAAATCAAAATGGGCAAAATATATTAAAGAACAACAACAAGTAATAACATTTTCTGGGCTGCAGTATATCCTGCAAACTCCACCACTGAAGGGTCAATAAGTTTTTCACAATCACAATATGTTCCCTGTGACTGAGCAGAAAGAAAATGAATGAATCACATTTCTGACATATATAAGCTGTAAGTATGTGTGATTTTAATAAATTTAAACTGCTCTCCAACAATTGAAAAATTACATTTCCTCTTCTCTGAACAGCCAATTTAACTATGGTATGGCCAACAATTCCACTTTCAATTTGCATGCAGCCTTCAATGTCAAATATGATACTTAAAATGTGGTCTTCTGGATTAATGACACTGTGTACTCTCTCCAAAGCATTTCTTCACCACATTTTAGGTAAATTTCTTGTTTTTCCATATCAGCCACATATTCAGCTAATTACAGCTTCTTGGATCTAATAACATTCAGTATAGGATCTGCTGTTTAAACCATAAAATCACATAATTTGTAATTTCCTTCACATCCTATTTCATCTTTTTTTGGCCTTAGTCTACATTAATGTCCAATGACGGAACAACTGGGAAATGTAATACCAATCATATCTGCAATGTCACAAACAAACAAACAAACAAACTCCATGATTTTAGTCTGCAAGCGAACTATACCAACTGAGCAACCGCCGCTTGTCGGCGAAGTTTAGTGCCAACTTTTATGGATAGAGAGTGTCGCGTGGTCAGCGCAACGAATCCCCACGGCCGTTAATTTCGATTTTCTAGACCAGAGCCGCCATTTCCTTGAAAGAGCTCTTCAATTATCATCATGAGGCTGAGTGGACCCTGTTCCAGACCCACTATTTCTCAGAAAAAATCTGGTAGCACTGGGAATCGAACCTGGACCTCTGGATCTGTAGCCAGGAATGCTGACCACTAAACCACAGAGGCAATGTCACAACAATACATAAAACAATATGCAGGAATATTAAAAGTAAAATTTAATTTACAATAGCAGCTTCAGATATAAAAACAGACTAACTTTTTAGGACAATGGTTCATATGTAAACTATCCAATTAGGACACCAATAAAAATGTTCCCAAAATGAACAGCTATCTTCCATCATACCTTTAACTCCCATATGTGTAGCTTCTATGAATGAGAGAAGAGACTCCTTATTGTTAGCCCATTCCATGGGAAGCATAGATGCATTTGGAAATTTGCAGCAACTAAGTTCAAATGTAATTTCAAAGCAATTTGAATGAACATAGTTGAAGTCTTGCATTCCACCTGTGGACAAAGTTATATTTATGATGCTAATCTGTAACACTTTTGTGGACGGAATGTGAACTAGGCATTATAATCTTAGCAAAAACTTCAAATTCTCACAGATATATATACTGCAAAACCACATACCTTGCACCTCATACCACTGTGCACCATTGGTGATTCCTCCATTAAACTGTTCTGGTGGGCATGCATTTCCACTTCGCATTAATGGATGTGCACTAGAATACACTGTTGCTAGATGTTTAAACAAGGCATTATCTGGAGAAGGACTTTCTACACAGCATTCTTGCCCTGTTCTAATGAAAAACAGAAAAATCAAATTATCATAAAAATAAGGTCTGTAACAAGTAACCGAAATAAAGTCAATGACAACATATTTACTAGACATGTTATTTTATAGCATTTTTGGACTAAGCTGTATGCCAGATCTCTTGACATAAACTGCTTTGCTGACAAGGCATAATCTGCAATACAGACATCATACTTAATACAGTAATAAATATTTTTTATCTAAAATTATACAAATCATACAAAAATGTGTCATATATGTCACAAATCTTAATTATACCTCCATTTTAGGTCATATACCAATATTTTGTACAGACAGTATAATGAAGTTTCATTTCAGGTTTATAATTAATTTTCTTATACTACTTTCTGATTCTCTTACAAATGCATAGGCTAAATAATAATAAATGAGATTGGAATATAATTATGAAGTATGAGTAAGTAACGATTTGGAAGGAGGTAGCTCTGGCCCACTTGATATTATTCCTGGCAGTTCCCTGGAAAAACTGTGAAAAACCAAGAACACCTCAGTCATAATAAGCAGGGACATTTAAACTTGAATATTAAAAAAAAAAAAAAAAAAAAAGGTATCCTTGTAACAGGCGGTGGAGGCCCACAGGCCTGTGAGATGTTGAGGTTCCCACATTTTCCAGACAACTGGCTCATAGATGGCAGTACAGTTGTCAGTCTTATGCATTGGCCTACCTTTACCCCCAGGAAGATTCCCGGTACTCATTTCTGATAGAGGCTGAGTTGACCCTAGGGCCACAGTGTGGCTGGAAGGATTAGGTAAACTGAAAAAATCCACCTCATTGGGATTTGATCCTGCAACCTTCTCCGGCTTGTAGCATAGTGCCCCAACCAACTATGCTACCGCATGCCCCCAAACTTGAATATCAGACATGTTAATATAAGTTACAATTCTTGTGGTGATGGCCCCTACATATACCCCTGATACATGATACACAACAGAAATATAGTTATCTCCCAGTAAGAAGGTATGAGCATTTCCACACCAGCCTACTGACTGGGCTTCAAGTATAGTGGGGTTATAGCCGAATGACATGGACCAACATACTTTCCACAGAATGTCTGAGGGTAGATACTAAATTTTATCATAATCCATCATGTCATTCACATGCTGAAACTCGCCAATAGACAAAACATTTCCCTTATGTATTTTATCCAAACAGCACAAAAACATACCCATTCCAGAAAGCAGTAGGAGACATGGTCATCTTGCAATACATGCAACAGCTGGTTCATCCAAATTGTGGAATCTAAAATTTTGTTACTTCTCTAGTTTCACTAAATTTATACTTGAAAAATACATAATTCAATTAACTTTAATACCATTCATTTTTGTCATTTACAAGTCCAAACTTCTCTGTTTCAGACAATAATTTAATTATGTGCAATTTCCACTAAATTCAAACAAAAAGGGTTGAGTGAAGTCATGTGAAACTGGGTATGCTTGGGGATAACTGCATCATAAACACTGATATATTACTAGAACATTCAGTGACCTGAAATGATTTTATAAGAAACATCAAAGACTTCCACAGATACACAAGCATTCTTGAAAAAGAACTGAAATATAAAGACTTTAGACATAAGGACTAACTTATATTTGATCATGCATAATACAGTACAATTCATAAAGTTTCAAAATTTACTGCATTCACAAAATACAGCATAACCCATATTTATAGAGCAGTGGATTAATTTACGATTACTGAAATTGAACATTAAATTAAGGAAAACTTAAGCCGAGGTACATTAAATGGGCAGTTCCACTGAACATCATAAGGATGACAAAATTCAAACATAAATTAATTTTATTTATAAAGTTTTGGTGTTTACACTTACCTTCAAAAACATCCCACAATAATGACAGCTAATATAAAAAATGCAATACATAAGCTTCTACAACTCCTGTACACATATGTATCTACTACAGCAATTCTCAACCTCATTTTCAGGGGGGGGGGGAAGCAGTGTGACACTTGTATCTTTTTAGTTCCCTGTACGTAAAGGGAAGATTTTAATTGGGTTGAAAAGTTCATAGCTCTGTGCTTTGCTGTGACCGATGTGCTGTGTGCTGCAGGATATATGCGAGTTTTGCCAATGACTCAGCATGCCTGATGACAGATAGTGTTTGGAATGAAGGAAAATAATTAATTTGTAGATCTCTACATGGTATTATGTTCATGCATGGGAGTTTGTTTATGATTTGTCAGCAGCAGGCAGCAGTTATCAGATCCATGAGCTATTTGTTCCCAGTTAATAGCAGTGTGGCATGACAGGGTTTGCTATACTTTACAGCAATGTGAAATATGGAACCGTGGCAAAGTGTCGGTGAAAATTTCGACATAAATTTCGGGATGAAAGAATTTCCAGCATATGAACAATTCATAATTCGGTGAACAAACTTAGAACAATGGGACTCTTAATAGACAAGAAAAAAACATAACCACTGAATGCTTACTGAGGAGAAGTTAGATGATATAGGGGCCAAACTTGAACATACACCTAGAAAATCACTGAAATGTCTAGCTCAAGAGACTGGAATGTCAAAGTCTAGTGCAGTGTTTCTCAACCTTGGTGAGACTGCAGCCTGGCAAATTCCTTTATATAAGACGAGGGCCTGGTATAACTGATGCCAGGGCCTGGTACCAGGCTGCAGCCTGGAGGTTGAGAAACACTCATCTAGTGCAAGAATGGCAACACAACTGCTGAAGCCATCCAGTAAAAGTTGGTGTCTGGTTTGCTGTATGTGCAAGAAGGAATTTTTACATGAGTTTTTTTAATGAAACACCCGCGTAAGATAATTATGCATAACGGGACAGCATTTTCAACATCTCTTGTGATCTGTGAACAAAGGCAAGAACTTCCCTTCATTCCAAATGTTATCTGCATGCTAAGTCATTGGCAATATTCGCATGCACTCCACAGTAAGCAGCGCTCTAGTCCCCATGAAGCACAGGGCTGTGAATGCATCAAGTTTACTAAAAAACACCCTGTACTATGTGATGGTGAAAAAATCAATTTCGAGATTTGTACATTTTTGGATCCCTGAATATAAAAATGTGGTTTTTGGTATGCTGTCTGTCTGTATGTCTGTAAAGTCCAACTCCTCTATGAACCAGGGTACATCCTACCTTGTGTAGACAACCTTACAGAACAAAAAGTCTCGTGTATGTATACCTGAACTTCCACCTAAAAGGGCACCTTTTCAAACTGGGACTGACAGAAGATCCAACTTGTGAAAGGTGCCTACAAGATGAATCAGCCACATACATCTTATGTGATTGCAAGGTTATAGCTTACCTAAGATATCACCACCTGGGTCAGTTCGTCACGAAACCAAGTGACTTTTATGATTCCCTCATAAATAGTTTTCCATTTCATTTGACGTGTAGGATTAATAAAGGGTTAATCCAAAGGGGAAGCACAATAGATCATTGAAGGTTGCGGTGCGAGGGCTGGTTTTCATGGCTCAACCCTCATACTCATATCTGAACTTCCCACCAGTGTACAGATACCAGAAATATTCTGACAATAGGATCTTGGAACTTTCTAATGCCTGCATATGTCACTAACTAATTCATGATGCACCCTCACTCTCACGGCGGATGGAATGTGTGAGCATGTGCATGTGTGTGTATGCACAGACATGCACCTTGCTAGTGCCTGAAGAGCTTGGTGGATTCAATTCATATTCACTATTTCACAGTTTAACCCTCATAGGTCAGTGCCTGGCAAATATGAACATTCCATCCCCAAAACTGGATAGTAAAAACACTCTGTGATACAGAATACAATTCATCAGTATATTATCACATGAATTATGAAAATGAATCTTGGTGCAGTGAAAGAAGTATCAATGCTGCCACCATTCTTTATCAAAAAAGCAAATTTATCTGTGGTTGTCTCGAACAATCCTGAAAGATGATTGATGCATGAGTGCTTGTTGTGAACATGGATGTGTGAATGAGAGTCTTATAGTGCACTTTTATCAGGATATCAGACTAATTACTATTTTCACATGTGAAAAATTTGTTTAGGTACAAAGAACACAAACATTCTGAAAGATATTCTTAAAGTGTTCATATATACTTCACTTTTCAATAACAGTTTCATGGCCAAATTTATAAAACAGAACTAGAATTCTTTCACGGTATTCAAATCCTTGTTATAACACATAATATGGTCCCCAGGATATGGACAATACTGAGAAGTCATGTAAGGACTCCAGGCCAGGAAATTCTGTTCTAATCTATAAATAACAAAACAGCACACAAGAGATCTAATGCAGAAACAAATATTTTATTTATGCACAAACTATAATAAAATAAACTGTGGTATTACATTATCTGAAGATGAGCTACAGTCTCCTATAAACAAAGGAAATTAACTTGATGTGGGTTAATGTGTTACATGCACATGTGTGCAAAACACACATACAAAAATTATTTCCTGCAGTTAAAATATCTGTTTGATTGGTAAAGACAGCATGCATTATATGAAGAAATTATGTTCCTGCTACTAATAAATGCTATGGTTATTTGTAGAAAACGAAGAAACACTAACCCTGAATCATCAAAAGGATAACTGGCAACAACAGCTCCTCCATGAAGATTTCCTGACAAAACAAACGGATTGGAGACAATCCATGTCATTACAGCAACTGTCTCATTCTGACGTCCATCAAAAATATTTCTGTGCATTTTCTCTATGTCAAATTGGTCAGGGAAGTCTCTGTTCAGGTCAGCACCATTAGCATTCACTCTCCCTTCAAATCCTGATTTAGAATCACACAATCCTTCCTGCATACAAGAAAAAATATCATATAGGTATCAAGAAATTTGTAAAATATCACTAAACTTACAGTCCACAGTGTTCTGTACAGGATGAGAATTTCCTGTTCAAGCAAGAAAATCATAAACCTGCCTCCATGCTACAGTAATAGATCTGTACTGTATTATTAATTGTTCAATAGAATGGTAACTTATTCTTACCTGAGAAGCTTCATACCCATCTGGATTAAGAGATGGCATAAGAAATATGTCTGTTGTGTTGACAAGCTTAGTCACCCTAGCATCTGACCCATAATTTTTTAGCAGATATTGTGCCAAAAATACCATTAATTCTCGACCAACTGTTTCATCCCCATGCATATTTGCCACAAATTTGAACATCGGCTCTCCTAAACTACGATTATGGACATTCTCACTTATTTCTAAAACCCAAAGGTTCCTGTTTTGTATAGATTTTCCAATTGAATGTAACCTGGCTAAATGTGGGTATGTTGAGTTCAAGTCTCTGAACAAATTCGTAATCTCTTCATAGTTGTGATATTGCGAGGGATATAGAAAGTCTTCGACTGGTAACTGTCTGCTTATTGAAACACAATTACAGCCACATACAATTACTAAAGATATTAAAGCGCAAAGCACTCTACCAGCACCCATTTTAACACAAGTTACACACTTCGTGATCCGTGACATTGAAAACTGATAACCGTTCGCCGAAACTTTCAAGGAGTGTGTCCGACAGTCGTCCCCACGGATCACGGATGACCTGTTCGTGTAAGAACGAAAAACATTGAACAGCGTCAGTCAAAATATGGCAGAAGAAAGTGAAAAAATGGAAATTGACAGAGTTTCAGATATGGATAAGGCTTCGGACAGAACAAACGATCGTGAAGATGAATCTTCTGATGAAATATCGGATAATGATGAAGAGTATGAAAAGCAGGCTTCCGAGCTAGAGAAAAAGGTAACAAAATACCGATAACGTATATTCTAACCCAAAATTGTAAGACATTTGCATTTTCCCAACACTTCTTCATTCCATCAAATTCTCCACAAATAAGAATATCTAACTAATTCTAAATTGTAATCAACTGTAACAATTGTAACTATTGTAATTTTAATCTTACTCATATATTAAATTGTTAATATTCAGAATTAACTTGACTTGTCCTATATCATGTACAATGATCTACAGTGACGAAATCAATCAATCAATCAGTCATGTTAAGTTTTAGAGAACAGATGCCCTCAAGAAAGGTGTAATGAATTTCGGAATAAAGTTATACAATAAATAAACACAAAATAAAAGTAAGGAAGTAAAAAAAAATGAGGCAGTTTAAAAGAGATGAGATCCTACCTGCACATTTTACTATGTAGAAGACTATATATCACATTGAATTGGCAGAATATGATTTTTGAGTTGGTTTGTTTTTATGAATTGTATCTGTATCGCATGGTAGCATGAAGGGACTTAGCTAAAATATTTATGTTACTTTCAGATATGTGTGTGTATATAAGATATATTCTGTGTCAGTAGGGAAGGATGAGGAAAACTTAATTGAATTGAATGAAATATTGCTGATCATTTTGGTAAGCTGTCCATATCAAAGGTGTACTGTAGGTCTTTCACTTGTACTTTCAGGGAACTTCTAGGTATTATGTTGTATCCTGTTTTGTTAATGTGTTCAGATTGATATTCTGTCTTGTCTGTAACACATCTAAGCATCTGTAAATTCCTTTTTGATTGTCCCATTCATAATTCTTTCCATTTTCATTTTTCCTATGATTGGTTCACAGAAATTTGCTTGTCTATTCATATGGCTGATTTGATGGAGACTAGAGGCTTCTATAAAACTATTTTAATGAAGCATACTGCAAGGTTATGGGCAGATGAATATTGTTAATTTACAAGTAAGTTGTATTTATGGAGCCCTGCCTCATATGCTTCATAAGAATTTATGTCTGCTTGTCTTTTACTTTTCTTGTTTTGGCTAGAACATTACATTAGCTATCAATATCATTATTCTAAGGCCACGCCATAGCTTAAGCGATTAGTCGCTGGCTTCCCACCACTGTGATCTGAGCAAGTGGGATTTGTGATGGACAAAATGGCGCTGGGGCAGGTTTCCTCCGAGTACTTCGGTTTCCCCTGCCAATGTTCATTCCATCAAATTCTCCACAAATAAGAATGTAAAAAATTGTAACTATTGTAATTTTAATCTACTTATATATCAAATTGTTAATATTCAGAATTAACTTGACTTGTCATATATCATGTACAATGATCTACAGTGACGAAATAAATAAATCAAATCAAATCAGATTGTCCATGTACTTGACACTAATGGTGGTTTGAGTTATATATTGTATTTTTGTTATTTATGGTGTGTTGAAAAATAAGAGTTACCACTTCATGTTATACAGTTCTGAATGTATTCAGATGCTTCTACTGATCTTCCTTCATTTGTATAAATTTTACTTCTTAAATGTATAAACTTATTCATTTTTGTGACTATTACATTTCTACTTTTTATCTGTAGAATATTGTCTCAGTTTCTTTTGATTTTCATAGCTGATATTTTTATTCAAGTTAATATCTAATGCATTTGATTTAATCCAATGTTATATTTAATTCGTTTATAACACTTAATGTATCTGTTCTTCATATGAGAAGGTTGCAGGGACTGATGTCATGTTTTTTTTTATGTGGATCTCTGAATTAGTAATGAGATAATTTTTTACTGTAATAGGAAGAGCAGTAATTATTAATATTTTCTGCCTGCACTGAAGTGTCAGCTCATAGGTTAATTCACTCATTGTGAGTTTTAGATTAGAATAAATTCAGGAATCTCTTGTCATAATTTATTTAATAAACTTTAACTTTTAGTCTACTTTGCACAAGATTAAAGATTGCTTTAATATTTTTTTGTACTTTTCTCTAGTTCTGGAATGTGGATTCCCATATCAAGAGTTGAACAAATTGAATTTCAAAGTAAGAGCTAGGGAGTGGCAGTAATATGACAGTGGCAGAACATATGTAATAGAAACTCTGTGCTTATAATCTTTGTCATCTACTTATGTATTGTTCTTCTCCAGTGTTGCCATAATGATCCATAATAAAGCCTAGTTATCTTGAGCCATTAACCGACTTTTCTGATAAATTTGATATACAGGGTGATTCAGAACGATGGACACAATTTCAATGGGCTGTATTTCCTGAATTGTATGTTGCATTCGAATTCTGTAAATTACATTTGATTATACATGTATGGAAGTTTATAGATGTTCAATGTGCCGCCCTCCGGCTGCACAGATAACATCTAGACGGTAGCTGAATTCATCCCACACTCGATGACAAATATCTTGCGTCACTGAGTTCACCGCACCTGTGATACGGTTTCTTAGGTCATTCAAGTTTGTGGGAAGAGGTGGTACATAAACTGCATCTTTCACGAATCCCCACAGGAAAAAGTCTCAGGGTGTGAGACCAGGAGACGTCGGTGGCCAGAACTGGAGTGCCAGGTCTTCATTCCCCATGCGACCTATCCATCGTTGAGGTAGAGATTCATTCAGGAAACATCGAACATTCAGGTGCCAATGGGGTGGAGCTCCATCCTGCTGGAAAATGTAATCTCCTGAATCTTCATTCATTTGATGAACAAGCCAGTTTTGCAGCATTCTAAGATACGTTACTCCAGTAACTGTGTTTTCATCAAAAAAGAAAGGTCCATAAACCTTTGTTAACGATATTGCACAGAACACATTAACTTTCGGGGTGTCCCTCACATGTTCAAGTGTTACACGGGGATTTTGTAGCCCCCATGTATGAACATTGTGCCTGTTAGCTTTCCCACTTAGGTGAAACGTAGCTTCATTGCTAAAAATTGCACGAGGCAGAAACAATTCATCTTCCATGTTTTTGAACATACGGTCACAAAATTCTACACGCTTTACCTTATCGTTTGCACGAAGAGCCTGTACCAGTTGTAGGTGGTATGGTTCGTACACTAACTGGCACCTCAGTACACGCCAGACAGTTGTCTGCGATAGTCCAAGCTCTCTGCTTGCTCTATGGGTTGACTTCATTGGGCTGCACTCAAAGCTCACTCGAATGCGCTCCACGTTCTCCTCTGATACACGCGATCGGCCCAGGCTTTTACCCTTACACAGAGAGCCAGTTTCATCAAATTGTTTATTCCAATGATAAGTGCTCTTCCTCGTTGGAGGTTGGAGTTAAACTTGCGACGAAATGCACGCTGCACCTAGTCGCAGACTCACTTTTACTGAACTCATGAATGTAAAAAATCTTGTGTTGCATAGTAGCCATCTTGCTTACAACTGACCTGGTGCTGGAGTGCTCTAGCAGTAATATTATAAACTTTACAACATCCTCTGTACCTTACAGAATTCAAATGCAACATATAGTTCAGGAAATATAGCCAATTGAAATTGTGTCCATCTTTCTGAATCACTTTGTAGAACACTTTCATGAAAATTTGCCTGCCATATGTTATATTGATCCATAATATACCTTGGCTTTCAGAAGGCCATACATGGACTTTTGCATATATCGTAAACTATTTTATGTATCTTGTTGAAATTGCATATAGAAGATTTCCACCAAAAGTTGTCAAGCAATTTTCATTCACTTATGCTGATATGTAATAAAACCTGGTTTGCACATGGCCATAAATGAACTTTTCTATTTATCACATAAACAGTTTCACAGGTTCTGTTAAAATTTGACCTATGATTCTACAACTAAATATTATATTTCAGCATCCTGTTGCATTGAAATATCACTTAGTCTTCTACCATTATAATGCAACAATATCAATATAGATTTAGATGATATTAATCACATTTAATTCACTAAAATATTGGTTAAAATGTGGATTCTTTAATAATGTGTTGCTTGAAGATGGCTCTGTTTGGCCAAAACATGTAGAGCATAAACATGGAATGTACAGTAATACCTTGCATAGTCCAGGTAATCGGTTCTGCCAATATCCTGGACTGTTTGAAACCAGACTGCACATTTTTCTTCTTTGGCCTTTTCTCTTCATACATTTCTTTGTAGCAACAAATTGCATTGTTTATCGTTCGGCAAATTGTAAGGCTACGTTCAGTATTGGGATCAACTTCCATAATATGCTCTGACAAGGTGTCAACCATTCCAATAATTTTTGATAGTTGTTCAGCTGTTAATTCTTGTGCAGACATTTCAACACAGTCGTTGTTGTCTAAGTTGTCCTCCTGTTCTTCATAAGCCCGTTGTTCGTCTGTGTTAATAAGTGTTTCATTATCTAGTTCATTAGTGTTTGATTTGATGCACTCAATTAACATTGATGGAATCTAACTCATTGAAAGCAAGTTTCTGTCCAATTTCCACCATGTTATTAGTGACTTCAGCAAAATGAGTTTCAAAACCAATTAAATCATTTGCACAATGTGGTATGATATGTTTCCATACTGCCCTCATATTGCTTGCCGTTAATTCAAGCCATGCTTACCCTATATTTTTGATAACGTTTCTGATGTTGTAGTTCTTCCAAAATTCCATTAAAGTAGTGCTCACCCCACCTCCTCCAGCGATAGCTGTCAGCTCAAGATCGAACGACCTGAGCATAGGTACATACGTAATCAATGGGGAACCCCAGAAAAAATTGAAACATGTATCGTATTGCATAACTTTAAAACCACATAAAAATAAACTGCACAAAAAGAGACTTGACTGTATAAATTAAAAAGAACGATCATTTATGTATTAAAAATAATTTTGTGTGCTAATTTTTAAGAATTTATTTTTATTTTGTTCAGTTAAATTTTTTTTTTTTTTTTTGAAATTTTCAAACTGGACTGTAGTGAATGTGGACTGATCGAAGCTGCACTATGCAAGGTATTGTGGTATATGTATTTTAGTAACATTTTAAAATATTTCAATGAACATTTTAGTGAATTAAATATGATTGGTGACATCTACATCTATATTGATATTGTTACATTATAGATGGTAGAAGACTAAGTGATAAATATTGGGGAATTCTGATTCTCACTCATCCATAATAAACTGAGTTGATGTAGGACCTTAAATGGACCTTTCAGTGTATCCCATAAACTATTCCACAGATTTTCTTATAAGATGACATTGGACACTCGTTAGACGTTGGGAAATTCAAATGCCCAATCATATTGATTCAAAATAAAGCCTAGTTTACTTAAATTGTCTTACCATGTGTCCCATTAAACAGGGTTGGACAGACTTTTGCATGGAAAAGTGCTATATCAAAATTGTTTCAAAGTCTCTGGACCACTTATTTATTTAATATGATAGAAATTATTTTTGTGGGTAATAAGAATGGCTAAAAAATAAGTTTTATAGGTTAAGTGCAACTTGAAGCTCAAATACTAATTTTTATTTCAGAATTTGCACCCGTTTGTATATAATAAAACATTTTTCCAACATGAATATTTTCAAAGAAGAATTCTTTGCAAATATATAACACTGAAACACTTGTTTAATTAATAAGATGAAGAAGACTTACACTGCATCAGCTCCATGAATTTTGTGAATTTTGGTAATTGCTAACTGCTAACTTTAACGCAGGTCCAAGTGGTCATATGTAAGGCAGAAGTGGTATTTTTACCTGATGTTCATAATCAAGGATGAAGATTCACGTAGAAATGTAGAACTGAAGAATGATAATTGGAAGGCCATATTTCTGAGATTTTTTGTACTTTTCAGTTCTCATAAGTTTCCAGAAATTAACTTCAGAAACTTCTATAAATTATAAGTAACAGATGTAATATTACTATTTTCCCACACCTTAGTGGCTGCCTAAAACCCATAGTCTTGCCCAGCCCTGCTGTAAACATTTGCACAGATTTTTGTTGAAATTTGATGTGGAGACTTTCATAAATTTGGACTTCTTTGTTCCTGTTTTTGAGTACACTTCATAAACTTCAAAGAACACTGTTAAGAGTTATATGCACAGGATTGTAGAGAACGCCACTGCGGTCTGTTGGATTATAAATTTATACAATCCTGATATGGCAATAACAGTACAGAATTTGTAGGACTGAAATTCTGCAGTAGGAATGTAGGTTTTATGAGTTCTGCTCAGAACTCCATGTTTTGTAAAGTGAAATTAACACGTTCTGAGTTAATTAAGAGTTTATTCTTGATACATGATATATTTATAGGTTGAACAGAATCCATATGACTATAATGCATACATAGAGCTCATAAAACTTCTCCAGAAGATAGCTGAGATAGAAAGACTTCGTAAAGCAAGAGAGATGATGAGCAGACATTTCCCCTTAACCACAGGTAAATGATTTGTTATATTTCTCTTATGATCCTCTTTGTTGAATTTAAATTGGTTGTCAAACAGGTATGATTTTAGTGGTTGTTTCCAGAATTCTAGGTTTCAGGTACATGTTAATGATTGTGTTTAATCTATAAATGAACTGACATGTGTTGTGTTTTCATGTTGGTAAATACATTTGTATTATGTAGTGATGAAAATCTTATCTAGCATGGGATTTGAAATCGTGTGATGGTTAATGTGGAAGCTGTATCAAGAAAGGGATTCTTTCAAATCAACTGCTTGTTGAAGGTTGTATTAACTACATTTTCCCTTTGCAGTTGCATATTTCCTTGTCCATATTTGTTGGGTATCAGGAGACAAAGAAATTACAGTTCTTTTCCATTGTCAAGGGTACCTAGGAAATCCTTTCCTAAGGTTGTTTGGGTGCTGAAAATGATGAAACAGTTGAAAATATGTGATATAAACATATTTTTTGTTGTTTCCTGTTTCATTCTTAGTACTGTCTCCTTAGTACAAATATTATGTTTTTGGACATTATTCATCATCTTGTCTCTCTCTAAAAACCGTCCTGTTTATTTTTCAAAACACGTCGTTTCAGAGACTGGATTCTGTCACTGTCTTCAGGTAAAACCTACTCAGTTGGATCCAATTAATAGAGCTAGTCCCCCTCTCTGGATTTGAGGTTGTAACTGCAGTGTCTAAAAAAAGCACTTTCTGATGTGTAATGTGGTACAGCCTGATAGAAGTCCACCAGCATCTGAGAAGAATGTATTGACTCGATCTTTAGGGTTGAAGAATAAGCCAAACAAGGAGCAGGTGGCAAGTAGAGTGAACCTCAGTTCTGCTTGCTGCCTTATCTTTGCTGATTTCTTGTATGGCTTAATCTTCAACCCTGCAGATGGCAGCTGTACATTCCTCTGAAATTTTGGATTTCTAATGGTCTTAGTCATTGAAGATTTTATATTTCAACTACTGATACTTTTGCACATGAATACAGAGGCATGTGAAAGAAGTCAGGTTTGTCTGTTCACCGATTGAGATTATAAATACATTTCTTTTTCCAGTTTTCTTCATATTGAAATTAGTTTTAGATATTGCATATTGCTAGACAAGCCCTTGTCTTAACTTTGTGTATGCTCCGTTATATGATTTTCATGTACAGATGCATCTGCCATTCCAGTCATTAATTCAGATCTGCTTTGGTGTCTTAGTCATACTTCAATGTTAATTTGCATTTCAGATTTTTGTGGATTTTTTGATACATTCATTCATTTTATTTCGCATTCATAATTGCTTCAGCAGTATCTCTTGAAAAAGTCACATCATTAACTACATCATTCTTGAAATTCTTTTGCCCAAATGCCTAAAGGATTAGAATTTGTCAACAATAAATAATCACTCTTGACATGGTTAACCTGTACTTAAAATATAACACACTATCAGACAGATAAATGGTGCGATGTACTCAGTTATTCAGGTCAATGAAAGAGAGAGCAACCACAAATAATTGGAAAAATGTTATCTTACTTTCAACTCAGACATATATTGCATATCCAACTATTTATGCTAGGATGATGGTAAGTTAATGACTATAAATACTCTAGTAGCAGAGTGTTCTGTCAGCATAGAGGGGACAGAGCATTCATTGTTTATTCCCCCCTCTAACTTTGTGCGTCTGCAAATAGATTTTGTTGTGTGAAAGGCAGCATAAAACATATAATGAGGAGTATGAATAAATAATAAATAAAGCTATCCCTGTACAAGGCCGTGAAGGCCCATAGGGTTGTGAGACGTTGAGGGTCCCACATTTTCTAGACAATCGTCTCAAAGATGGCAGTAAGGTTGCCAGCCTTACGCACCGGCCACGCTTTAGTCCCCAGGAAAATTATTTAATTAATTCCTGGTACTCATTTCTATTAGAGGCTGAGTCGACCCCAGGGCCTAGTATGGCTGGAAGGAATAGGTCAACTGAAAAAATCCAATGACCTCATTGGGACTTGAACCCGTGACCTTCCAGCTTGTAGCATAGCCCCTCAACCAACTACGCTACCGCATGCCCCCACCAATGAGTATGAGAGAATGGAAATTTAATTCATGTTTATATGGATAAGATGCTTGTCAGTTTTACACATTAGATTGTGTAACATGTGAAGGAGTACATAGTCCATGTAATGAAGAGAGTACTTTGCAAGTCCATATTGTATATGACAGTGTTACAAATCCAATAAGCCATGAAAATTGAAATAGAAAGCATTACATGGGTAATACAGTTTCAGTAATCTACAAATGGTTAATCTGAAATATACTATAGGATTTCATACCCCCCCCCCCAAAAAAAAAGAACCATGGAGAGGGTGAAATCACATAAATCAAACATAATTTTTCTTCCTTCTTTCTTATTGCTCCTCTGCCATGCACACAGTACCACCCATTCTCCTCTCCTCTCTTTGAGGATAGCAGTTCACATTAAGTGATTGCTTTTAATTGAAATAAGTCTGAAGTAATTGAATGTGTTAGAATGAAACTGCATTTTTCAAACTTGCATATAAGGAGGACTACATGTACTTGGCTGTTCTAATTTTCTTGTAAATTACAAATTTGTAAATAGTATGAATGAACTGCATAGGTTATATAGCATAGAGATTTTGATATAAAACATGTTTTAGTATAACTCCATTTAAAATATGATGCATCTGGAAAAAGAAGTGGTTTACATTTTGAAATCCTTACTCATTTCAGAATTGTGGATTTCTTGGCTGCAGGATGAGATTAATATAGCAGCTTCAGATGCGGAACGCAGCGCCATTGTGGAACTGTTTGAGAGGGCTGTCCAGGACTATCTTTGTGAGCAGTTTTTATATTAATATTTACTTATTTTGTCTGTTAGATGAACATAATACATTTTGAAGAGTACCATCTTCTGGGATGTAACACTGTGTAGCCTGCCGAAAGTCACCTGACTTTGCATTCACCTGCTTTCGTGTTGGTTTCTTGCTCTGCTACTTTTTTGACCCTGGAAATGAAGGTGATGTGTTCCTCCTAAACATTGGTTGGCTTTAAGTGGACTATACAGCATTATATCCCAGAAGATATTGTACCCATTGACATCCATCGACACTTGCTAAAGGTATACGGAGACAATACAGTGGATGTCAGCACAGTGATTCGGTGGGTAGTGCGTTTCAACAGTGGCGAAAGTGAAGTGCACGATAAGCCACGCCCTGGGCGTCCCTGCCCAGCTGCCACTCCTCACAATGAACAGCACCTCATCTGAACAGATCAGCAGATAACGACCAGGGACTTTCAATTCTGAATGCTACAAGACGCCGCCGACTAAGCTGAAAGCCCGTATTTCCAGAGTCAGGCCAGAGAAGCAGACAACCTTTCGCTTGCAACACGATAACGCAGGACCCCATACCAGTTTGGTGACCACTGCGCACATTGCAAAGTTTGGCTGGACTGTCCTACCACATCCAATTTATAGCCCCGATTTAGCACCTTCAGACTTCCATCTCTTTGGGCCTATGAAAGACGGACTACGTGGGCAACACTTTCCAGACAATGATGCTCTCATTGCAGCTGTAAGAAAGTGGCTAGCCTCTGCTGGTGCAGACTTTTACGGGCGTGGCATACAGGCTCTTGTTCATCGATGGCAAAAGTGCATAACAAATGGTGGTGATTATGTGGAAAAATAGCTGTAAGTAGCTGAAATCTTGCTCTATTTAACTGCGTTATTATGATTTCTGTATCCGTTGTAGTTTTCTTAAAAAAAAATAGGCATTATATACGGAATGCCCTTAGTAATATAGGCCTACCCGTATTTAAATTTATTCAGCCTCATTTTTATGTCATCTCATGGCTTATTTAATACTTTTTTTACATTACACTGAAGTATGAACTAGTTATTTCAGTCACAATGTTCAACAACATCCAACACTTTGTATGAATATTCACACTTAACACTTAAAAAATTTAATATTGTCATTTGCTTTTTTGTGGCATTTTCGTTTTTGCGGATATCCGTACGAAGCCTACGTAATATTAGCTTGTCACATAATAAACTGTTCTCGTCATTCTCAAGATAGTCTAGTAAGGATTCCAAATGATTAAGAGCAGCACCATGTGATATTTTCTTACCAGCAGCACTGTCCACCTCTTCCTCATTCTCACTTTCTTCCCACTCTTCTGGCTGCTCCCCCTCAAACTTACGATTTCGTCACTGCTTAACATTTCGAAGCCTGGCTCACATGAGTCACAGTCAAACCACTCTCTTATATTTTCCTCGTTTACTTCTTCACCACCATGAACTTGGTTAGCCAATCTTGTCAATTCTATGGCTATCTCATTTCACTGAATCCAGTGAATCCATGGATTTCATCAGACTTCATACTTAACACAACACACTTCCTTTTACACCCTGACATTTTGCTAACGCACTTGAAGATCGATACAAAGAGACTAACTGGGGCGGTGTATCTGTCCTTGAAACTTTCCACAAATCCTTGCATTCTTTCACCCCTACCATAGAACATTGTGTTAGCATAACGGGACCCAAAAATGCAGAGCTCGGTTCACACTAGTGGCAAAATAATGTTACAACTCACCATGTGAAACAAAAGTGAATGAATATTAAACAACATATAAGCCTCAGAAAAGCCCTGGTAGCCCTGGTTAAGCCACAAACCGGTTTATCCGCCCCCGGATAATAGAGAGTTGAGTGTATTTATGTTCTATAATTTTAACTGCCCTTTCCCCTCAGTAGTCCAAATTAGTGAGGTTTTACTACATCACCGTTTCTGAAAGATAACATTTTTGGTTTTCTAACAGCATCTGTGATGAAATGTAGCTGTTGTAGATTCAGATTGAGTGCTTCACTGTATTACACTGTTAAAATTCCAGTTCTTGAGTGCATAATGGTATGAGTGAGTGGCTGCTTTATCTTTGACCTAGAATGTTTTTGCTTGTCATTATTGTATTATACCAATTGTCTTTCAGTTAGTAACTGATTTTGTACTTCTGTTGCTTGTGCTTAGCGATGAAGTAGTTTACCTTGTTTGATTTGGGTGAACATCAGATCTGTTTAGTTCTGAGGCTAACTTCAGGAAATTTATTCCAGTTAGAAACACATACTGGGTCGTGCCATAGCTCAACCGGTTAGTCGTTGGCTTCCCACTGCGGCGGCCTGGGTTCGATCCCGGGTCTGGTCAAGTGGGGTTTGTGGTGGACAGAGTGGTGCTGGGGCAGGTTTTTCCGAGTACTTCGGTTTCCCCTGCCAATCTTCATTCCACCAATTGCTCCACAATCACCCTCACCTATCATCTGGGGCTGGTACAATAGGCCAGAAGTGGCCGCAGTGCAAGGGACTTAGTCTCACCCCACTAGCAATAAAAAAAATAGAAACACATGAACAACACACTGCAGTGCAGTGTTTCTGAGTTATGAATTTCAGAGAGGGGACACAGTATGTGTGTGGAGATCATGACCATTAAACTGAGAAAGAGGCAGGACAAAAATAAAGATATGATGCATTCTGTATTTATGCATGGAACCAACCAGCCTCTGTTAATAATCTTGAGAACTTGACATTTCTCTGCGTGCTGAAGCATTATTGCAGTTCACCTATATAGATTTTTTGCAATGAGTCTGATTAATTATATAAGTATCATGGTATGTGCAAGTAACTTGATGATAGGAGGTCAAGGAATGTTTAGAGAGTAGCACTTTGAAACTGCCTGCTTGATCCTGAAGATGTTCCTGCAAAACATCAGTTGACCTTCAGCAGACTACACCGTGTTATATCTCTGAAGATAGATTCTTTCAAAACTAACATCGTGAGAACCTCAAATCCTGCACATTTCATTATTATTTAATTTTGTATTTTTTGTATTCCACATTTTAAGTGATTCTCTGTTATAGGATTCGGCTGTTAGCAAGCACTGTCATAAATAAATTGAACTACTGTCACAACCACGGCCCCCCATCCCCACTGCCGCCGCCAAGAGCAATAATACTAATTCACTTCTGTAATTTTCAGCGGTTGATCTCTGGTTGGAGTATGCTCAGTTCAGTATTGGCAACATGGGACTGCAGGATGGTGTTAAAACAGTGAGAAATACATTTGAGCGTGCTCTTACAGCTGCTGGTCTTCATGCTGCTAAGGGGGCTATTTTGTGGGAGGCATATCGTGAGTTTGAGAATGTGATGCTGACGATGTTACAGGTAATAATATATAGTGTTGGGGCTCTAATTTCATTCTCTGTGTAACTGTGTTACTGTATACCACCAATACTTGATCATTTTTGATTGACAGTGAGATAGCAAGTTACAACAGTGAAAGTATGAGGGATGTCTGAATTTAAAGGTACGCCGCCAAATTGCATAACATAATTTATTGCAAAAAATCTTTAATATAGTCAAGAAACACTACGTACTAATGTTTATTTTTCCACATAGTCATCATTAGCATTCAGACATTTGTCCTATCGTTTTACAAGTTAAAACATTCCTTCAGAGTAGTGTTCCTTTCCAACAGATGTGAAGTATTGCACAACTGTGTTTTGCAATGCATTTTGGTCCTCAAATCTTTTTCCTGATTAGGAGTTCTCAAATGGCCCAAAGAGGTAGAAATCTGATGGCACTAGATCAGGACTATGTGGTGGATGCTTCAGAACTTCCCACTTTTGCTTTTGCAATGATGCTGCTGCCTGGACTGAAGTGGGAGGTCATGCTTCATCATGCAGAATCCTTAGTCCAGTGGTTAATTGTCCTGATCTCTTTCTTTTAATGACTTCACACAATTTTTCAAGAGTTTCCCAGTATTTATTGCTGTTGATTGTTGTTTTTGGTGGGAGAAATCCCAGAACACGGTCACCATTGTTTTTTTCACATATGGCTCAATTTTGAATTTTTTTTGTAGTGGGTGAATGAGGATGTTTTCAAGTTGTGGAGTTTCTTTTTGACTCTGGAGTGAACTCATATACCCAGGTTTCATCTCCTGTAAAGGTGCTTTCCGCAAATGATTCTCCTTCATCTTGAAAATGGCAAAGATTTTCAAGTGAAGCGGCCATTCTTTTGCTTTTGTGCTCCTAGGTGAGCATTATCAATACTTTATAGAAGTTTAAATCTGAGATGATTTCATGCACAGTGCTTTTTGCAATACCTGTCACTTCAGCAATTTCATGAATGTTGACTCTTCGATCTTCCCTTATCAAACCTTTGACAGTGACACAGTTTTCATCAGTGTGTGTGATGTCCCTGGTCTGCCTCTGTGTTTCTGTGGATCATCATTCAGTGTTGTTTGGCCATCTTTAAATTTGTTGTTCAGCTGAAAACGTTATGGCTGTAAACACTCACCAACCATGCGATGAATCTTGATCTGACTCATTCCTGCTGCTTACAAAAATCTGACCATCTCACGAACCTCAAATGTGGAATAATTTTCAATCGCACTGGCCATTTTGTTTGTTTGTAAAGCTGAGATACTTGGATTGAGAACGAGACTAGTATGGCTCCTTCTCCTCTGCCCGACATACCAGTATATGCAAGTGATATCGAGATGTTGCTTGCAGGCCATATATAACAGACAGTTGTACTTTAATATCTGACCACCCTTGTATGTTATGATACAGATAGGTGGCCTTTTTATTTTCACGTATTTTACTTTCTATTATATATAATAGTATGTAAGAGAAAGTCATATGATTTTGAAAGAAATTGATCTTCAGATTTGGATGAATTTGTGTGTTTTGAGCCACCATTTAACATTATGTTCTGAAAGGTTGTTGATGTTTTGTTTTAAGTTAATTTTTTTTGTATAAAACAACTGATGGTTATGTAAAATTTACATTCAACTTTTGCTTTGTTGGCAGTAATTTAATCCACCATTATATGTAGGTATGTGGAATATTTATGTACCTTGATCATAATTATACCTACAAATCTTTGTGATATTCTGTTCACGTGTAAACAGATATAAATACTGTGACGGACTGATTCCTTCAGATTATAGCGAGCAAAGAAAACATCGAGTTGGTACTAGCAGAAATTATGGACAGAAATACACCAATGTATGAGGGTAAGTCTATAAGTAAGTTACAAATGGATATAGAACTTAAACAAATAAAAGTATTGATTTGAAAAATGCTTTTATTTCTCAACATAATCTTCCTGTACATTGGGGCACTTGTCCTATCGTTTCACAAGCCCCTGAAAACCAGCATAAAATTCTTTAGGCTGCTGTCGAAATCAGGAGGTGACTTCCCTTTCTACAGCTTCATCATCAGGAAAATGTTCAGCCGAAAGATGATGTTTAAGAGGGTCGAACAAATGGAAGTCACTTGGAGCAAGGTCGGGGCTATGTTGAAGGTGCTCGAGGACTACCCACTTGAAATTTCGCAGTGTCTCGTTTGTCTTGTTGGCAGTATGGGGACCCACGTTGTCATAGAAGAGCAACACGCCTTTGGTGAGGAGTCCTGGTTGCTTCCTTACGAAGTTTCCAGAGGATGTTACAGTAGGAGTCGGCATTTACGATTTGTCCTTGAGGCTGGAATTTGGTGAGCAGTATGTCTTCATGATCCCAGTCACCGCCTGGTTCTGACAGCAGCCCAAAGAATTTTATGCTGCTGGCTTTCAGGGGCTTGTGAAACGATGGGACAAGTGCCTCAATGTACAGGGAGATTATGTTGAGAAATAAAAGCATTTTTCAAGTCAGTATTCTTATTTGTTTAAGTTCTATATCCATTTGTAACTTACTTACTGACTTACCTACGTATAATGTGATTGATGATAGATTGAAACATTTGAAGGGCAGTAGTGTCATGTCCATGACAAAAGCTTGGTATCATCAGTAAAACCACAAGACTACCACAAACTCCAGATGTCACGTTCTTCATAGAACTTCTCATTTTCCTCTATATTATGAAATTTCTTACAGTCCAGAGCTGATACTGACTTAAGTGAGAGCCAGCAGCAGGAATTGGCTGCTCAGAAGAACCGTTTGGTTACCATATTTCGTCGCCAGATGGCTTGTCCACTACTTGACATGGAGAAAACATACCAAGAGTTCACAGAGTGGCTGAATGAAGAGCCAAGCAGGAGAGATGGTGTGGACATAAAGAATATTGAATCTGGTTTCAAAACTGCACTCCTGAAATTGAGCAAGATCCTTCCTTATGAAGAACAGCTGGTAATAGCACATCTGTATACATATTGAATTATATGTGTTGCGGAACTGAGTAGTGTATTGGAATGTGTGCATGTAGTACACACAAGTTCATTTCTTTGTCAGTTTATGTAAGTTCTAGATGAGACAAATGTAAAATTATATAGGATTTTTGGGTTTTCACAGTGGTGGTTATGAAGAGTTCTGTTTTGTGGGATTGTAATATTGTGTAGTCCATTGAAAGTTGACTGAAATTTTGGAGTAACAAGTCACTTGCCATCTGCTTTCATGCTAGTTTCTTGCACTGCTTTTTCTTTAATCATGATGCTGGAGGTGATGTCAGTTGCGTTTCAGTGGACTCTGTGGCATTTTATCCCAGAAGATTGAACTCTTCAAATGTAAAGGTAATTTTGGATTATACAATTTTTCTGTTTTCTTAATGTAAAACTGTTCAGTGTATTTTACAAATTGGCCATTGAAGCATGTAATGAACTTTCTGCTGAGGTTTTCTGTGCCCTTAAGATGGTTATACGAAACATGCCAACTGTGTAGTACATAGGCGAATGTAAGGGAGAGGTGTGAAGTGTAGAGCCTACTTTTTAAAAACAGTTGCAAGTTTATTGTTAATTTCATCATGATATTAATCAGTCCTTTCTCAACAAGTCATTATATAAAATAAAGTAATAATATTATGTAAATAATATATAACAAACTTTGGTTTAATGGAGTTTCAAAATGTTGATGTTCACGTATGTTTATTTAATAATACCCATAAAAATTTCCATAATACAAAACAGGATGGAGGTGTTATTTCATATTCAGTTGATGTCTGTGTATTATAAGTAAAGTAAAGGTATCCCTGTAACAGGCCGTGAAGGCCCATAGGTTTGTGAGATCTAGAGGCTCCCACATTTTCTAGACAATTGACTCACAGATGTCGGTGAGGTTGTCAGCCTTGCACGCTGGCTGCCCTTTACCCCCAGGAATATTCCTGGTACTCATTTCTGTTAGAGGCTGAGTTGACCCCAGGGCCATAGTACGGCTGGAAGGATTAGGTCACTTGGAAAAATCCACCTCATCGGGATTCGATTCAATGACCTTTTGTCTTGTAGGATAATGCCTCAACCAGCTACGCTACTGTGTAAGTACCTTAATGTAGCATTAACAACTCAAGATTTGTGGGTGTGAAGGTCTGCAGTAGGATAGTCGCTTTATGAACTCTGTCTGAAACTTCTTGCTATGAAGAAGTGCTGTCTCATTATGTCCTGTTCAATATTTCAGCTGAGCTCCGATAATGCCAGCAAAGCAGATCATTATCGAGCATACCTCCAGTATGAAATGTCCAAGAATGATCCAGCTCGAGTTCAGTGTCTCTATGAACGGACGGTTGCTGACTTGTGCCTTGATGCTTCAATGTGGCTTGAGTACATTGAATATTTGGATTCTGTACTCAAAATAGATACTGTTGTTCTATCTGTTTGCAAACGGGCAGTTCGGAATTGTCCCTGGAGTTCTCCATTGTGGCAGCATTATCTGAGGGCTCTTGAGAGATACAAAAAGCCGTTTGATGAGGTTAAAGGTATTTTGGATATAGTGTTTGACGTTTAGTTATTTAGCCATATGCTGCCGTTCTCCATTTTTATATGAAGCCTGTAAGTGATTTTTACTCATTGCATCCTATTGTGTATGATTAAAGCCCTGCTGTGTGTTATTAATCTTGTACATAACATTCATAGATGGTATATCGATTATAACCAACTAATTGTTTCAATTTGCGTAAAATCCTGACATGTTTCTGTCAACTACTGATCATAATTGGGTGGATATGTACAACTCAATTCAATTTTATTTCATCCATGAATCATTATACATGATANCCTCCATATGTCCTGTTGTACCTTTACTGGTGGTAATGCCTATGGAGATTTGATGGAATGAGGATTGGCAGGGGAAACCGAAGTACTCAGGGAAAACCTGCCCCAGATTAATGAATTGTATATTGTAACTTTATTGCATTTGAAGTGGGATCTCAGTTGCAGTTTGTTATTGCAGTGTTGGACAGGAAATGAGTCATGTGTTACCATAAACAAATATGACTACTCTTGTTTTCCATGTTATTCTTCTGTAAGAAAATATAAGCAAATGGGATGGTTGCCTTATCACACTGGCCACTGCACAAGTGATTCACAATTGCAGTTTTGTTTTGCATCTGTTGCATACTTTTTGTGTTCAGTGTTTGTCTTGTTTATAGTAGTTCTGACATCTTTTGAAACTTTTAGAATCTTTTGTTGTAATACAAACAGCATAGTACAGAACAGTAACGAAATTGTAAATATAAATAAAAGTGTAACATTACTTTTCTGAAACTCTGTATATGATTGCACACATTAAGAGCCTTCTTTGATATTTTGCACTTATTTTTGTTATAAAAATTTTGGCATTCTTAATTAGCACATTTTTCTCAAAACATTTTTGTATGAAGTGCTAAGTCATTCCTTTTGTTTTAAGCTGCATGTAATTTTATGTAAAGCATGTTTAGATCCTGTTTATGGCTTGTATATTTGTTTTCTAGTTCCCACCTACTTATTGCTGTAATCCCCCCAAATTAAGGGATTCTGTCTTGATGTATTTCCTGTGCATTTAAGGTATTTATGATTCATAAACCTTGGGCAGTGAATTCCAGGATGAAACTAATTTAGACTCTTGTTATAGGGAAAATCATTTCTGAGAAAAAAAAAATAGAATGATCACATACAGCGTCATCTCCACTTTCCCTCGTTTAACATCAGTGTAATGTAATTTTATGTCAAGCATGTTTAGATCCTGTTCATGGGTTGTATATTTGTTTTCTAGTTCCCACCTACTTATTGCTGTAATCCCCCCAAATTAAGGGATTCTGTCTTGATGTATTCCCTGTGCATTTAAGGTATTTATGATTTATAAACCTTGGCAGTGAATCCCAGGATGATACTAATTTAGACTCTTTGTTATAGGGAAAGTTATTTCTGAGAAAAAAATAGAATGATCACATACAGCATCATCTCCACTTTCCTTCGTTTAACATCAGATTTCAAACATCATAATTAAAGAACTGCAGTGAGGTTTTCTTCTTTAAAATTTTCCTTAGTTTTGTGTTCAGATCCATTGCTCTCCAAAGAAACGTTGAATGGTCATTTTGCTGTATGTACTTGAGTAACATATGTTAATCTATATTCCATTATAATCCATGAGCTATATCATGCATTATCAATTTTCAATAAAATTTTGTCATACATTTCAGATGTGATGGAGCAAGCATTGTCAGTGGGATTCAGTACTGCAGAAGATTATCGCAGTTTGTGGCTGTGTTATATTGAGTACATGAGGCGTAGAGTAGACTGGGGTACAGATCATCAGTCAACACAGATGGAAGAACTAAGAACAACATTCAACAGAGCCTGTGATCATCTTGCACAGTGTAAGTAATGGGCATTTGGTAGTAGTAATACCATGCTCAAACAGAGCAGGTATTCTCATATAATGCAGAAAATTTGAGCAGTTGGTTGTTGATATCAATCTGTATCATAAACTGACCCACTTTATGCTACAGGCTCTTTCTTAACCAGAGAGTAGTCACATATTAAAAAAAATCTTTTGGGTCTGCCATTGGACTCTGTTGTGAGCTAGTTTAGTTTATTACATCCTGAACCAGTTTCAGTGGGAGATCCTCAATATTGCCTTCTGTTCATCTTGCCAGCTGGCACTGGGATGAGGACTCTGAAGTAGTCAGTCAGTAGAAGTTTTAATGACTGTTAGACATCTATATCCAGGCCTTCTAAGTGGTTTCTTTCAAAATAATAACATATTGGTATATAACTACTGAGAGCTGGAATTGTGGAGATGTCCATAACTAGGCAAGGGCTCGGTAAACATGTTCCTATGGCAATGAATATGCACAGAGCAATAGAGGAACTGTTGGAGACATAGTTTGGTATGCAGTCTATCCTGAAATTATATGGGGAGGGACACACAACTGTATGGACTCTGCTGGCTACAGCCAGCAGCAATTCACCATACCAGATCAGACTAGACCAGACCTATGGACCAGAGCCATTAGACATTAAAGTATTGTTATGAGTCCCATGGGACTTGGAACCAAGCATCACTATGCTGGTCAGGACCAGCAGCAATTTAGCAGGCAGTCAGGTATGGACCACAAGAGTTCCACAGGACTTGGGACAAAGAATCACTGTGCTGTTGAGGGCCAGCAGCAATTTGGCAGGCAGGTATGGACCACATGAGCCCCACGGGACTTGGAACCAAGAATTACTGTGCTGGTGAGGACAGGCAGCAGTACCAACCCTGTGTATCACAGAGTTATTCTTGGTTCCAGGGGCCATGAGACCCATGCCATATTTTTGTGTCTCACAACTCTGACTGAGTTCTGAGATCACTCCATGCACTGATGTCCTGGCTGGTGAATTGTTACTGGCCGTTGCCAGCATTATCATTCTTGTTTTCTGGCTCTGTGAGACCCATGGCCTGTATTTTTCTGTTTCACAGAGTCATGTGTAACCATGTTATATAACCTTGGTATGGGCTGCATAAATAACACAACTTCCAGTGGTTTTTCCATTGTTTCATACATATCTGTGGCCGTGGGAATTTACTGAGCAATTGCCTAGCATTGGATGGCTTCTCAGGCTCTGCTATTCCGGTCATCATGTCTCATTGATCCTTCCTTAAGACTGCTCTTCCCAAGTAGCTTACAGGCATACCACCATTTCTTCTGTTCTGAGGTGGCATAGCCTGTAAGGTCTGCAGTTAACCCAATGAATGGCACTGCAACATCATACAGGTTTCAGTGTTTTTCCTCTAGTTTTGATGGTGTTCAGCCTTCATTCTTTGTGGATTCAGTCTTGTGCTGCTGTACTTAAACTACTCTCTCTTTAGGGGGTGCTCATCTTGAGTTCCACAGTCCTTTTGAGGGTTTACCTCCCTTAGGATGCTTCTGTGACTGGTGATCTGCAGCCATTGTTACAGGAACTTCCCTTAGGTGTTAGACTGGTGTTCTAACCCAAAATGTAGGGAGATGAACATGATCATATCCTGATGCACCACAGTAGCTCTTCTTCATCACCCAGTTGTAGCACACTACACCCCAAATCCATGGTTGCATCATTGGTATGCAAGACTTCCAGTCCCAGGATGATCTTGCTGGTAATAATGGTGATGGACATACACACTCCCATGCGCGCATGCATGCATGCATGTTGCTCACACACACGCACATTAATTTTAACTTTGTTTCATTGTGGATATTTAATTCGATTTTTGTACAGGCATGGGTAGCTTTAGAGGCAGACATGACTGTAATCTCATATGCGTTAAGACTGTCACATTTTGGTCTTTAATATTTCAGATTTTGGCCTTGAGGGTGATCCTGGTTGTGATATTCTACAATACTGGGCTCGCATTGAAGCTGCATACTGTAAGAACCCGGAGGAGTTCCGGCGTTTATGGAGTGACATCCTCAGTCAGGGGCATGACAAGACAGCAGCCATGTGGCTTGAGTACATTCAGTGGGAGAGGTTTGTAAATCTGATTGTAACAATCCTTCAGACAGAAGATCCTTTGATGTTTCACATACATTTATATCTAAATGAAAATGGACTGAATACTGTATGCACACATATATATGTTCTGTAACTGGTCTTCATTTAGTATGCACATAAACTTATATTTACACTTCCAGCTCATTCTGAAATTTTTGGTTATTTGGCAATACTAGCCAGTGGATCTAAAGTCCATGGTAGTGGTCAGAGCATTGCATTCATTTTTTGTTACTTGGGAATTTTCCAGTGCTTCTCCATTAAGAACATATCAGTATTACATTGTTGAGCTGAGTTGCCGTATTGTGCTTTGATGGTTTTACTGTACGCTGCAAAATTATTATGCCCATGCTCTTTTGATTTAAAGTAACATAATCAGCGATGGATCATGAGTTTCTATGGACAAGGTATATTTGTGTACGGTCTTTCATTCTGGTCCGTCACACTAACCAATTAACAATCAAGTTCCTTCCGTCAAATGTGACACTTTTTTAAGTTTTCCACCTCGTCAGCACCTGCCTTACATGTTTCGGTTCACCACGGAGCCATCATCAGAGGCATTTATAGTAGAAAAAGAAATCACCAACACACAAAACTTCACTTTGTCCAAGATAGCCACGTTCCAGTTNGACAACACACGTCAACAACATCCCGAAGCAAAAAGATTGGGCCAAGCGGGAAAGAATTCTAGGGATTTTAAGAATTCTTACTTCAAATAACGAAACATAATTTTACAGAATTAACGACGAATCAAATAAGGAAGCTACTGTGGTGTGTGAAAAACTTTTAGTGAACCGACATTCTGGGTAATTTTAACTATTTGTAATTATTTTAATTAACTGGAACGTGGCTATCTTGGACAAAGTGAAGTTTTGTGTGTTGGTGATTTCTTTTTCTACTATAAATGCCTCTGATGATGGCTCCGTGGTGAACCGAAACATGTAAGGCAGGTGCTGACGAGGTGGAAAACTTAAAAAAGTGTCACATTTGACGGAAGGAACTTGATTGTTATATTTGTGTACGTTCGTATATTGTATTTATTACTCTCTTATTTTGTATAATTCAAAATCTTATTCAGTTTTCCCTCATTATTGCTGTTGATGACTTCATAAAATGTGCCAGTATTTCCTTTGGTATTATTGTTGTCTGTTTTTGTATTAAAATATCCCATTAATATGGACATGTCTGAGTTACTTCGCCTCTTAACTTTTCCAGTAATTTGTAAAATGTTACGCAGTCTTCATCTTTCCATGTATTTAATATAGTTATGTAATTTCTTGGCATTTTCAACCTTGCTGCAGCTATGCATGTGTTCCATGAAATGTGATTATCAGTAATGGATTGGATGATTTGTGTGTCATTAGCATTATGCCATTTAAGCAATCTGTCTTCTTACTACATTATGTTTCTTTTGAACCTTTTAGTATTGTGACATGTCTAACTGTTGCTGGGCAGCAGGAGGTGGAAAGAGTTACCACGAAGACAGACCCTTGATAAATGATCGGTTGCCAAGTTACTCAACAGTGGAAACAAGGTTATGCAACAGTAGAGAAAGCGATGTTTCTCCATGCCATGCCGAGTAGAGCTGAAGTGAGCTGGTTGCTACGCAGCAATAAACACCTTGGCAGCATTGCCCAGCAACGCCTGTAAACACAGTGTTTACGCAACAGTGAAGCAATGTGGGTTTTCCACTGTCTGACTGAGGGTTTATAAGGGAGACTGAAATGCGTAAGGAGAGGGTTAAATTGTAGCAGCCGCCGAAGACAGTGGAAGTCTAACAGTTGCTGAGCTCAGTTGTAGCAACTGTGGATTGTGAAGCCAGATGGAAGACAGTTGAAACATAGAAGCAGTAGCAGGAAGAAGAATGGAACGTGTGTTATACTGAAGATAGAGTGAAGAGACTATTGTGTAGGGTTGTAAAGTGTGTAAACCCGTAACAGTGTTATAAGTATTTGTAGTTACAACTTGTAAGTTGTTAAATAAACCAATTAACAATCTGAACGGCATCTTCAGTAGCAAAATATGTTACAGTACTTTTATTTATTCTGAAGATTGCTTAAATTTTTATCTCCATAATTGTCTTCTTTAAATGGAATTGTGCATTCAAATGAAACCACATTTTTAGAACTTGTGTAGAACAAGGAGCAGTATTTGTAACCTCTGATGCTAGGAAGGGTGATGATATATCTTTATGCATGATTTTCTTACAATTTATGTTTCTTTTATTAGCTGTCTGAGGGCCAGTGATTCTGTACAGATTGGGCACAAGGTCTCCTGTTCCTTAATGTTTTGTTTTAGCGTCCTATTGCACTGATTTTCGTCCATGATATGTGTGCAGTGTCCGTCTTTTAGTGCACTCAGTTTCACTTGTTATTTCACAACATGTTTCGGCACTATAGTGCCATCATCAGGTGCTCCATTTACGTTAATCTATTTCATTTCTTGCCATTATGTCATTGTAAAATTAATTTTTAATTTAATTTATAAGTATTTTTAAATACTTTTTAAATTTTACAATGACATAATGGCAAGCAATGAAATAGATTAACGTAAATGGAGCACCTGATGATGGCACTATAGTGCCGAAACATGTTGTGAAATAACAAGTGAAATTGAGTGCACTAAAAGACGGACACTGCATACAGATCATGGACTCCGGTTCCTTACAAATTCTGGAATCATATGGTGTTGCAGTGATTAAGGACTCCTAAACAGTGACTGTTTAGGTAGCACTGGTGATCTGGCATTGCTGAATCAACAACTCCTTGATGTAATTCTTAAAACATTTTGAGCAATGTTACGACTGGTAGGTTGTGATAATGAATAAAATGAATTTTGTAAATGGTTGACTGGCATTTTTATTTCATGATTCCATTTTTTGGATAGATGGTTCATATTCGTCTGTGTTTGAGTAAATGATGTCCTTCCTCCCCATGTTCATAGATCTGTTACATTTTAATGTTCAGATTCTCTCTTGCTGTCCTAGCAAAGAAGTACTGAAATTATCACATGTTTGTTTGATTCATAGGGCATTTGGTGATAGCAAACACTTAAGACGCCTGTTCGCACGTGCTCTTACATCAACCCAGGACTGGCCTGAAAGCATTGGGAATGCATGGCTTAATTTTGAAAGAGATGAAGGCACGCTGGATTCATATGAATTTTTTATGACAAAATACAAATCAAGGTACGTATGCAGGCTAGTAAAACGTAACGTGAGTTATATTTGATATACAGCAAAATGTTGGTTGCTCATGATAGAACACACCTTAGTTTCCTCCTAATTTGTACCCTATTTTTCGTATTTCAGTCATTAGAGATTTGTTAATATGACAGTCATGACTGAAAATTACTTTGTTTTAGTTTTTTTTTTACTTCACATTTAGGATATTGATGAATTGCAGTATATTGTCATGTGTTAAAGAGACTGTAGACAAGTTCTGGATTGATGATTGGATTTATTGGACATCTTTATGGCTTGTGACTACACTCCACAAATCACTGTCACATGTGGACTAGTTTTCTCAGTCATGTTGCTTGACAGCTGCCTCCAGTGTCCCTCTGCTTCTGGGCTCACATCTTCGCAGACTGGCTTCTGCTGGTACTTCCTTGGGTTGCTAGCTTCCAGGCTGGACTGACTCACAACTCAGAATTGACTCCTTATGTAGCCTTGGTGTGGACTGCACACAAAATACAGCTTCTGATATCGCCACTGTTGTTGCATGTGTCCCTCTTGCTCTGGGATCATGGTGCTGACTGCATAAAACACACCAGGTCACGTGTTGTTATTGTGTTGTTCCATAGCAGTGAACATTTCTTCTGGCTCCAGAATTCTTTCTTTGAGCAAATATGTCACAGTACTGTGGCATATTTACTCAAAGCAAGAAATGTGGAGTCATAACAGTCTTCCATTACTAGGCAGTGGCCCATAAACAACAAGAGAGGAATGGTGATTTCTGCGCAGTCCATGCAAGTGGTTGTACATGCAACATGGAATATATCATGTCTTCTAAGCAACAGTTTCACTGCAACAGAGGAACGGTGTTTTCTGTGTGGTCTGTGCTGAGAAGTTATAAGCAGGACCAGTTACCTTTTGCAGTTAAGCACAATAGACCACTGTAGGTTGTGGTGCAAGGGCTGAGAAGGCCCACCCCTTATACATAGCTTTTGCAGTTAGTGACCCCATGTGGAGGTGGATTCGAATACCTCCACCATAGCCCTGTGGGTCATGGGAGGTGACAAAAAGAGAACCTAGTGCTTGGGGCTATAACTGGGCCACCCTGCTCCTGGGAGATATAAATACGGGGACCTGACCCTCCAGCTTGTGGGAGTCTGGAATCTGAGAGTAAAATATGGTCATGTGTCCTGCTGGACTTGGACCTGAGAATGACTGTTCTGGCGAGGGCCAGCAGCAATTGTAAACAACAGACCTGTCCTCTGATCAGAGAGGGCGACCCACATCAGCAAACGCATAACTGTCTGACAGTAAAAATCTGGTCTTGCATCCCAGATGGGTACTGGTCACAAAGACAGACTGGCCAGCTGACTGTCAGTCATAACATAACTTTGACTTTGACTTCACAGTTAATCAGAGGGCTGCTGTGGCTCGGTCATTGTGAGTTATTGCTGTTAGAAGCTGATAGGTGAGGCTTGGAACCACTTGAATATCCAGTATCTATTTTCAGTTCTTTCCTCTGTTCTTGATGTTTTCCAGTACCTTCATAAAGCATCTTCTTTTTGATTGTTCCATAATTAATTCTAATATCCTTAATATCCTTGTTGGAACCATTTTTTTAAGTGGCGAAACCACTGAAATTGTATATTTTGTAACCTTTGCTAACAAGTTTTCAGTTACTACGTCTCAAAAAATTGTATTTCTAATTCTATCAATTCTTTTTACCCCAGTACTCAGAAACTTCGTAGTCATTGCTTGAACCTTGCTTTTGTTTCTCTATTTTAGGGGTCCATGTTTTGGCGTTATACCAGTTGGTATCAGTTTAAAATTTACTGTATAGATTGCTATGTTGTATTGTTTTGGGTTTCTCTCTGTTCTATACTGTTCCTTTTTTAAGTTGATTTCATTTGAAATCTCAATTTACTGAGCTGTTCAAGAAAACCTGACTTTTTTTTTATAACTAAATGTCTTTTCTATCCAGTTCCTTTTGCCTATATAGATAGTTTTATGAGGAACATATAGTCCTCAGGCTTGATCCATCTGTGATATAGTGAACTTGAACATCATGTTATGTTTTCTTCAGTTAATACACACATGTACACTGTCAATGAATGTACAATAGAGTGAATTTGTTATATCCTGATGATGACCAAGAATGTCAGTGCATATTTCTAAGTTATTCTACATAATAATAATTGTATATAAGACTCTCTTGACAGTACATGTGCATGTCTCTTAAATTATTATTATCATGACGGTTATACTGTATGTGGCAATCAAGTCATTGGTGCTCCTATTTTATTCAGGAGGTCCTAGCTTCAAATGTCATCCTAGAGACTGATTATTCCCACTGAGTTTTTTGGTAGATTTACTCTCTCCCTCTAGGCAGTACGCCAAGAAAGTGGCTTTTTTCTACATTCTTTCAAATTCATTGTGCACTGATGATTTTGCCATTTAATACTATATAATCTAAGCTACAGAAAAGTTCAAGAAACAAACCATAAATAAATACATGAATAAAATATTATAACAGTCATTGTCCTTGTTACCATCACTACCACTGCCACCATCACCTCTGCCTTCATGAAGGTAGATGTGACTGTTGTTCTGCTGCCACCAATGTTTTCTGTTGACATTTGTACTATTACCTTATACACCAGAATGAAAGAGATAAATGACCAGAGGAAAAGAATGGCTGAAGAAGAAGAGAAAACAGTGGAAAAGGGAGAGAAGTGGAAACATGATCATAAGCAAGAAAGGGGCCTGAAACAGAATCCTAGAGTTGCATTGAAAAAGAAGGTATGTTATGTTACCCCCTATGAAAATGAAGACTGATAATTTGAAGAACTGTTGATAATTACGATTACCTTCTAGGTATATCCAAATATTCAAATTGTTCAACATGCACTCATAGTCTAGACACACAGTGCAACAACTTCACCAAATGGGAGTTGGCTCTGAACACACTACATAAAGTGAAGTCTGTAAAAAGTGCTCTGTTTAGATCACTAAATCCAATCAAGACCTTGTGTAGTTGATTTACTCTCTGACTGTGAACTCAGTAGCTTGCTCCTTCTCTGCTTCTCCTGTTCCTCCTGCAAGTCACTCACTCTCTCTCTCCTGACTTGTCCTTGACCACTGGCTCCTCCACTGACTCCTCACTGAACTTCTCTTGATCCAGCTCAACTAACTACTTGACTCAAAACTAGTTCTCTGTCTGAGCTCTCTTTATGTAACTTCAGCGTGGACTCTACACCGTTTCTCACTGTGTCTCAGCTAGGGTTCCCAGATACCCCATTTTCCCTGGATTCTTCCGTTTTTTCACCCAAATTTTGTTCCTCCGTTTATTGTTTACCCAGAGTGGATAATTCTCTGTTTTTTTATTTAAGTCCATTGCGAATTATATTTCATGGGTTAAATTATTATTATTATTATTATTAAATTATTATCATAAAATTTCTGTAAACCTTGGAAAATAACATTGTTATAGATTTCTTTTGTTATGTTGCATTTCGTGAATGTTGGCAACACTTGAGGTTGTAAACCAAAGCAGAGGTTGTTGGTGATAGTGTATTTTTCATTCGTTCAATCTTCGATAGAAAGTCAGTGTCAAGTTAGCAAAAATGTTTGAGGGCGAAGAAGATCCATCAAAGACTCCTCCGCAGAAGAAGTTGAAACATAACCAAATATATCTTAAGAAATGGGAAGATATGTTTTTGTGGGATAAGCCGGGACTGATTATGTATGTTTTATAGCCTGTTAGTTGTGAAAAATGTCGTTATAAACAAGCAATGAGACATTGCTCATTTTTTAATTTTACAAAATCTGGCAGCCCTAGTCTCAGCTGTTATGGTGGCATTTGCCTAGCAAAGGGCTTGGCATTGTTGTGTGTTTATGCAGCCATTGCATAGAAATGGATGACTTTTCTGTGTCTGCTATTCTGGCTTTCATCCATCTTGTATAGTATATTCCCATATGCTAAACTATGTATGTCAGGTATTCAATATAGTTCCAGTTTGCAGTGTTTTGGATTTTTATTATAATGGACTTTCACTGCATGTTGCTAATTGGCAGAAATGCATGGAATGTTGTGTTTGGCTTAATTAGTAATTTCAGGTCAGTCATAGCCAGTCTATGTACTTTATAAGAGGTTCCCATTGTAATTTTTTATTGTGCTGAATGATGATTTAAATATATGCTTAAGCTTCTATCAAGGAGCTTGTTGAATTTTATCACTTAAAGTAGTGTAAGACTTGTGGGAGTAACTACTCAAAGATATCTTTTTACATCATGAAATTTATGGAAAATGTATTTTATAAGAAACATTGAAAAAAATAAAACACTANCACCACATATACACGGCGCCAAATCCCAGAAGACTGCTTTCTTTATTTATGATCTTGTTTTTGATGTACATCCTAGTTCCTAATTTTTGGAGGTGGTGCCTAGATCTCTAGAAAATCTATTGAAGTGTGGTATGTAGTATTTACAAATGGAAACCAGACTAAGCTCATGTTAGTGCAGGAATTTTACCAAGAATGATATTGTGTACATTGTTTTTATAGCATGAAACCGAGGGCAGGTGGGCAGCTGTAGCACCAAAATCCGTAATCACAAAATCAAGTTCAAGGGATGCTACTGAAGCAGAGTGTAATGCTTCAAAAGAGAGTACATTGTGTGCACCTCCACCAGGTTATAGGAAGAGGGAGAAAACTGCTGATGTCTTTGAAGAACCACCTACCAAAATATCTAAACGTATGTCATTAACAGTTTATCGTACCCTATTTAAAATATATTTGCATATTACACCATAATGGCCATTACATGTGCCTATGCATGTCTCTGCGTACTTTTAAATTAGTATACACAGTTCATGAAACTTCATATGAACATCATACCATTGGTGTTTGTGTGAACTGCTGAGGCAAGAGTGTAACTGGTTCTGTGTAAAGCAGAACCCTGAAGTTCTATGTAGTCTTAACAGGACTGGATTTATAATTGTGGCCCCAGGGCAGTCAGAATGTGGACGCCTCAATCGGTAGCAACAACTTTAGGCTATGACAGTTTTTTTCCCTTATTCCTTATAACAACAAAAGATACAAACTAATTTTTCAGGATTTAACAGAACCATATATCTTGATATAATTTTTGGATTCTATTTATGATTTGTGAAGGACTGAGAGCGGCTGACATGGTTGCTTGTCCTTATATCCAACCCTGGGTGTAAATAATGAATCTTTACAACTAGGCATATGAAATTTGATATGGAATAGACCATAAACCTCTTTGTATTGTCCAGACTTTAGAATGTTTACCATCATGAGTCAGAAGTATGCAGGGTAGACTGAATTGCATCACGTTATATTACATTACATTGCATTGCATTGCCTGGATCCAGATTTGGTCGAAATGACTGTAGGATGTGGAATATGTCATATAAATACAAAAACATATATGACTGAAGTTTTCACACAAGAAAACAGTGGTTACACATGGGGCTGTTCAAAAACACATTCACATACGTGGTAGAGTCATTAAGTTCGTGGAATGTGGTTTTATCTCATCATATTACAAGGTATTCACATATACTTATGCAGATCCACGTCAGCCCTCAAAATAGTTGCCGTTGGCCGCTATGCAAGTCTTCCAACGTTGATATAGCTGTCAAATAACTTCACACCATTCTGGATATAGCGAATTTATTCCACATTCACTCTTACACTCTCACAATTCAAAATTACAATTACTGCCATTGACAATATCACAATTACTGCCACTGCTCTTGGCAACTTCACAATCCACACTGTGTCACTCCTAATCACGCACTGTCTCACACACTGCTCAGCCAGTCTTTTATACTGTTCCCTGTTGCCCCGTGTTAACAGTGGTGTCCCCTGTTACATCACAGTGGGAAGTGCTGTTATGTCACCGCGACGGGGGGGACTGTTTACTGGCCTGTTACAGTCATGTCACCGTGGCAATGGTTGCCTGACACCGTTGGTCTTCTGTTACGTCACCGTGGGGGAGGGGGTGTTTACTGAAAGTTGCGTAATGATGGAAGAAGTGGGAATATGTGATGTCACTCGTGAGACCGCAGAGTTCATGTGACCCCCTACTTCCTGTTGCGCCATCCACGTGGCAATACCTTTTGCTGTCAGACGAATTACCCAAGAAAATCATTCCATACTTCATTGAAGAGTGCAAGTAAGCAAAATAAATTTATTTGAGAGTGTCAGTGTTGCTGATATGCACCATAGATCTAACTGCATAACATGCTCCAGTTTAGCTTTGGAACCATCTGATCGATATCTGCTACCACTTTGAAACGTGAAAAGGTTTTGAAGACCGAAATTTAGTTTTTGGGTAGGACGTACCAACTCAAAGACACTAACAAATATATCAAATGACAATATATATATTAAATACTAAATGTGAATACAATGTAAGTCCCTGGAGGTAATAGGCCTCCGGCAATCAACCAGTCAAAATCGTACAGACCAGGAGAAGAGTGAATCGACTGAACAGTTCAAGCTCCCACAACAGAATGGAACACTCTTGTTGGACCTCAGCTGCGCAGAACCAGGAAGTGGAACAGTGGAAGGGGGAAGGTAGTTAAAGGGGGGGACGCCCTCTGACGTAACGCAGACATGGCGTTACACCTAGTTATAATAAATTATGGTGTAAAATAATTAATAGATGTCATTGTAATTAGTTTTTTCTTCAATATGTTTTACAGAGGAGAAAATGGATACAGAACATGGAGTTTCAGTAGACCATGACTCCACTAAAGATAACCGTACTGTGTTTGTCAGTAATTTGGATTATTCTGTGGGTGAAGCTGCAATAAGGGAAGTGTTCTCTTCCCTGGGAACCATCACAGAACTTCGTTTGGTGAAGGACTTCAAGGGTCGGTCTAAAGGCTTTTGCTATGTTGAATTTGGTTCACCTGTAAGTAGTGTATTATGGATCCATGATGGTGTGTATGTTGACAGGTGTGTGTACAGCTCCCATAGTTATTGTATTATACATGTTTCAGGCTGAGGCAGAAGCAGCTTTAAAAAAAGATCGTGAACCTGTTGATGGGAGACCTATGTTTGTATCAAGGTGTAATGCAGACAAACATATGAGAGAGTCTGGTTTTAAATACAATACAACACTGGAGAAGAACAAGCTTTTTGTGAAAGGTGAAATGTTTAGTTTTCTGTGTATGAGTCGTCTTGGTTGAATATTCACTCACTGGCTTCAGATCTCCTTCCTTTCTTCCTCTCTCTGCCTCTACCATAGTTCTCCACTTACCAGAATGAATATTTTTCAAAAGAATTGTCTCCTTGTTTTCTAATTCAAATGACACACTCCACAGTTGGGCAACCATATTTAGAGAATGCCTGAAAACAGCCAATGAGTCAAAGAGTTCCAGTTTAGCTATTTGCTCCTCTGTTGTTTCCATGGATTAAGCTCAACATTAGCACACATATTATTGAATAAAAGTTCTTTCTTTGTTTCTTTGAAGCACAAAAGATCAATCGTGACTTGTTATTTGTATTTTCAACAAACAGAAGTACTTGTTCTTTGCCATGGATATGATTCCATTCCATGTCAGCATTATGCAGTATATCCAGGGCTTGAGGTGGGGTGGGATGCCATCCTGGTTCTTTTCTAAATGGCTTAAAAGCATCCCGTTACTTCTTTGGCAGTAAATGCAATGTACAATACCCAGGGCTTGAGGTGGGGCGGGATGCGGCGGGATGGCATCCCGGTTCTATTTTCATTCCACCTCAAGCACTGAGTATATCATAACTAAAACTTTAACCTTTTGATGTCTAATGGTTACTCTGAAGACAGTCCTTTAAATCCTGAGGCAGCCATATAATCAGATTGGTGATGCTGACTCATGCCAATATTGAGGAGGTAATTTCAGTAACCCAATCTATGTAAGACACAGTCAGGTTCCTCTTGCACATTCTTGTTGTTTGATTCACAATGCACTCTGTTGCAAATACTGATTGAAACTGTGGAACTTTGTTGTGTCATGGGTTTCTCACAGTGAAGATTTCATTGTTCTGCTTTCCACCAAATATTATTTAGGAACTTGACTATTTCTGTTTTTAGAACTGTTGCTCACATGTTATGAACCTGCCAGTGGAGAAATGTTGCTGTTGGAGTGGTCAGTGGCAGATTTAGTTCATATTTGATGATACTGTGTTAGTTGTGTATCACTATAGCCATCATCCTGTGAGGAAAAACTGTCATCTGTTATAAGTTAGTGGTTGTTTCTACCAGCCAGCAAAGAAATTGTTAGATAACTAAATGTGCTGTACGCCCTTGATACAGAACAAATAGTAGCAACTTAGGTATTTTGTAACTGTATCTACCATATTGTTACATGTTAGTGACTAGACATGGGATTTGGATTGATAATTGGATTTATTTATTGATTGGTTGTAAGTGTAACTACAAATTAGTCTCACTAATCTATTCACTCTTCAAATCGCTATTAACACACACTGAGTCTTCTCAATTTGTTCTGTCTTCATTAGTTATTGCCTATTAGTAGCTGCTAATAATGGAGATTCCTCTGTTTCATTCTCACTTTCAACCATCAACTATGACTGCTGACTTGCAGCGCACTGCTAATTGCCATCTGCTGACTGATTTGCCTGTGGTACTCGTTATATAGCCTTGGAATGGACCGCATAGAAAACAGCATTTGCTGCAGTTCTTCTGTTTTTGTGTGCATATCCATTCCTGCAGGAGCGTGTTTACTGGGCTGTTGCCTGGCATTTGCTGCCTCTTCTGGCTCCACTGTTCATCGTTTCAGGCATCATGCCACACAATATAATTTGAAACTGATTAAAAATTTTAGTATCTAGGAACAACAGTAACAACCAGAAATGAGTTGATAATGAAATTTGGAGAATAAATTTTGAAAATTCAGAAAAACGTATTCTGAAGAAAAGTATGTACAAAATATAGGTTTTGCCAACTTTCTGTATATGTTCGATATGTGGTCTCTTACTTTGAGGGAAGAATATAAGTATATATGTTTGGAGGCAAAGTATATGGGAGAAGTTCTGAATGTAGGAAGGCTGAGGTAATTGGGCAGTTTAGGATACCATATACAAATGAAATTTTTCATTTGTACAGGTCATCTGATACACTGAGGACAGTGAAATGTAGGAGGTTATAATGGCTTGGGCGTGAAGTTAAGCTGGGAGTGTCAGAATATATACTAAGGTTTTGCAGGATAATTTTGTGGATAGCCACTTGAAAGACCAGAACGGAGATAAGGAGGATAGTATAGGCTGGATATCAGGCAAATTCTCTTTGAGAAGGGAGGTGAATGGAGCTGGTTTCAGATGGTGTCTAATGGCAGCTTTTATATTAGCAATGTTGAAACTTCGGAATCTGCCACTAGAACACAGATTTCATCCTACAGCCTGTGCTGCTAAGTGCCTCCACCTGGCATTTATTTTAATATAAAGAGGAAGTAACACATTTTTTTCTGTTCAGGTTTGCCTGTAACTGTAACAAAGGAAGAACTTGAGGATGTGTTTAAATCATATGGTTCACTGAAGGATGTTCGAATTGTCACTTATCGGAATGGACATTCAAAAGGATTAGCATATGTTGAATACCATGATGAGGTTTGCAATGTTATTGTATTTTTTTTAATCTTAACATAACAATTCTTAATACTGTGTACTGAACACAGATTAATTTTCTGTACACATGCTTTTCTTACTGCATGTCATGGTGTTTTACCACTTTTGCTTCATGTTTGTATGATACCTAGTTTATATCCATAATAAATTGGGTTTCTTCATCCTTTCTAGGATAGAATTGCATGTTATTTACATTTCTATTTGTGTTTATACTTCATGGATCATTATTCCCCCATCCAATACAATTTTCACTTGATACATCATAGAAGCAGATGTTTATGGATAGTTTGTGTGATGAATTTCTAGGCAGCTGCTGCACATGCATTAATCAAAACAGATGGAATGACGATGGGGGATCGAACTGTCTCTGTGGCCATAAGTAAACCACCTGAGAGAAAGAATAACCCAGGGGTTACTGCACGGGCTGCCTCCATCATGTCCTTGGGAGGAGGAGCTAGAGCTTTTGGCGCGTAAGTAATGTTCACTTTTGTCCAACTTTTTCAGATGGTGATCATTTGAAACAGGAATTGGATTGTATAATAACTTAATAGGAAATAACAAAGCTATTAGGTTTTGGGGTCTTCTGCATGCATAAGCAAAAATTTAAGTTTTTCTGTTTTAAATGAGATTTACATATGTTTTATATGAAGAGTTTTGTCACTCTTCTAAAATACATCATTTACTTGTGCTGACAGAGGAAGAAGCACATTTTTGGTAGATATGAGAATCCAAACCTTTGAACTTTTAACTTTGCCTTCAGTGTGACTATGAACTGGGAGAGTCTTGTAAGGTTTCTGATTTTGGACTCTATCCATCATCTGGTATATATGACAAAAGACATAAGTTTCAGAGACTGGATCTGTCTCCGTACTCAGGTGGATTGGGCAAGATAGACCTGGACCAGTGATTGAGACTAGCTCTTTCTAACGGGCCCAACTGAGTAGGTCTATCTTGCCCCATCCACCTGAGGACGTAGACAGATCCAGTCTCCAAAATGTGGTTTTTGTCATATATACCAGATGATGGATAGAGTCCAAAATAAGAAACCTTACACTTCTGTACAGCATACACCATTGTCAGAATCCTTTCAAGTCTATTTGGGAGAGTCTTGCTTATTTTATTGACTGGAAGCAAATTAAGAAGGTACACAGACTTATAAAGGCTGGAAATAGTCTGTTTTGTAATACCCATAACAAGCCAAAGAGACCATGTACCATGAAGGATGATGATGTTGAGGAGGAGGAAACTTTATAGAGTCTATCCTGTTGTGCAACTACACAGATAACACCACATCAGCAAGGGGCAACATAAGGACCAACATTTCAAACACCCAAATTTCCATGTCAGTTCAAAGTAACCATGGAAGATACAAGAAATTATGATCAGATTATTCATACAAAAAGTATTAAATAACTATTAAATAAGACAGCAAACAAGAAATAATATGAAGGACCCCCCCCTCCTTCCTCCAACACATCAACACATGACTGGAGGGTTTTGCACAATATCTAAGCACAACACACAGAGATACTGGGTTTTCGGACTTTGTCCATCATCCGGATTCCAAATAACTAAGGGGAAAAAAAAAGTTTTGGAAACTGAATCTGTTTCCATCCTCAGGTGAGGGAAGACACCTACTCTGTTGGGTCCCCTAGAAAGAGTTAGCTCTGTCTATTTAGAATCCGGACAATGGACAAAGTCCAAAAACCCAGTATCTCTGTGTGTTATACACCATCGTCTGAACCCTGTAGTATCTAATCTAAGCACAACAACTAGCCAGCATTCATATATATTGTAATGGATTTGATCATCGCATTGCCAGGCAACAGCTCTGTAAACATGAATACAGATGACAATAGAAGGGAAATTGTGTTCTCTATGCGGTCCATGACAGGCAGGCACATGGAGCTGTAGGAAGTTTATTGCCAGGCAATGAAGCTGTAAGCATGCATCCACAACAATGGGAGATGGTGTTTTCCATGGGGTCTATGCAAAGGAGTTATTTGAAAGATGAATGGAGCTACAAGCTACTGTATGCAACAGATCACAAGGAGGGTTTTGTTGTTAGAAAACTCGAGTGTGGTCTCAGCTCAATGGAGACCTGATGTGAGCACTGGAATATCAAAATTAATGAAAATAAGACTCAGGGGATCTACTTCTCTCATAGTCATCGTCCGCCTATGTCTGATCTTACATTGAATGGAAGATATATTCCATTTGTAAATTGTGTAAAATATCTTGAGTAATCTCTGATAGGAGGTTTACATGGAGATTGCACATAGAAATGATTGAAGCCAAGGCCTTCAGAACATTTATAAGATTGTATTCCCTATTCAGAAGTGAGCGATTAAGCGCTAACATTAAGCTAACCCTCCACAGAGCTCTCATTAGATCTGTAATGACTTATGCTAGTCCCGCCTGGGAATTCACAGCAGATATTCATCTAATGAAACTGCAGCACCTACAAAACGAGGTTCTCTGCACCATTGGCAATTTTCCAAGGCACACACTGGTTTGCGATTTACACATGGCTTTCAGAATTCTGTATGTATATGATTATATAACAAAATTATGCAGGCAACAAGCGGAAGTCATACAGAATCATGATAATGAAAATGTTGCAATATTGGACAATGCGAAGCCCGACATAGAAAGTATAAGAGGCTTAAACTTGGCGGCGGTCAAGCATATGACCGTTGAAGTGAGTAGACTGTCTTTGTAATGGAAGCTACTAGAAATAAGGCATAGTCTGCTGTGCTGAGCCTGGACTGACAGAGGCCCTTTATATATTTAATACATTCATTATCATGTTTAACATGTAAAATGTAAATATCCTTTACGTTATGACAAATGACTTACTACTGTAGACAGTGACTCTGACAAAAGACAGACCCATCCTCTCGTGAGATAGGGTGCCCCACAATAACAAGACCTAAACTTTCAAACAGTAATAAATATCTAGTTATGAGCCCCAGATTGGGCTCGACACCAAGATTGACTGACTGACTGACTGACTGACTGACCGTCAGTCACAATGTGACTTTGACTACAAGGAGACAGCCACTGAAAGTTCATAGTTGAAGAAGTGTTAGTAGTTGAACTGTGAAGACTTAGAGTGCCATTAGAAAGCTTAATATTTGGAGTGTGTGATTCAGTGAGACTATTATAGTTCCTATGTTTTAATTGCATTACTAGGAGAGGACCAGTATGTGTAAATGAGCAATAGCGCTGTATTTAAGTGTGATTAAGAAAACTTGTAACCAAGGTGCTAATAAATCCAATCATCCGAACTAGAACCCATCATTTTCGTCACATGTACCACCCTACACGTGGCAATATTGTGGGATCTATACTTCTTTGCTTTTACCCTTTTATACTTTTACATCCTTTAAATTGTTAACTTTTAGCAATGAATTTTGTTAGAATATGTTCACCTTGTAAATATATATTCACCTGCAACAATGTACGTCTGTTGCATAAATATGGATTTATATCATGACTTAATTTTAATGACTTGAGTTATAGATCATAAAGGAGGAGTCTGATGATGTCCTAAATTATAGGTTGAAACATGTAGTGCAATTTACACTTATATTAAATAAGTAAGATGTATGCTAATATCTGTTGCCTTCATTCCAGTTTTATTTGTTGGGTTGACTGCTGTAACATAGGATAAATATTTATAATACTGCTTCATACAGACGTGGACGTGGCCGAACGCAGGTATCCCTGCTTCCAAGGTCTTTGCAAGTATCTCACAGAACATCAACAACACCATCATCTTCCACTGTACCTGCATGTAGTACAGTCTCTAGTAATGGAAGTAATGGCAACGGCACGGCAAATGGAGATGGTGGTACAGAGACACAGAAACCAATGAGCAACTCAGATTTTCGACAGATGCTGCTTGGAATCAAGAAGTAAGGTATAAATTCTTTATATTGCATGGCGTTGTTATTTTATTAATCATTCTCTGGCTTGTCTCAAAATGCAGAATATTTCAGTTATCCCCCCCACAAGTCCCCTCCTGTTCCGTATCAGTTATAATTTTGGCGCAACCAGGAAGTTTTGCTGGGCTTCTTAATCAGCATATTGAATTGCTGATCCTTGTCCTCCTGTCATGATTTGATTGAACTCTACATTCTGTTCCTTCATGTTTCATGTCAAGGCACTGAACTAACATTTAGAGCTTTAGTTCACAGTCTCATACAGATGCAGATTTTTTTTATGCAGTTCTGAATCTTAAATGTTGGAAATGTGCAGAATATCATACACTTATCATGGTTTGATATCATGTTAGGCATCAGCCGCCTTTCTTGCAGTCATCACATTATTAAACAGCAGAGGAATTGACCTCAGAAGTGTTGTTTGTTGTAGTTGATGTTAATATACAGGGAGATCGAAAAGTCGTGCACATCACACCAAGCAATTTTATTTTGCTGGTTTAATGCACAAACTACAAGACATACTTACTATTAATGTTTATAACCGTACATCTTAGAAATGCAAAATCAAATCATGTCTTTACAACATATGCTCGAAATGGCTTTCCTGTTCAGCAATGCATGTGTGAGCTCTTTTTACCATGTTTGAGGCCACTTTGTGGAGCACCTGTAAACTGATGCTGTTAATCGCCATCGTAATGCTCCTGTTGAGGTCATCCAGTGTATGCGAATTGTTTTTATAGACCTTTGAGGTATCCCCAAAGGAAAGAATCTGTGGGTGACAAATTGGGCGAATGTGGGGGCCACAATCCTTTTGAAATGAGACGGTCACTGAAAAACTCGTGCAAGAATTGCATGGTTTCATTAGATGTGTGACATATGGCACCCTCTTGCTGTAACCAACACTCACGTTCATAAACTTCAAGAAGTGCAATGAACTGTATAATGATGTCTTGGGACACTGGGCTGTTCACTGTTATTTCAAAGAAAATTGGGCCCACTATTTGATGACGTGATACAGCACACCACACTCCAATTTTCTGACAGTGCAAGGTCTTTTCAGGTAACACATGTGGATTTTCAGATGACCAAATCCTATTGTTTCGACTGTTCACGTAGCCACTAAAGTGAAACCATGTTTTGTCAGTGAAAAACGACTGGCGAAATAATGTTCCACAGTGAAAACTCGTTCTTGGGAAAACGACATGCCTGTCGTGCAGTAAACAAAGCTATACTGCAGACGTCATATGACTGATACATGACAGATGGCGTTTCTACCCATTGTTAGTATTCCTACAGTACCATCTAGCGGTAGGAGATATAATTATATTAACTGCAATGCAATTTATAATAACTTTTAGTTTGATGTGTGTGACTTTTCGATCTCCCTGTACAATATGAAATCAAGATGTAAGTTAAATATATCAGAACTTACAGGGGTATACTAGATTTCCTAACATAGTGCTCAGCTTACATGTTGCACCCTCTTATCAAGATCCTTTTTAACACATTTGTTGTTGACTGGTAAACTAACTAACTCTTCAGTAGCAGAATATAAGATATGACAGAATTAATACTAATACCAGTAGTAGACATACTGAACCAGTTTGTCCCTCTCCCATCTTAGTCTTCTTAGTGGCCATTTTTAACAGGTTTTTCTATGATAATTAAGCATTGATTCCTCGTCTCTCTTATCATAGCTTTCTACATATCACTATCCTAACAGTACTAGCTGGCCAGTATAACAAAATTTTTTAAATTACCCACTTAACTTGTTATTATTCATCATTATCTTTCATAATTTGAATTTAAAGCAAACCTGCTTTTAATATAAAATATTCTGTAACATTTAATAATCATTGTAGCCACTGTAACGATGATGCTGAAGAAAATTAAGATCATATAAAACATAATTACTAGAATTAATTTTTTTTGGCTTAATCGTGAATAAATGCATGAGCATTGCCAGCCCAGTAAAGTGGTCTCAGGCTTGTTGACTCAGGTTAAAATCCTGGTGTGTTCAAATGCTTGTCTTCACAGCCATGTTTAGAACAGCTCTGGGTCCCACACAGCAGGCATCACAGACTCATTGTTTGGTTGGAAAGTGATTGGGGTTTTATTCCTGTACTCCATATATGCATCTATGATGTGCTAAGGCACAGGCAGCTTAAACTTTATCTTTATTGAATAAATACATTTTAAGTAGGTGGCAGTTTTCATTAGATTGCAGTACCCTCACCCATTGTTTGCCTCATTTATGTTCCAGAATGTGGAATTAATGAAGTAAAGTATATTTGGAATTGAATATTATGTGTGAAGAGTTATCTTGATGTGAGAGAGCGAGAAGTGTTGATAAAATATCAGTGCCATGTAAACTGGATTGTGATATGATTGACATATTACTGATCTACTTTGTAATGTATTAAATATTTTCATATGTAGGTACATAGCTACCTAAACATTTACTGTACAAAAGTAGGGTATTTTAGTTCCTTTCATATAATATGTATATTATACTTTCCACTTTATGTCTTTGTTTAGTGTCTTATTTTCTGTGTACTTGTATTAAAAATGTAGTTTAATTTCTTATCTGTATCATGAAAATACATTGGAGATAATGATGTTTTCAAAATAATTTAATTCTTGAAAACCTATTTCTGACTCCTGCATACCTTAATGTGAAAGACATAAGATAAATTAGTAAAAATGCTGCCACAATTGGTATTTCAAACTTTGATTGGTGGGCATGGGAAAAGTTTTTTTTTCAAGAGTTGCTGGTCATGGATCTGAACATGTTAAAATGCTTTCAAAGTAAGTATCATTTCTACCCTGAACATGGTGGCAGTTGTTTGTTGGAAATGTTGGTACCCATCTACAAGACTACACAGCATCATAACGCAGAAGACCACAGCATGAATCTTGAGTGTTGTTAAAATGTCGTATCTTATGTGAGTGCGATGGACTAACAGAAGTACTTCATGTTGAAATATTTTTAAAGGAATAATTTATATATTTTGTAAATAAAATATGATATTTACAGGCTTGTCCATAAAATCATCAGTCACATTTAAACACATTTTCATTGAAATTAAAATAAATTATTTAATTTATCAAACAATACCTTCTGAAGTACATTGTGAGGAAGAAAGAAAGAGGATTTTATAAATGATATGTGTATGTGCACATGCACGTGCACATGTGCATGCATGCGCATGTGCTTATGAATATCCTGAGGGGGAGCAAAGTAATTTGTAAGGAGGAAGGAGGAAAGCTTGAGGATGGAAAGGAAGATATGACATCAGTTTTGCTGTGGGTACATTCAATTTATAAGGTCTCTTGAGTTACTGGAGAAGGGGGAGACAGTATTTGGATTGCCATCATGGATTGTTTTGTTGCCAGCTTGGTTCGTAATTCAGACTTCTTAAAAATACTTATCAGTGGAGCTCTCCTCTTGTCTTTAAACCTAAACCTGTAACAGTCATCTTTTATGAGGGACTAAAAAACCTCTACATTTAGATTAAACGTTGTGGGCTGTCACATTTTGATGACTCCTATCCATATTCTAAATTTTCGTTACAGCCAACCAGTTTTCTAGATTTACAGTACATTTAAAATATTCAGCTGCTTGGCTATAGACAATTGTATCTCAGACGTCAAGGGTTAAGGGCTCAGGATACCCTTGGTCAGTGGATATGACAGTAGTTTTTCATACTCTGCTTATATGTGTTGGTACTGTAGTTCTAAGTTCTAAGTTCAAAAACAGTTTATTGTCATTATATATATATATGTATATATCTTCATGACTGCGTAGTTCTCAGAATTTAACTATGTAAGATTGTCTTGTGTCTTTATGGACTTCTGTTTAAAGACCCAAATGCTTGGCTTTAGAAACAGATTACCAAGATGTTATTCAATACTGTCAGTATGTTAATGATTCCAGAACCTTCTGTTTGTGGTGCCACCTTACCACAGCAATGGCATGCTTGGATGTATTGCTGATGACAGAACTGCTGTTATCAAAGGCAGATAGCTTCCTTATAGTATCTTTTATTTTTAAACATCTGGATTGTTGGTACTACTCTTCTGTTTCTTTACCCTTGGGGGAGGCACAGGCTGCTGTGGTTGCTGGGCTTGTTTCTGAAACTGTTCACCTCCAAGCCAACGTTTGACTGCATCGCCAGCATGATAATAATAAAAGTACACCAGTGCCAGTGTTATGGCTACTGCTATGAGAGTGCAGGCTGCAATCACTGTTACTAGCCACCAGTCTGTTGCTGGTACAGGTACAGATGTGTCTTCTGTTGGTATAGATGTCTGTTCCTTGTTCTTGTTGTCTTCGTATGTTGGGATCTCATTGTCGAACGGTGTCTCATCAGCTGAGCCAGATGAGTCTACTATTTCAACATCGGCACATGCTCGAAATTCTTCCTGAGGACCACAACCTACTGCTCCAGTTCCATTTTCACAAGTTCCCCAGTTGTTTCCAGCAATGTATCTCCATTGCAAGATACACTGAGTACAGGTCAGGCCAGCTGGCAAAAGGTATCGTGTCTCAAACACCTGAAACATTAATAACAGATTGTTTTATATGTAGAAGAATTAGGTAAGAATAAAATGTTAACTATAAACAAGATGTTCTTACATTTTGAATCATGAAGTAGCTATCTAGGTACTAAAGGCTGTGGATTGCTTTATTGGGCTAGTCTACTTTTATTATACGTCATTCAAATCATACATATTGGAACACATCATTCTACATGGCAATTGAAGGTAAACACCTAGAGTACAGTTATAATAACAAAGGATAGTAGGAAGAATGCAGACACAGTAATATTATGTCACCACATTTTCCACATCTTAATGTAGTTTAAAAACAGTATTGTTGCTCCAATGTAATAAGCATACGTCAAATCTACTAGTTAATTGTATCCAAAGACCGTAGATCAGATACTATTTATGATTTTTGCTAAATTTAACAATTTTATTTTTACTGAATATGAAAGAGTCAGAAAGGCCAAACCACAAGTTAGGTCCAGTCAGGGCTTTGAAACCAGAAAATGATTGTCAGACCATAAAAAACAGAAGAAAACACAGATAAGCCATTATTGTAAATACAGTAGTACTGGTTTTGTCAGTGTTCAGGTGAAGTACTGTACACCCTGATTTGAGCCATGCTCCAATATCACACAGCTAGTTTCCCACTGAGTGGTTCTGGAGGTACACAGATGCTGAAACTGAGACTTCATGCAGTTGGGTAACTGCTAAAGGTATAACATAAGTCCTTACTACTGATGGATAACATTCGCTTCACGCACCTTGCATGTTGCATAAGAATGAATACTGTCCCAAACATTTCATCAGAATCCATATGGTATTTCTTGAGTTGGAACATGTGGATGGTGACATATCAGATCTGAACTTGGTACACATTACAATGGTGAGGACCTGTTTTTGAAGGTAGTGTTTGTCAGTGAATTGAAGGAGTCTTATCCAAGATGACTCCAAAAATCATTCCAAATTTATATGTTGTCTAACCAGTTATTTGAAACCGCAGATCAACTAGCAAGAACAAGATCTGAACAGCCGTTCATAGGACCTGAATCAGCTTGTGGCATCTCAATTGAAGTTGCCAAAAAAGCGATCAGGGACTGGACTGATAGAAACCATAAAAAATACTGGGAATATATAATTGGACTCAAGCTGGCAAAGGGTTTTATATCAGGACCCTCGGCCAGAAGAATGAAGGATCTGTTGAGATTAAACAGAGATCAACTAAGATGGGCGGTAGGATTACTTACTGGACACTGCCACCTGAAAGGACACCCTTTCAAGTTGGGACTAACAGATAATCCAACTTGTGAAAGGTGCCTACAAGAAAACAAATCAGCCACACACATCCTGTGTGATTGTGAGGCCATAGCTTATTTAAGATTTCATCACTTGGGTCAGTATTTTATGGAACCAAGTGACTTTTATGATGCCCCGATAAGCAGGTTCGAACACTTTATTAAAAGTGTAGGATTAATAAAGGGCTAATCCAAGGGGAAGCACAATAGATCATTGAAGGTCGCAGTGCAGGGGCCGGTTTTTATGGCCCACCCCCTACATACATACATACATACATACAACCAATTACTTTATCCTTTGTTATGAATTGTACCAGATGGGAATGGTTATTGCTACTGCATTAAACTGGGAGCTTGACTGTATGTTGGGGTATAGTTAATATGCGACTGATGGAAATTGTAAACTTCTGGAAATGCAGAGTATCCTAATTCTGAATTCACTGGTTAGTCTGCCAGATTATATACACGTACACAACCTTACTTTTATAAATATGTTAGGAATTGTGCTTGCCTAAAAGATAATGAGTTGTTTTTAAGAAAATACACTTTCTCCCATAAACTTGTCCCCAAACTCAAACTGAGATGCAGCATTTAAAATCAGTTACCCAAAGGACTGAACAAGGATATTTCATATGCTGTTCATTTAATATTAGTTTCTTGATTACAATTGACAGGTTACTAATTTGCTTGAAGTTATTAACACAGAAGAGACGCTAATATTTGCAGTCTGACCCAGTGCTTGGCATACTTGATAGTGATAGCATTAAAGCTGCATAGACAGCCACCACCACCATGACTGACAATACATTTGTATTTATTCTGTTCTGTATCTGGCCTGGCAAACAAAGTACATTTCATTTCAACATGTTGCTTACAAAGCTTTGCCAGCAGAAAACCATCCTCTCCCACTGGCAAGTCAATTGTTACCAATAACAGCATTCATGACAATATGCAGTGATGCCAGAAATGGAGCGTGTTTCACAGATTATGTTATATTAGATTGTTTTTCAAATAACTGGATGAAATATGTTCAAGAAGGAATTGGAATATGTTGATTTTATGTTCAGAGTGTTAGATTAATCACCTTTTGTACAAATATTGTTTTTGGACGTTATCCATCATCACAAACTTTTAGATCTTGTAAGCACATTTTGTACTGGACATGACTTAAAAAGTATATAAAATTAACAAACATTGTGATATGCAGAAATTTTGAACTGTTCTCAATTGAATTTTAAGAAATTATTGGTTCAGGTTCAGCAACATTATGTGGTTTTAGTTTTTGGTTTATAGTTCAGAACCTTAAGTCCATTACAGTTGTTCATTAGTGTTCAGAAGTCTAGCTTGTGATTTTAATTTAGATAAATAAATATTTTTAATAGAAACTACATTCTTCCATTTTTAAAATTAGCATTTGTTAGAAGACCAATGCAATGCTGATGTCACTGGTATCAACTCATACACCAGGTAGATTCATAGTGAAAATTATGATATTGAAATTATTTGATTATAGATATGTGTTTTCACTCCCATACATTTCAAAGTAATGATGTTTTACTGTAGATAGAGCGATACAGTCAGAATTTGTTCCTCTGTGTCTCCACCTATATAATGATGACATGAGATAAGTCTGTAAAACTGTACAGTGTGCTCTGAATGGGTTGCAGTCCCCAGAAAGAATTATGAAACTTGCATGCTAACAATTACACTTGTCTAGTTGTAAGAAAATAAAATGTAGCTATGTGAGAAAGGGAAATGATATTTTATGTGAAATTTGAGACTCTCATTGCAGTAACTGTGAAGATACTGTCTTTTGGTGCCATTGTAGTCTGATAGAAATGTACCAGTATCTTGGAGGAATCTGCTGATGCCATCAACAGGATAGAATAATTCTGTTGGTGCCTAATTTTAGAGAAACTGAATAGTTAAGACTATGACGAACTTTAACATTAAATTCATCAAATCTTTCAAATGCAAGTCAGATTTGTTACTGATGTGCTCATCCACTCAGTGGAATAGTCACATGAGGTAAAGGTAAAGTTGTCCCTCTGCTTGACTAATTAGGCACTATGCCATGAAGGTGTAAGAGGGAGTGGTTGTATAGATTCACATTTTCGTGACCTTGGCACTAGCTGGAGGTGAGTAGTCAGCTCCGCCACAGTTGCTTTACCCCCCCAGGGAAAGAGCCCACAGTACCCATTGGATAGGAGGTTGGGTGGACCCCAGAGCCAGTCTGGATGACATGGAAGAGAGAAAATTCTTGACCCTACCAGGACTCAAACTCCAACCCCTTGGTCGTTCAGTCTGTAGCCAGTAACTATACCGACTACACTATCCCAGCTCTTAGTCATCTAAGAGTTTCTTAAAATAACTTCAGTGTTTTAGCATTACTTTTCTACAATTACAAGTTATATCAGGGAATTATGAAATAATTTCATTGCAAGTACAATGAAGTGCTGTGTATCATCTTAATAGTTACCACTACTAAATTTACCGTATGGAATTAAACACATAAATATGTGAAGGTAATAATTGAAAATATACCACTTAAAATTTTAAAAATATATTTTAGAATAAAGCGTGGATCTTTTCATCATAAGACCTGAAAAGGTACTATAAGTAAAACATAGACTCCTTACTTACCTTGTTTCCTGCTGCAGGGTAATAACGAGTTTCATGATTCTGTTCATCTGATACCCCAGCAAATTTTGCTCTTCTCAGAACATACTTATCAAGACAAGCTTGTGTGCCGGTACGTCTTGGTGCATTATTTGGACAAAGTCTAAACTCAAAGTAACCACGATGGTTTGCTGTGAGTTCAACTCTGATTGTGATGGGTGAATCCTTCTTGTAACGACGTACAATTATACCCTGAGCATATTTTCCACCTGCTTCATGTGGTCGAGGCTGTTAGAATGAAAATACAAAGATAAGTTGAGGTCTGTGACTTTTGTTATAAAGGTACAGCAGAGAAAACTTTGACACCTATTAAGAATTTACTCTGACTTATGTTCTAGTAAGGAAACGGGTTGTTAATTGGTAGTTCCTTTGTTAATATTCTTCGAATGAATGGGAGATTGTTAAATTCATAGCAAACTGAAGTGCACTGGTTATTTGTGCCTGTCTATACATCAAGTAAGAATACAAATCCAGACTTAAAAAATATACTTAAAGACATTCCAGTCAAGCAGCCCCCAAGTTATTCTGTACTGGTGTAGAAAGAAGAATACCAACATCTTTTCAGGGCTCATGCATAGTGAGTCACTCTGTACTCACCTTAATTAACTGTCTGATCAATTTTTCATTTTCATGAGTATTTAGCCTTTTTTTTTTTAATTTTGTCAAATTTGTTCATCCTGTAATGAATTTAAATGCAAAATAAAATTTTTAGGTTTGTCCCAATATAATTTTGTCTAAAACTGGTTTGCATTTAGTTATGTTTCAGAAAATGGATGTAAAAGGTGTTTAGCTCTTCAAGTAAAATACCAATTTGAATTGTCTAATTGTGTTAAAGATCATATATTATGATTATGGTTCAGTAAGGGGTTACTTATAATATTTGATCAGAATTGAATAAAGAGTCTTTGAGTTGAAAAGTGGACAGAAACTAGAAGTAATGTGAAAATTATTGGAAAAGTTATTCTATGATAAATAATTACATTTAATAAAAATTATCTATATTATGAGGTTCTGACTTTTCTTGCATAACTAATTATAATTGAATTTATATACTCTAAATTAAGTATAAATAGGAAGTTGTATAAGGTAATAGGGCTTTCTAATACATCACTCACTCATTCATGATCTGAGCCTTTCTTGAGAAGCCACCAATTGTGCAGCCACTCAAGAACTTCCCATCATTTTATGAAACCTGAAGGTTCATTACTGTGTTCACAAGAGCCCTCCACTGGGCTCTCCTGATCCAGATCAATCCAAGTGGATTTAAGTGGACTAAAATTATGCAAAGAGGAATCTGTTAATATAATTTTATTTAAAATGCATTTGCAAGTATTTCGCAGGGCCCCAGTCTTTGGTTGAACTGCCTGCTGTTGTAATGTCTATCAAAGTTGAACATGATGTACAGGTTGCAGAAGACTTTTTTCTCTTTGCAGTAGAAAAGCATAATCTGCACTCTAAGTAAACCTGTAATACTAAAATCAGAGTGAAGTCACTGGCTGTGGACTGGGCAACCAATAGTTTATTCTAAGCATGTAGTGGGATTTGTTTCTCCACCACCATGTACAGAATAATTTAAGCTCTTCTTCAAGAGAAACTGATGTTCTTTCTCCAGCAGTAAAGGTGGCCTAAGCAAGAAGCTGAGAGTTCACTTCGATTTAGTATCAAATTTAAGAGGGTGTACCTATACACAATATGTGCACACAGGAAAATTTTAGACACATTTCAGTATGGTTGACTTATTTATTGACATATCCTAATTGCAAATCCATTTCTTCTTATATCCCCTTGTGCGTTTAAGATACTGCTCATTATTCTCACTAAGAGGTTATTTTGTCATTTCCTTAGAAAATGTTGCATCCCCACCTATGGCACACTTCCTGACATGTAACAGTTTGTCATTACTCAATCAATGTGTTACATCAACACAATGGATTTGTAGCTTTAGATGTGAAAGTAATTAGCATATCTCTTTGCCGTAATAGGAGAACAGTTGCACATCAACATACAATGACATCACAACAAACTTTCATTCATCATTGTATTCAGTATTGCAAGGTTATCACTGGATATGGAACACTGTTTTGAGGAATGCTGCTTAGACATGATTCCAGTTTTATGTAAATAATTAACTTGTTAGTGTAAAGGGGTTAAGGACAGTATTGGCTGAATTTAGGATAGTAATTAGGGGATAGTAAACTATATGATGGCCCATGTTGAACAGTATGTTACTTTATAAATCAAGAGTGTTCATTAAGCTCAGGAAAAAGGCACCTTTATTTAGACAGAGGCATAAAATATATGGTCACAAAATATTCCACAAGGATCCACAACTAGAAATGCATGATGGTGGACTTTTGTGTGTCATATAAGATAACTTAATAAAAACTGCTGACTGGATAATTTGTTTTAGATTCTTTGTCTGTAGTCTGTTCCAATTGCAAAGTTGAGCTGTATATTTACACTAGCTTCTTACAGAAGGGAAGTTAGTTGTGAAACATCATGTAACTCTTTAGTTGCATCATGATGATTCTGGTCAAATGAGTATGCGGAAGATGCAAAAGAGACATGTAAAGGAGAAATGTGTGTGAAAAATTTGTAGGTAAGGATTCAAATATTCTGATTTTTCAAAGAAGTAGTTGGTGCAGTGATTAAGTTTGGGAATCAGTTCTTAAAAGTAATGGAGATGTGAGCTGATGCTTTGTGTTACATGTTCACAGGTACAGAGGGCAGCTCATAAGCAGCACCAGTTTCTAGAAAGATAATTGTTTAACCTGGAAATCCTGAATGGAGTTAAATACAAAAGACAATGTGCTGCCCTTCATAGTGAAATAAGAAACTTTCTTATCTTCAATTGGACAGTGTCTAAGCAAATATGTGGGGGCACGCAATAGCGTATTTGGTTGAGGCACTATGCTACAAGCCGGAAGGTCACATTTTTGAACAGAGAATTATTTTTTAAAATTTTGGTTTGATTAGAGCTTCATGTAAAGTAGGGGTTATATCTGACCAATACAAAGGAAAATAATATCGAAGAATGGCATCTTCTGGGATGTGGTTCCATGTAGATCTTGTGTGAACCAATGTTTCGGAATACCATATCGCCTCCATCTCCAGGGTAAAAAAATCCGCAAGTGAGGCAGGTGGCCCGCATGCTGGTTCCTCTCTCACGGATTTTTCTACCCTGAAGATGGAGGCGATATGTTCCTTCGAAACGTCGGTTCACACAAGATCTACATGGAGCCACATACCAGAAGATGCCATTCATCGATATTATTTTCACACAAGATCTACACGGCGCTACATCCCAGAAGACGTCATCTTCATAGTCACCGCCGTGAACACCTCAAATCGTACAAAATAATATTACCCCACAAATTTCTGTGCATATCCCCAATACCATATATCATCAAAATCTCTTGAGCAGTTATATAAAAAAATCGCATAACAAATCGGTGATATCCCATAGTTTATAAATATTTTCCTCACTTGTGGATACCAGAATTAAGAGAGCAATTTTTGTAATAATTAGTAATGTTAACAGTTAATACTTTAATGTGGGATGAAACAGACAGACACAACCTTCTTCCTCACCACCACGGTATGTATTTATTTCACACATTCAGTAATAGAAAAGATAAAAATTGCATTCATAAAACACTGCATGCAGGATCATGATTACAGGAGAACAATAAGAAAATTTGAAACATTTTTTGTAAATCAGGTGTAACAGTGATTCCTTAACATTTTTATTGCTTAATAGCAATTCACTGAGCAGGCTGGTGTAATGCTGTGATTTCATCTTGGCTGGGATGCTGTTTTTGTGATTTTCCTGAGTTCATCGAGGGAAATTCAGTAATTTTACCTCAGTCAGACTGTAAAGCTTCCTTCAAAATCCTTTCCAGTTCAACATTTGACACTGTATGTACCATAGATACTGATGGCATTGTAAAGTAGACTACAGCAAGAACTGCAGTTCATTATTATCAGCAGCAGCAAAAGTTAGGGAGTTTGGACACTTGTTAACCATTCTAACTTCAATTTTATAACATTCTCTTTCAAGGTTGTAGTTTTTGTTTTCTTGTTCCAGTAGGTTTATAGTGGAGGGTAGCTGTGATATATTGAATAAGCAGTGGCGGACAGCCGACAAGCTGTGGCTTGGGGGTTGGGTGTGAGGCTAACAACTCCTCCCCATAAGAAGTAAGCTTGTTACGAAATGTCACAAAGGGCCTAGGACTTGGACAGATTCTTTGGATAAGTGACATAAAATAAGGACAGTGATCATGAGATTTGGTACATGGAATGTGAGAAGTCCATATAGGGCAGGTTCGCTCATGAAAGATGTGAAAGAAATATTGAAATATAAGTTAGTAGGAATACAAGAGGTCAGATGGGACAGGGTTGGCACCGCACCACGAGGTGAATATACATTTTTCTATGGAAAGGGGTGGGGAGCTTGGATAGTACAGTCGGTAGAGCAACTGGCTACGGGCTGGATGACCAAGGGGTCGAACTTTTGAGTCTTGGTAGGATGAAGAATTTTCTGTTCTCCCCATCGCCCAAGCCAGCTCTGGGGCCCACCCAGTCTCCTATACAATGGGTACTGGGGGTAAAGCGGCTTGGGAGTGAAGCTGGCCACTCACCTCCAACTAGTTCCAAGGTCAGGAAAATGTGGATCTATACAGCCACTCCCCCATACGATTTCATGGCATAGTGCTTAATTAGTTAAGCATAGGGACAATTATGGGAAGGGGAATGAGAATCATGAATTAGGTACAGGGTGTTTCATACATAAGACAATCATATCAGTAGTTAAAAGGGTAAAGTTTGTGAGTGATAGGATGTCAGACATAATACTAAGAGGTCACTGGTGTGATATCCATGTTCTGAATGCTCATGTCCCAACTGAGGATAAAATTGATGATATAGACAGCTTCTATGAGGAATTAGAACTCATATTCAATGATTTCCCTAAATACAATATGAAAAGACTTCAGTGCAAAAATAGATAAGAAAAACATTTTTAAACCAACAATGCTTCCTACCATTCAGTCCAGAAGCTTCTGTCTTCCCCTCTACTGTCTAAAAACGTCAAAATTAGATACACAAAACTATAATTTTGCCTGTGGTTCTATGTGGGTGTGAAACTTGGTCTCTGACATTAAGGGAAGAAAAAGGACTGAAGGATTTTAGAACGGTGCCGAAGAGAATATTTGGACCTAAGAGACGTGAAATGATGGGAGGTTGGAGAAAACTTCATAATGAGGAGCTTCATAACTTGTACTCCGCGAAGTATAATTAGAATGACAAAGTCAAGGAGAACGAGATGGGCAGAGAATGTAGCATGAATGGGAGCGAAGAGGAATACATACAGGATATTGATGGAAAGTCAGAAGGAAAGAGACCACTAGGAAGACCAAGATATAGGTGGGTGAACAATATTAAAATGGATCTTAGATTGATATGAGGGTGTGGTATGAACTGGATCGATCTGTCTCAGGAAAGGACCAGTGGAGGGCGCTTGTGAATACAGTAATGAGACTTTGGATTCCATATAATGTTGGCAAGTTCTTGAGTAGCTGCACAACTGGCAGCTTCTTGAGAAGGCCTCAGTTCCATGACAGTTAGTTAGTTAATAGGTTTATAGTTTCTAAATAACTGAGAAATATGGAATTCTGTTGGAAAGGACTCAATTTGCTTTTGTAGTCTTAAGTTTGATTCATGTTGTTCAGTCTTTAGTTCTAATATGGTCTGTTTCCTTATGTGGTCATTCCAGTCATATTTTGCAGTCCTTTTCCTGAATTTGATTTTAGCAGATGTGATTGTGGATTTATATTGGCCTTCACTCACCATGTTTCATTGTTATATAAGAGTGCTGGAGTCACTAGTGTCCTATAAATTTTAGTTATTATAATTTTCCACTTTTACGTCTTTAAGAATATGTCATAGGAACTATAAATGAAACAGTAGTAACTATGCCAATTATAGTGCTTTATATGCTACATAACATTCAGTGTATAGAATAATAATACTCAGAAGTCTAGCATCTATATACATCAACATTCATAGTTACTTTACACATTTCCACAAAACAAACAGTGCCTCACAGCATATTGTGTCTGCCTTTGTTTATTAATCTATGTACCCTTTATCTGACCTTGGTGAACAGTGGCAAGAGAGATTTGCTTAGGAAACGATCCCGGAAAGAAAATGATCTGGAACTGTGTGTTTGCTGTTGTAAAATTTCTCCAGCCAAGCATTTATTCCTTATAACTTGGCAATTTCATACCCTCAGAAATGTAATGATGTAGGGCTTAGTTTTGGATTGTTGCCTTTTGTGAAATGATGAATATAATGAGAGAAACTGAAGAATGCAAACACATCTGGCCATTTAACGATTACTTCAGGTGTGGCAGAAATATCACTACTGGAATATATGTTGAAGTAGTTTCAGGTTTATTTCTAAGCATAGATTTAATTTATATAATTTCCTTGCCATTAATATTAACCAGTGAAAGTGAACTTTAAGCTAATTTTTCAGTCAGTAATGAGTGCAGATTAAAATTAATATAACTGAATTATGTATCGTACTAGTTCATATCTTGCTGTTGCTTTTGAAGCATTTGCATGGATTGTAAGTTTTAGAAGTTTTAGAAGAACATATTGGTCATGATTATGTTTGTGTGCAGTTGTATGTATCACTTCTTTGCTCTTCTTATTTTATATTAATATTTTAATGGGGAGATACATAATTTGTACTCTTCACCAAGCATTATTAGATAATTAAATCAAGGAGGAAATGATTGGCAGGGAATATAGCATGTATGGGAGCTCTAAGAAATGCATGCAAATGTTTGGTCACAAAGTAATGGAAGAGACCGCTTTTAAGAAGTAAGAACAGACAGAAGGACAATATGAAAAGGGATCTTAAAAATAATAGCAGTTAATGAGGGTGTGGCTTGAATTTGTCTGGCTCAGGACAGGGCCCAATGTTTAGGATTTCTTGATTAGTTATCAACTATTAGTTTCTTATGAAAGACTGTGGTCTGTGAAGTAAGATAGTTGGAATTATTTGATATTCTTTCATCATTGTATGGTTCTAGGTACTGTCATTTATGTGGTTTTTAATAATATTTTGAAGTATTAGCAGTTCATTCATTTCAAAATTAAATGGTCTTTTCAATGGGGTTCTTACCACGGGCATGTCCCAGGCATCTCCACATATGCCACATTTCCCTCCATTTTTTTGCCACTGCCGTGTGAAGCCTCCACAGTATAATTCATGGTCGTTATAATTTGGAGGTGTACTGAAACCATACCTGTAAAAATACATTGCTTAGATACCTGAAGGTTGAAGAAATAGCGACAGTTGTGCTTCCTACTTACATTATTATTCCTGAGTAATCAGTATCACTGCTATAAATTTTCTAGAGCTCTGAGATGAATTGGAGTCCTGCAAACATTTCAGCAGATTTTAAAGCATTCTCTTTCTTAAAGTGTGACTTTTTTTATATCTGTTTTGTTTAGTACCAAATAGTAATTGTTTCTCTTTTTAATGCATTTTATCTTAGCTAATGTAGAATTGCTATTATGTTGCAAAATTACCCTGATGTCAGTTATGACCATCTCCCACTATGAAACTGGAACCCTTTCAACTTCTCAGATTTTAGAGTTTAAACTAGCAAATTGCAAGTATGACTTAGTGAAGCTTTATAATATAGGTAAAGTAAAGCTATCTCTATAACAGGCTATGAAGGCCAGTAGGGTTGTGAGAGGTTGAGGCTCCCACATTTTATAGACTATTGGATCACAGATGGCCATAAGGTTTTCAGCCTTACGCACTGGCCATCCTGTACCCCCCAGGAATATTCCTGGTACTCATTTCTGTTAGAGGCTGAGTCAACCCCAGGGCCATAGTACAGCTTAAACAATTAGGTAAATTAAAAAAATCCAATGACCTCATTGGGAATCAAACTTGCCACATTCCGGCTTGTAGCATAGTGCCACAACCAACTGTGCTACCACATGCCCCCTCATCATATAGAATACAAGCCCTGATGATTCGTTCAGGTAACATTTGTATATAAGACACATCCTTTCATCCCACTTTTTTTCCTGTTTATAATAGTTCCTTCATACAGATAAATACTAGTATTTGTCTTAGGTAATCATGTGCCAGGATTGGTGTGTGACTACCTACCAGCTCTGTGAGTTCTGCATAAACTGCTAAGAGCTAAGATGAATTACTTGCATATCCTGCCAGAATGCATAGAAGAAAGTACATATTTTCATATTGTCCATTTATGAATAAATAAACGGTTTGTTATCTTGTTGGCTGATTTCATAACACTGGGACTGATGGCAAGAAATTATCTGGATTGAATACTTCGAAAAGGGAGGCCATTTCCAGCAGCTTCTGTGGGTATGTGTATTGTATTATTTTGGAGGATATTGATTACATTAAAATAAGTAAAGAGTAAACAATTAGAGCTCTCAAAGAGTGAGCAGCTTTTCAATAACTGCATGAGAAAAAGTGTAAGGATCTGATCCATATCCAACCAGCTGAGAACTGGTTCCCAGTGTTTTATAATGATAGTAATAATCTGTATTTTAATACAAGATAACAATAATAATTAATTTAACCTTACCTCCACATAGTGGCTCTGGATGGGGGTTCAATAAGCCGTCCATGAGCCTCAACTTTTTGCAACCACCACAAGGAGATGATAGCAAAACCCAGCAGAGGCAGTGCTAGGGTGAGTTTATATGACATCCTTTTGTCCCTCCTTCCCTGAAAGCAAATGAACAACATAATAACTCTGGAGACAGAATGTTGATGCACTATGCTACAAGCTGGAAGTTCGCAGGTTCGATTTTCGACGAGGTCATTGGATTTTTTCAATTTACCTAATTGTTTGAGCCATACTTTGGCCCTGAGGTCGACTCAGCCTCTAACAGAAATGAGTATCAGGAATCTTCCTGGGGGGTAAAGGACAGCTGGCGCGTAAGGCTGACAACCTTACTGTCATCTGTGAGCTCATTATCTAGAAGCTGTGGGAGCCTTGATGTCTCACAACCCTGTCTGCCTTCATGGCCTGTTACAGGGATAGCTTTACCTTTTGCTGGTACCCATAACATCCTATGAATTTGATAGCTCAGTAAAGTAATGAGATATGCAATGGAAAATTAGTGTTTGATTACCGACTTCTGTTTATATTACCATATCAAGAACTCATCTGGAGTCTATCAAATAAATATAGCTGGGATTTTCTGCTTGGTGGTAAAAGCACCAGGATGGTGAAGCTGCCCCTTACAACTGTCTAGTACCAGGAGATATATTTCCAATTCATATTTGTTTATGGTTTATTTAACAGTGCTGTCAGTAGAAAAGACTATATAGGTGAAATAATGGGATGGTTTATTATGAACTGGATATTATATGGAAAGAAGCGGTCATGACCTAATTTGAAATACTATCCCGGTATGGGAATGGCAAAAATCACTAGAAACATCTATCAGGATAACCAGTCTCTGGGCTGTGGTTTGAACCTGGAACCTCCCAGAATACGAAGCCGAAGTCCTACCTAGTCGACAGTGACATTTGGTACATCTCCTGTGGCTTGACTTTTAGGCAAAACGACAATTTCACATTTTTCATTACACATTTCCTGTATCTTCTCACACTTGAGAGATAAATTAGTATGTGTATGCTAACATATTTTGGAGTACAGAATTTACAAGTTTAACTCCATTGAGGAATCCTTGCGGGGCCAATAGTTGCTCAGTCATTCAAGAAATTCGCCACCTTTTAATGCAACCCGAACATTCACTACCCCCCACTGGCCTTTCTCGGAACGAGATGAATGCTATCAGATCTGTTTCAGGCCCCCAATACTAGTACATCCAGTTAGGAAGCAATGGTGATGAATGGTGATTGAGTTGACGATCACGTAGAGAGGTATGTGGGCCAGGAGGGACGAGGCCTACGTGCAACAGTAGGCCAAGCACGCGCGTATCATAAGAATGAACGGTATTGTAGACATGTTATAGCGGTTAGGTGGCACAGAAAATAGAAAGCGTCCACGTGGGAAATTCTTCTCTCGTTAGCTTTCCAAGCATGTACACAATTAAATGGCGGACTGTGTGCCATGAACTGTTACGGATCCCACTGATATGTTTTACGGCAACGATGAGCAAGTGGAAATTTGACATGACGTTATTCACAACTTCGTGAGCAGAGCCATTCTTGTGGAACTAACAGCCGCTGTAAGTCTACCAATTAAAAATTCCATGGAAATTGTATGGAACCAAAAAGTTCATTGCCATGTTTAGAAGAGACCGCCACAGGTCTCTGTCCTAAGACAGATGAATCCTGTTCGCAATCCCAATTATTTTCATATTTTCTTCATGTTCATGTTTTTCTACATTCCCGGCCATATCGTCCTCTCACTTCGTTCCACTTAGGTCCAAATATTCTCGTCGGGAGGCTTGCCCTTTTCTAAACTATCATCAATTTATTTCCTTCCCTTAATGTAAGAAAGAAAACATCTGCTGTATTTAATATAGTATGATTTCCGCTCCTTGCCAGTTGGAATTCGTTTACGGGAACGCCAATGGAGGAGCTACATGACGGCTCTATTACGAGAGCTGTTAACAGGCGATGCACTCGAAGCAAATAACTGCAGATAACATAGACGAGAGCACAACTCAGCAATGGGGTTCGCATCATTGGGCGCGCCGACTAAATGATCACGTGGAAATGATCAATACTATTTCCGGATTCACGGTCAGATTTACCCTTTAGTCTCAAATAAGGCAAGAAAATGAGCCGGGAATGGACAACTTCGCATTTTCGATTCAGATGAAGTAACAACAAAACCGCATGGAAACCACACCAAGGTTCTATGGCCGAAGTATTGCAACGACTGGACGAGGTACTGCGACAGGTTATCCCATTTGCTGAGTCATACAAATGAATGAAATGCATCAAACGAAACGTAATGTATGAATAAATAAATGAGTAATGACAGACGAAGGAGTTGTAAACAAGCATGGAATTATAAACACATATACAGAGCGAAGACTAAGAGAGAGGCCAAGGACTCTGCTAGAAGTAAGATCTTAATAAAACCGGTACAGGTATTATCTGCCTAATTCGAGAAAGAACAATAAGGGAGCACAGAGAAAATAATTATCTTGGCCGCGTTCATTTCTAAATACCATTTTGTGTGAATATGAATGTCATGTTGGACCCTGTCATTGTAAGGGGGAGTATCTGATATACACATCGATTCCATAAGGTTGTGTATGTAAAATACTGAGTATGTCTCATACAATGGACAATCTCAATATGATAATCGTAAAATGAACGAACCACTATCAGAGACCTTTAGATAACCGTTTTGGTTTGGACCTTTCGAAATGTATAATGAGATTCAAACATTGTTTCCGAAAAGAAAATTATTTATAAATACAGAGTACAGTGCAGGTCTTTCCCGATTTACTTTTTTTTTTCGACTTAACGATAAACACGGATTCGTGACATCAATTCACTGATACTTCGAAATCGACTTCCAGGATCGTACCTCAGGCATACGATATTCGGAATTTGATATTTGAGATTTTCAGAACTCTGATTCTACTTTCTTTTGCATGTTTTCAGCCGATAGTTAAGTTGCAGGATACGACACCATCCCGCTCGGACTTACTATCGTCGTCACACTATAGATTTAGCATTGTAGTTATTAACTTATTGACCGCTTCTGTGGTCTAACGGTCAGAGTTCCTGGCCACAGATCCAGAGGTCCCGGTTCTATTCCCGGCGCTACCAAATTTTCAGAGAAGTAGTGGGTCTGGAACGGGGTCCACTCAGCCTCATGAGGATAATTGAGGTGCTACTTGAAAAGTAGCGGCTCCGGTCTAGAGAACTGAGATTAAAGGTCGTGGGGATCCGTTGCGCTGACCACGCGATACCCTCTATCCGCAAAATTTGGCACTAAATTCGCCGACAAGCGGCGGTCGCTCAGTCGGCATAATTCGCTTGCGGAATAAAACCACGGAATTTTTTTTTGGTTTTAGTTTTGTTATTAATTTATTAGCTGTTTTCTTAAAATGTTTATTATGCAATTCATAACACACACATTCTTGTATTATTAATTCATAGCGTAAGTATGGCTTGGTATATATTTTTTTTTGAAGGCCTCGGGACATATTTCAATTTATAAGGTGTAAATGAGAAATTGATATTCGATTTACAATTCGATTTTCAAGAACGTAATAGAGTCGTACTTCGAGAACGGCCTGTATGTATGGTATGAAGAATAATATGGAAATTTCATACCTTAACTCCAATCTCATATTCAAAGAAACACAGCGTTAACACAAACAGGGCTCTGGAGTCTGTCATGGCAGTGTAACAGTTGGAGGAAATACCATCACAAAACGTTAAGTTGAATCAATTTACTTTTTTAAGTTTTTGGTTTGATTTCTATAATATGCTGACAATCGAATATAGCCGTTTTAGCTGAGTCGACTTTAAATCAATTAACCAAGCATTTACTGAGTGCAAGCTATTCACTTTATGCAGAAAAGAAGGCTCCAAGACTGGAACGAAACTTGGTAACGCTTTAAACGTCGTTACTTTTGATGTTTTATGTTATGCACGAAGACAGCTGGTGGTTAGCATCCGATAATCATTGTGAATTCTTTCAACAAACATTGCCACTCGTGAGAATCGACTTTCATTTGTTCTTTTCAGGCGTTTCTAAGCTTAACTGGTACGTGAAAGTATTAACGAATCAAGAACTCCGCTTTTGTCATTAATTATGCGAGTCCATTTCCCCTGGTTGATGAATGTATTTCAAATGGTCGCCAACGGAAACAGAGCGTAAACAGCATTGAAGCGTAAAAATCACTAGGATGTTTTAATATTTAATAGGCCTATCAGGATCATATTCTTAAAAAACGTTCGTGATTTAAATCCATCAGCATTGAAAATTATGGCTGATCCGTAAGTTAAACTTGCTTTAACATTATAAAACACCCTCAATTTTGTCCACATACTGTACTTACGGGTCTTACTCATGCATGATTTTCAGAATAAACAGCGATTATTTTATTGAACATTATTAACTAGGTGATTTTTGCAATGAGGACGGAATATGTCTGTCGAGAGGTAGGAACAAACAAAACAAACTCCGTGGCCTGTAGTCTGCAAGCGAAGTATACCGACCGAGCGACCGCCGCTTGTCGGCGAAGTTAGTGCCAACTTTTGCGGATAGAGGGTGTCGCGTGGTCAGCGCAACGGATCCCCACTGCCGTTAATCTCGGTTTTCTAGACCGGAGTCGCTACTTTTCCATTCAATTAGCTCCTCAATTATCCTTACGAAGCTGAGTGGACCCCGTTCCAGACCCACTACTTCTCAGAATATCTGGTAGCACCGGGAATAGAACCCGGGACATCTGGATCTGTAGCCAGGAACTCTGACCACTAGATCACAGAGGCGGTCCGAGAAATAGGAACGGAATTTTTAACATTATTTGTATGATCTCCATACCTCGGACTCGATTCTGAGATCTGTAGGCTACATACGAGTAGTAGGAATGCTCACTGCTACACAACGGCGTTGTCATTTTCGTAATACGAAAATCTGACGTTCGCAGGCATTAGTTGTTGATATTCAAGTTGGCAGTGTGGGAGGAGGTTTTGTTATTGGCTGTCTAAGTCATCTTTGAGGGAACGCCGTACATTACGGGAGAGGAGGGGGGAATTCCTGTGTGCTCAGTGAGATA